CTGACATGGGCATAGCTAAGGGGGAGGGCAGGGGGCAACTGCCCCCCTAAATCAATACAAATATGAGGTTCTGCCCCCTGGCTATGCCCATGAGACATGATATATTCTTACCTCTGCCTGGGATTTGTGGGGGGAAGTGGCTCTCAGACATGAACTCAATGGGACTTACTCCTAAGTAAATATACTTCCTGCATTTTTTCACCTGATCCTTTTTATCAGACATTTGGATTGCATTTCTGAACCCACGTATCTGTGAAGCTTACTTCTCAGCAGTTATGTCTAGGGTTTCACTGTTAAAGAACAAGTTGTACACACCATGAACTCCTGCTGTCTGAATCGTCCTCCTCCAAACTGTCACCCCCTTTAAGCCTCTAGGAGCTCAGATGACTGAGCAGCAGAGCAATCTCCCTCGGCAAATCTTCTCCCACTGGAATCATGCCCCATATAACATTATATACAGGATTTAAGATGCACTTTGCAAATATCTGTGCACTTTGCATTTTGCAAACATCCATGCTGTAAATGAACTCATCAATATTAACAATTTCCCGGGCAAAGAGAAATAATTAATGATTTATCTGGAATTCATTTTGCACACCACTTGTTTTCCAATCTTGTATTTGTTGGTTTGCATTTTTATGGAAAGATCATTTCATTGCTGCTATTAATGTATTTATGGACTTCACCAGCTTGTGATGTAAGCAGTGACCGGTGGGTGGAAGGGTTTTACAAGAGGTGGCACAAAACTGTGAAAGGATGTCCTGATCCTTTGTTTTGGAGCTCAACTTGTTCACTTCACCCAGACTTGCTGTTACATAATGTCACATTACATAAGCAAGAACAGTGTAATTTGCATAATCGTCAACCCTGTAATTTGGTGGTTACAATTGGCAGATCTTTCTCAAATGCCCGGGGCTATAAATTTACTGTGACGGCTGGAAACTGATTGTTGGCTTAGGATTCATTATTAATATTGATGAGTAGTGCAGAAGAGTGGTCAGATGTCGCCATTAATTTCTGAAAATAGAATCAAGGCATTTTTAAAATGGTCATTCAAATGCAACGTGTGTTGTTGAAATGCAGAAATATACTGGCGAGTGCCACTCATTGTCAGTTTGATGGGCTTGTGTCCTTATACAGAATTAAAGAGAAAATTAGTGTTAATGATTTGATATTTTGCACCTGCTACCTTGCGTGGTGTGGAGCTGCTGTCTGTCTCTCCTGTCATCAAAAGTAGGATTGTGGTGGCGTTTCACCTCTCGCCAGTGGGTCATCTCTCAATACCACTCAGAACTGATGCCTCAGTTACCAGAATGGTGTGGGAGCAATTTCCTCCATGTCTAGTCCCTTCAGTAATGTCTTTAAGGAACCACATCATTTGACTAAATTATGCAGTTGTTTCTTACAGATGTTACATGGGTGGTGTAGGAACATGATTTATTTTGGGCAAAGAGTTAAGCATGGACACTGAAAGTAGCAGAGCTTAAAAACACTTTAGTCTGATTGTGCCCAAGGTAAGCTATCATTCAAGTCTTTTTACACAGGGTAATGTATAGCTTTTGGTAATAATATATTTCTGTGAAGTGTTTAACTTCATGAAATGGCTACCCACAGCATTCACACTTAGAAACCCAAGCTCTTGGAAAAGGTCTTAATGTCGGTTTCACAACGAACAAAGAGCCTGCTGTTTAATTAATTGGGTCTAATTGAGAGCTTTCACATATTAGTGATCAGTGAACTGTAATTGATAAAGCTACACCTCAAAGCCTTTACAATTGCCAGTTGCATGTTCTTGTGAGGTTGCATCCTATGTGTATGTGTGGGAGGAGGTGGGTTCTGTTAAAGCGGTCAACTAACTTTTTCTGGCTAATTAAATCAGTTGACATTTGCTTCATCCAGACAATTGCTTTCACCTGGGAAATGGCACCCAAATTTGCAGAAATAAGTAGCTTAATAAGGTACCTGGGGCAAAAGGGTAATGCACTAACTAAAGGCCGTACTGTAATTTGTATGTTACTGAACCTTAATGCATTCACTAAGCAGTAGAACTCTTCTATTTCCTTTGCTTGCTCTTGCACATGTGTGTACCCGGAAATCTTCCATGGGTAATTACGAGTTGGCTGGCTGATGGAAGGTTTTGGAGTATTTTTTTAAAGTCAATTAACAGCCTCGCTTTTAACTGATTATTTAATTCGGCAGGAAATTATATTGATCTAGGAGATATTTTGAGATTACTTAATGGAGATGAAAAATATTCCCTTGGTTAAATAACAATAAATCCTTTACTGACAGAGAACATCATATTAAACCCATTGACTGTATCCAGGGATGTCAAACGTAGATGGTTTGCAGCAATGCTATCTTGTGCAGAGTACTGGCCAACCAGGGACAGCCCCAATTAAAAAACTTGATTAATTACAGCCCAAGATTTAGAGGTTCCTCAAAAGCTTGTTAAGGAAAGGTTCAGCCGTGGCAAACAAATGAAATAAGTGGAGGGGGCAAAGCACATGTAATGGCATTGGCAAATTTCAGTTCTCAACAAATTTCCCTGTTAGAGTAGGTTTGCTGGCAATTAGATACTCTGCTCTTAAATAGCAGTGACTACGAATGCCGTTTCCCATCTTGGTTTGTGATAAAGGCTGCACATCTGCAAGACTTTGGTCTTTCAAAGTTCAGGGTTGCCCTATGCAAGACCAAAATTCAGCTCCCCTCTCGCCTTCTAGTCTGCTCAATTCACTATGCCATAGTTGTGATGCCCTGTGGCATCCTCTAGGCTCAGCACCCAGTGCAGCAGAACCAGACACGCTTCCCCAAAACATGCCTCTGTCCTCCTTTTTGGAGAGGGGGAAAATTGATATTGTTTCATCCTTCTGTAAATTCTAGGATTGGCTACGGTAATGAACTCTCTTTGGTGTTCCCCTTGAAGATCTCTGTGATGCTTCTTCGCGTTGCTTCTTGTTGAATTCTTGGAGGAGGGGGAGCATATTAGACGCCTATTTTATGGCAACTGCACTGGGTTGCTTGTTAGTTTCTTGGTCTAGTTTAAGTTGCTTCCATTTAAAGCCCTCCAGGACCTGGGACAAACATGTAAGACAGTTTTTTCCCTCTTCGTATGAGCCCTGTCACTGTCTGTACTCTTCTGGCCAAGGCCTGTTCTCTGTGCCTAAGGCATGTGGGGAGAGGGTTTCTTTCAAGGAGAGCATCACCCCAACACAAAACACCTTGTGCATTTTGAAAAAGAAACTCTACCTCCTGCCTGGATTGCTGGTGGCTTTCCCTTCCATTAACCAGAATCAAACTTCTAGCAACAACTGCCTACCTGTTAACTGTATTTGGATCTCCAGGTAGGAAAGAGAGACAAGTCTGTACCATAGTGAACCTACTGAAATTGCCAAAACAATGCACTAATTGCAAACAGCAACTGCCCTTCAAAATTCCCACTTCTCCCAATTTTGTGATGCTGTTCTCTAACTATAGAAAAGTGTACCAAAAAATCATATATGAAGGGGAAAGGGTGTGTGGAAATGCAAGTATTACTGAAAGCAATACACAGAAATGCATTTATCAGGGGAATTGTTGCAAAATGTTATATTAGGCAAAATCGCTGCAGAGAAAAAAAAATATTGTTGTGAACTGAGCTTAAGATTTAAAAAATGAGAAACAGAAGAGAAAAAATTCCTGACAGATTCATCCATTCCTACCTCCAGGAAGGAATTGTTAGAGGAATAATGATCCATACCACATGGAAGTTTGTAGTGCAATGAAATGAAGAACTTTGCATAGAAAGGTTTTCTTTTCTTCCTCTGAATTGCCAAAGAGGGTTTCAGAGACAGATAAATGTAGAAAATGATTCAGTGTTATGTTAATTATACCCACTTTCTCCTCCTCTACCTTTATCAGCACCACAAACATGCACACATCAGGAAAATCCTTATCATGCCATAACAGCACTGCTGACACTATCAGCAGCTGGCTGTTAAAACATTTCGTTAATTTAGGTTACAAAGGACACGCTGTCTAATATTTTATCTAACTGCATCTTTTTTAAAAAAAATGTTTCAGATAAAGATGAGGCTGCCACAGCCAAGGTCCTTAATTACTTTTGCTTAAAATAGATGAGGTCCTTGTTCATCTACTTCCAATTTAGGAGTGGAAGATCAGGTGTGAATCTGGAAATTCCTAATGGCTTCCCAGAGCGGAGTGGCTTCTTTGCAAGAGGAATGGATAATCAACCTTGGAGAAAGCCAAATGCAAGGGAATTAATGTAGTATTTGAGGGACCTCTACATTATAATTCTGGGGAAAATCTTTCCAACGTGGGTTGCCATTTGGATGTAGATTCAGAAGGCTCTGAGGCTGCAGTCCAAACTGCCTTTGTAGCAGGCTGTGTTTCTTTTCCCCAATAGGTCGGAGGTGTCCCTCCTCCACTAGAGTCCACTTGTGAAGAGGCATCAGCATCACTTCGCCAGTGCAGAACTCTTATTCCACCAAACGGGCAGACAGTACTGCCAGCAAAATGCCTACTGGCAGTAGCTTGTAGAAGGGTGTTTGGGGGATGGTGGTGTGAGCTGGCCTGGGATCCAAAGGATCGATAACCAACCCTACTGCAGATACCAATATTGAGCAGCTTGAAATGACTGGATGCATAAAAACTGGGTCCTTTTGGAATAAAACATGGTTGAGGCCCATAAGTTTGATGCAAAGCTTTACTTGCAGAACTTTCTTCAAAACAGAACAAAAAACATTACGTAAATGATATATCCAAACAGTTCCATAAGATCACGTGCATGTCCAGCACAGGTTCAGCATCTTAGAAATAGCTTTAAACAGGATTGAGATTAAAACTCACTCTCTCTTCTCCATTACAGCCTGAGGCTATGCAGCTCCTGCAGTGAGCTCCAAAATCACATCTTACTTCCACACTGGTTGGGGACAAAATGCCAAAGGCAACTCCCTTCAAAATGGTGATTTGCAATTGAATAGCCTCCTGTGTGATCTAAAGTTAAATACATTGGAGTTATCAGAAAACAATAGTTAATTATCAACCCATCTAGGAGCTCAGACAGCTTAATATAGCCCCATGGAAAATCCTCATGTTAAAGCTTTCAGTAACACACGTGAGCATTCTCCATTTTATTGTGAATTATTCAATTATACTTAACAAGTCCCGCTGCCATCATTGCAGTATTGGACTTGATTCCTGCACCCACCACCACCTGCCTTCCACTTGAGGTGGTGTGAACAATGAGGTTGCGGATGCAGTCATATCTCTGTCACACTATCATGCCCCATCACTGCCCGACTGGGGTCTGTCTGGATTATCCTGTAAAGAACCCTTTGCTGTTGAAAATGGAAATTTCACTTGGGGTTGGCATTCAATTCTGAACACATTTTTAGAGAAAGGCTTCATGTGCCAAAGGACAGCAGGATGCTTGTGCAGATTCACATATATATTTAGTATAATACTTTGTATAATAGTTGTACGGTGAACACTAGACTTACCTTCGCCTTGAGCTTTGCCTGAATGGTTGCAATCTAAGTATTGTATTTAAGTGAAAGTCCTAAACATCCCCTTAGAAATGTAGAAGCAACTTAAAGAGAACCAGCAATCATACCAGCAAGAAAATCTTTGAAAAGGTCATAGAAAAAGGCCAGATTTACTTAGAAGCCCCTCTGTGTTCAGTGGGTTTCCTCCTCTGATTCATGTGCATAGGATCCTTTCTCACTATGGCAAAATATTACAGCACATCGGTCGACTATTTGATTAGACAAAACATTGTTTGTCACTTAGCTAAAGGTCGTATAATACAACTGTAACAGAAATAAGCGTATTGCAAAAATCCACCAAAATAATTAATGCTCGTTATGCTAAAAATAGCATTCTGAATTCTATAATCTTTATTTTCAGCTAACTGTTGCTGAGCAACTATAAGTGTCTATGAACAACTTTAAAGAGATTGAACAAGCCCTCAGAGCTAGTTTCGATGGAGGCTTTGTCCTAGCTTTTGCTATCAGGTGGTCCCTATGGACATTCTTGCTAGACTAATTGACCACAAATATTATTGCATACTAAGTGGTCAATTGACTGGCATTCAATGCTAGTATAACATATAGAACTAGAATTGGTTTAAACAAAGATGAGGACAACATTAGGAGGCATAATACACTCCTGGTATTTAGCCCAGATTGGGTAGCCAATATAGACAATATATTACTTCAGATACTAATATTGCACAGATTGAAGCAAATGGATGCATAAAAACTGGCTCCTTTTTGGAAATAAAACATTGTCAGGACCCATAAGTTTGCTAAAAAGCTTTACTTGCAGAACTTCCTTCAAAACGTAACAAAAACAACAAAAATACATCCAAACAGTTCCATAAGATGCCAGTCCAAGGCATAAACTCAGCATCTTACAAAATATTACATAATTCCAACAGACCTAAAAGCAAAGGTTTTTTCTCTTCCCTACAGCCTCCATTCTACCCTGCATCCTGCCTGAGGCTGTTTATCTGGAGAGCCATTTACATCTTCCATTTACATCTTCTGTTCTGGGAACAAAGACTAAAAGCAACTACCTTCAAAATGGTGATTTGCAATTCAATACATCTCATGTGATCTAAGGTTAAACACTCATGTGTCAGCTAGCAGAAAACAACAATAGTTAATTATCGACTTAGTTAAAGCTCAGAGTTCCTTAGAATACTACAGTGGATTTCCACAAAATTACCAATACACATTTAGGCATTTTCCATTTCAGTGTCAATTAAATAATTATTCTTAACATATGTCTGGGTCTGCCAGCCATTTCCGTACACCTAGTTTGAAGCAGCAAGTGAACATCCTGTTGTCCTGCAAGCTCATATTATACTCACCAGTTCTATAAATGATATTTTGAGTACCACTATTTGGCTTCATAGACAAACACACTTTTTCATGCTAATAGGCATCATGTAGAATAATCCTTGGGAAAGTGACTACTTTGCTGTTCTTCCCTTATCACAGCCTAATTCTGTCCACTTGCTTCATTTCTCATGGATAATCTTTCCTTCTCACCAATATTTTGCAGGAAGGAAGAAGCTCTTCTGGAGGCTTCTTGCAATACATTTCCTGTTCCTTTGTTCAAATGCTTCTTCCACTGGAATCTGTTTTTTCTTCATTTGGTTCCATTCACCAGCCAGCCCTCCCTCCCTTGAAATTTCTACAGCCACTTGTTCTACTGTGCAGAGGCAAATTGAAAAGCAGCTTAAAGGTTAACCTTTACAAGCTTATCGCTCCGTAAGTCTAGAAAACCTCATAAGAAATCCCTGCACTTCCTAATGGTCTCAGGAACCTTAATGGTGGTCCCTGGATCACAACTGAGGGGCCACTGTTATTATAGGATCTGCAATGCTTTACATAGCATTAGTTTTCATGTATGGCTGCCAAGAACCTGTTCCCCCAGTATTTTCCCCAAGCACAACAAATATTATTCATTTGGTTTTATTTATTAAATTTGCATACCGCCCTTCATCCAAAGATCACAATGTGGTTCAAAACATAAAAATACAAAATGAGAACACAAAGTACATGTTATTATTATAATTTAAAAAACAAACCACCTCTCTCCCACAAACACATTTAAAACGTGATAGAATGGTAATTATCCAAAGATCTGGTTATAGAGAAATGTATTCGCTTGGCACCTAAAGATAGAAGAAGTTAAGAGAGACTGCCTAGGGGAACATTCCGCATACAGGGAGCCACTGCAGAAATGCCCTTTCTCATGCCCAGACCTCTCATGAAGGAGGAACACAACGATTGCAGGATCCGGGCCAGACCATATGGGGAGAGGTGGTCCTTGAAGTATTGCAGCCCTGAGCCATTTAGGCCTTTATAGGTCAAAACCAGGACTTTGAATTGAAATCCAGTGCAGCCAGGCTAGGATATGTGTACTGTGCTGGCAGTAGTAATCTCAGTAGACCTATTTTTAGCAAGACATCATACGTCCCAAGAGGCTTCTTATTAGCTAAATGTAAACAGCCAGTTCCTCTTTTTCCCCTCCTCCTCTTCCGCTGCTCTTTCTGCAAAATCTGATACAAATGGCTTTAAAGCAGCATCTTTGTCCTCTAGAACAAAACTGTCTTTTGAGCTCTGACATATTGATCAACACGATTTTTCAAAAAAGCTTTTAGTTTTAACAAATGGGTTGCAGTTCAGTTGCCACCTTCAGCTTGGCAGGCCTGTCATCTAGTTCAGAAATACTTGCCACCTTAAGAAAGACTTGCCATTCAGATTCATTTCTTTCTATAAGTCAATGTGTTGTAAAATGGAACTAGGGTGTAACAAGTTACTATATCTAGCAAAGCATTCAGTAATGTTTCCACATGACCACAGTATGTCCTAAGGTAAATAACAGTTCAAGTTGGCTTGAATCAAAATGCAATTGAATAGATCAGAACAACAATAGTAATTAAAAATGTTGGTCCACCCATTCAAGGTTAGGCACCCAGCAGCATCCTATAAAAAAAAGTTTAATCCTGTTTTCCCTTAACATACCGTATTTTTCGCCCCATAGGACACACTTTTTCCCCTCCAAAAATGAAGGGGAAATATGTGTACATCCTATGGGGCGAATGCAGGCTTTCGCTGAAGCCTGGAGAGCGAGAGGCACCGGTGTGCACCGACCCCTCTCGCTCTCCAGACTTCGCGCACCTCTCCGCAAGCCGCGGGAGCCCAGCACAGGGCTCCCGCGGCTTGCGGAGAGTTGCCTGGTCTGGGGGCTGGGGTCAGGGGAAGCTCGGGCTTCCCCTGCCCCAGCCCCGCGCCGGGGGGGAAATAATTTTTTTCCTTTATTTCCCCCCCCAAAAAACTAGGTGCGCCTTATGGGACGGTGTGTCCTATAGGGCGAAAAACATGGTATTTATAAACAGAGGATAAATTATGGACATAATGCACTGAAGGTAAACTCTTCCTTCATCAGAATCTATTGAAGCTATGCTGTTGCTTAACTTCCATTAATTTCAATGGGACTTCTGCAAACACTCCTATTTCCACATACCATGCATAAACATAAGAATTCACCTTCACCTTTCCCTGCAGTTGCTCCCACTTGTCCATGTTATCACGTCTTAAAACATTTCCTCCCCAGGATAAATAGCAGATTTGTGGTTTGGGTGAGCAACACATATATGTGGATTTAGATATCACAGTCAATATACACAAATGATCCTGTGAGCTGGATTATGAGCAAGAGATTGTGAAAGGAGTCTCTAAAAGAGTACAATTAATAAAATAGAATTTTGCCTACAATAATTATTACGTAAAAGCTCTGTTTGGTCATTGGCACAAGATGAAGGAACCTCCAGATTGCTCCATGTTCAATATCAGAAACTCTTTCCTCACATTACCTGAAGCTCCTCTAAGCTGGTTATGTTGCAATTCCTCTCTTGGAAGCACCTATTCCTTAGAAAGCACGGAATGGCTACCCAATTTTCTCTGAGAAGTCACACTTTACTAAGCCCACAGCAGGTTCAGAATCTGTGGTCTGAGCGATAACAGGCAGGGATTCTGCTTCAACATGTGTTCCACCCTCAAAATATTAATCAAAGGAAAGGAAAGGGATTACAGATTAACCAACCAGATCAGCAAAAAAAAAGGCCTGCTGAAGCACACTAGGGTCATAGGATGTCATGTGATAAGGGCTGACACGTACAAAAGTGCCTGGATTAGTCGTGTTCTCTGCTTTAAACAACAAGGAGACTTGGCTTGCTGTTGGTCTTTGCCCCAGGCTCTGTCCACAACTTTGATATCCAGACTTAGAGCTGGGTCAAAAATATCTTCAGAAAGGATGCCTAAGACTTGAAATGCTGCTTTCCCTACTCAGCGTTGCACTGCAAAGTACCACAGCTAGGGGTTCTCTGCTTCAGATGATACAATAGCAAACATACATTTGCTTTTGTGTGTGCCTGCAGTGGAGAGTTCTAGGGCCCTTGGTGCAAGCAGCCACTGGATATGTTGAGCTGCAAAAAAAGAGTTAAGCACATGCATACATTATATTTTTGCATGTACGTATGAAAATTAAATGTGACAACAGGCCCATGCTTGGGATGCATTAAAGCAATGTATGTAAATACACTTGTATCTGATTATGAACGCATGGAAAACTGATCAGGTGGTTGTTATGCCAAGCCTTTGTAGACTTGAACACCACTCTTCCTCTGACAGTCTTCCCATTATATAACGTGTCATTTTTGCTAATCACTGTCAGGTACAATTTATCAAGGGAGAGATGTTTTGATTACATGCTGAGGTTTCAGTTTTATTATTTTTAGCATACATAAGACCGTATCTCAGACAGCTATTCCCTGTTAGAAAGAGAGCATTATACAATACTTTCAGGTGCATATAAATTCAATTGGGACAGAACCGTGTGGTTTGTGGCTTGAAACGATGGCACATTGGACCGTTTCCTTTGCCAGCTATGCAACCCCAGGGTCTTACCAGCAGAACATCACTGTCAATTGCTGGCATTTTACTTACCTTAGCCAATAGCAGCATCCATCCCTGTTGTGGTAAAATAGAAGGGTCAGGGCTAGCTGTGCATAGGGGCATATCCGTGTGTGTGTGTGTGTGTGTGTGTGTGTGTGTACTGTATCTTTATATATTTCCAGTGTTATGCAATAGCACTGGACTGAGTATCCTGCAAACAAGTACATGTTTGTTGAAAGGTGGAGATATAAAATGATGTGGGTAGATGGAAAAGGAACTTCCGCAGCAGGCATTGTCCAAAAGATGACCGGCACTACTTCAGGCCTGCACAACTTGCACCCCACCAAACCAAACACAGTCTGCCACACTAGCACAGTAATCTGCCAGGAGGTTGATAAACTGTCCTGATTGCCATCTCTGGGACTGCAAAAACGAGGGAGGGAAGAAGCGAGTTGCTATCAAAACACAGCTGGTGGGCTCAGTTTGGCTTGACTGGTCACAAGGTGTGCAGATCTGCCCTGGCGTAACTCCTGTCCACACTACAATTAGGTGTGGTGGTCCGACTTCCAGGGACAAGAATAGCTATTTTCCAGCAATACAGCACGATGGTTTAAAGCTGCTAGGATATGACAGCTCTGCCAGAACATTATGGATGGCACAGGTGCCATCTGGCTGGTTATAATCATGGCTCCTTAGAAAAGTGACTGCATTTGAAAAGGCCCTCTTGCTGCTGAGTGGTTATGCACACAGGTAAAGTCCCAGTTAAAAATGCTGGGGATTTAGCTGTGCAAACCTAGGAGCAGGACTATAATCTTAAATGCCAATTAAGAGCCTGGGAATTGAATTAACGCAGGCTATTAGCGTCTGAAATATGAATCTGCAGAGCATAACACCAAAACAGATTTCTCAAGTGTGTGACTCTTGCTCATGGGGGAAATCTCCCCGGTAATAAAAAAAAATAAATACACTTTTCCAGTGCTGTATGGCATGGTCCACTTTAACTTGCTCCAAGTTTATGAACACTGATACACACACCTCAGTCTCTGAATGGCAAGACATGCCAGGGGTTCCAAAATTTACCCAGGGTTTGGTTTCCTTGGAATGAAGGTCAGTGGAGACTGTGGTGTCCTTAGGATACATCGGGGTTTTTGCACATATGTGCAAGCTGAGCATTGGATGGAGGGCTCACAGCATTAACATCCCAACAGATCTACTTTCCCTTTAGGTTTCCAGGGAAGTCCCAAGCCACATGCACACACCAGCCTCTTGCTTTCCAGGTGAGCTGGGAAGAGGCCTGCCTATTTATTTCTATGGCAACAGAACAACCTCTTTGGACATGTAAATAGCAGTACTTAACTGGTCAGCTAAGGCTATTATCTTACAAATAAACTTGTCTGGCAGGTTCAGCAGCCTCCTTTACTAGATTCTAAACCTCACTGGATACAAGATCACAGGCCTGGAAGGGAACCATAGCTATCATTCAGACTGACCCCACCAAACCTGTAACAATACTATATTTTAGTTTGTACCCAGATACTGCAAGCACAAGTCAATTCAAAAGTGTATGATAACTGCTTGGACCTGAGACTGGGTTTTTAAGACTACTTGTTTTGGCATTTCTGAATATGTTTTAAACTGTTCACAGTAGTTGAGGGGTTTTTTTGTAATTGTTTTATGTTGTTTTAATGAAATCATCATTTCCGAGTTGTGTCTTTACACTACGTCAGGATATAAATACTCAAATAAAATATTTGTTTCTTAGTTTTGCATCTGGATTGGTATGTTAGGCAACTCTGAGCAGCTATTGATTAAAGTAGTGATGATTGTTGTATGGTGGTTATTATATAAGAGAGAAAAAGACGGGGTGCAGCAAGAAGGATAAATTAAATACATCATGGAAATGGGAGGGGAAGTTGAAAAAAACAAAATAAAAGTTTATTATGTTTTGAATTGTATATGTGATTTTTTTTGAAATTTAATAATATATAAAAAGTAGTGGTTTTATGTAGTTGTTGGGGAACCTGTAGCCCTCCAGTAGTTGTTCAGCTACAACTCCCATTGGCCCCAGGTAGCATACTCAATGGTCAGGGATAATGGGAGTTGTAGTACACCAGCATTAGGGGGGCTGCAGGTTCTCAGTCTTTGCCTTAAACTGACAAAAATGAATTTCAAACAAGCAGTGGTATAGGAAGATAAAGCAACACAGCAATGAGGACATGCTTTGCATAAAAAGGACAGTTTGAATGTGGGATATTGCCCTATCCTCCCCAATTTCTTCCTCCCCCACTCCTCCTTACTGAGGGTGTAATGAATCACTGCCAGCCAAGGAATAAATGAAATTCTTCCTTCCACTTTTACCTACACATCCTCTGTTTCAATTGCTTCATTCAGTTATTAGTTTCTTCACCTCCTCCATTGACTCGGTTATTTGTCCTCACTGGCTCCCAGTACGTTTCCAAGCACAATTCAAAATGTTGGTGCTGACCTTTAAAGCCCTAAATGGCCTCAGTCCAGTATACCTGAAGGAGCGTCTCCACCCCCATTGCTGTACCCGGACACTGAGGTCCAGCACCAAGGGCCTTCTGGTGGTTCCCTCACTGCGAGAAGCCAAGTTACAGGGAACCAGGCAGAGGGCCTTCTCGGTAGTGGCACCTGCCCTGTGGAACGCCCTCCCACCAGATGTCAAAGAGAAAAACAACTACCAGACTTTTAGAAGGCAGCCTTGTTTAGGGAAGCTTTTAATGTTTAATAGATTATTGCATTTTAATATTCTGTTGGAAGCAGCCCAGAGTGGCTGGTGAAACCCAGCCAGATGGGCAGGGTATAAATAATAAATTATTATTATAGGCTGTAGCTCATTGTTGCACCTTGTCTGTGACCCATCCTTCCTTTCACTCACAGGGCTTGTAGTTTTCACTCCAGTTTACTCTTTTCCAAATTTGTTTTGTGATTCAAAAATCTGGGGGGAGATAAAGAAGGGAACAACAACAAAGAACCCCTCTTTGCCTCCTTTTCTTAAATGGGTGGCACTTAGAAGCATTCCTGGAAATGTGATCCCTGTTATCCCTTCTCCAGCTCTAGCTTTTATGGTGTTGGACATTTTTGCTTTCCGTCTTGATAGTCCCCCCAGAACCCAATGAATTGCTACTGGCATTCAGTCAGAATCCGAGCCCTAGTACAATTCAGTAAAACCATGTGGTGTTATGGGAGTTATGTTGCACTGTGTCAGATAAAGAAGTGGCAATGTTTGTAGACTTTTTACTGGTTTGATTACTTTACTGAAGGGCAGTATTTGATGGCTGGTGGCTAGTCGTTATTGGACACACCCATCTGTGTAGGAAGGAACAAAACAGTTTGCTGGGTTTTGCAGCATTGGCATATCCAGGGAAGGAGAAAGTGAAGAATATCTGAGATTTGTAGCTGTCTTGACAAGAAGCCAATTTGCTTCCTAGATGCCTGGAGTTAGTTAGAGCATGGTGCTGATAATACCAAGGTTGCAGGTTCAATCCCCATATGGGACAGTGGCATATTCCTGCATTGCAGAGGGTTGGACTTAGAACAATAGAATTGTAGAGACTCTGAGAATCATCTAACTGATGTAAAGGCTAACACCATTTGTCTGGGTATCCCTCATGGAATATTTGTAAATAAACGTATCACAAAGGTGCCATGAATCTCTCCAGTACTGTCTCCTCACAAGGAAAGCGATCCTTGTATAAAAGGCTGCCTCCCAAGCTTTGTACCTCTTGGTGAAGCGATGAGCGTCAAACAATATTTTCATCTGAAGCCTCTATGGTGGTGTCAGCAAAAGGTATACTGAGCAAGATAAAAAATGTTCATTTTTAAAACAAAAACTCACCAAGCTGGTTCCAGTCCTTGGGGAGGAACTGCTAGCAAAAAAGGCACCAAATGTGTTTATTGGAAAGTGAATTGCTATTTGCTAGGAAATGGACCGAGACCAACTCATTTCAGAAGTGTTCGCTGGACAGCTGGTAGCCACTTCTAGGCACAACTGAGCCCTGATCAGTATTTAAACCACTGACCTAGAGGTGAAAATCCTCGTATCCTGTTATCACCCCACTAAGCCAATGTAGCACAGTAGAATTTGTCATCTTTAATCTGTATTTATTGGCTTTTAATCGGGACAAAAGCTGAAATATGTTCAGCAGCTGTGTGAATGTAAATTCTGGTCAGATTTCTCTGGCGGTGCCTCTCTATACCTTTTCCTCTTGTTCTTTCAGCCTCATTGACATTCATGAAATTCTATCAGCAATTTGCACCCAAAAGCAAACCAAGGTGGGTGAGTGGGTGGGTCAGAGCAGACATGAAGCTGTGTTTTCAACAAAAGAACAGAAGAATTGCCTCAGCCTCTCTTTACTGTTTATTTTCCAACTTTCTGTATATAACATGCTATGTGTTGCTTTGGGTTATATTTTTTAAAAAAACAGGATTTATTACCCAAATTTACCATATGGTCTCAGGGAGGGCTACAGCAATATAATAATATACAGTTATAAAACAAGTGAAACACATTATGCCGTGCTAGAGTTTGTTTATATACTGTCCAAAGGCAACCCCAAAGCAGTGAACAGCATATTAATCCAAAAGAAAGATAAAAAGAGTAAAATCAATCAATCAAGACAATATAAAATTGCAAAATACTGATCACACTAGATATGCATTCATGATCTGCACTAATGTTCTTAGCACAGACATGCCCCCCAGCATCCCACTTAACACTTAGTATAGCTAACCCTCTTACACACCCGTTTCTCCAGGCTAGGAGCAAGCCCATCCACAACCAATCACCTATGGGTAGTGCCTTCACCTTCATCAGACCCCTAAGGACCAACCCAAAAGGGAACTTCCACTTGGGGTTTCCCCGCTGGAGCTGGCCTGTTGACGATGACCCACCATCAATGGTGGCCTCCAAATATATAGACTACACCACTGGAAACTAGATTATTATATGAAAATCAGTCAGTCATACACTCTTATGATTTGAAATGGATGCATTTGTTGTCATTTTGCAACGTTTCTTGGATAGGTCATTAAATTGCCTCGGGGGTTTTCTTTAGTTTTCTGTATCTTGGCTTTTTCTTTTTGCACTGGAGTCAAATGACGCTTCTTTGTACTTAACTTTATAATGAATCGCTCAGTATCTTTTTTTTCTCAGGACTGATTCACAGGTCTGCTACTTTTTCTGTTATGATTGTTAATTAAATGTATATACTGCCCTTCATCCGAGGATCACAGGGCGGTTTGCAGTATAAAAATGCAAAAAACACATAATAACAAAACAATACCCCTCCCCACACATAGATGGTTTATTTAGCCAAAGGCTTGGGAGAAGGTTTTCTACATGGAACCATCTAGGCAGCCTAGAAATACGGAATGCAGCCTTATGAGGAAGGCAACATCTGGCCAGTAACAACACCAGATACTGCAGCTGCTTCCTGGTAGCTATTTGTGTGAGCAGAGTGCCTATGTTTGCGTGATGTCAGATCAGATATTATTTCTGTCATGTGACTGTATTCCTACAGACCTTTGGATAGCTCCTCCTGGAAGCACCGTGAAGGCTATTTCACATTTTGAAAATAACTGATGCACATTAAAGCCATCAAGTGATCAGTATGCATGGAGGCACTTGTCTTCAGAGCCATGCAGAGGGAAGTTCTTCCCCATGGAATTTCATTACTTACTGAAATTCTGTTGCTTTCTCTCTCGTAAAGAGTGGGGCAGAAGAAAAGGTTGCAGGGTAGTAGGATGGGCACTTACACATCACCAAATGATAGGACAAAAGAAAAGCAGATCTGTATAAATCCTGCAAGTGCTAACTTGTACATAGTGATGCACACTTGGAAACAATTACTGCCATTTAAATAGAGTCACAATCCCTCTCAATATAACAGTGTAGCTGTTGTGTCTGCTGTCCGGTCAGGTGCTTATTGTCAATGGGCAACTTTGAGGGTCTCCCTTTCTAGGGTTCTTCGAACTTGGTTTGGACAGGCAGTCTGCCAAAAAGAGGACCCTAGGAAGTTTGTAATATGTGAGCTGTAATATGTGAGCTTCAAGTGATTTGTCCTTGAGTATAAAATGTGGCAGAAAGGGAGGAGGTGAAGGTGACACTTGGCAAGTGGCCCGTGAGAGACTACAGGGCAAGTCCAGGCCAAAGCACCCCTCTCTGGGGAACAAAGCGGTTATAAATAAGAAAAGGAATGTGTGCAGATCATTCCTCCAAACACCAGTGACATTTTTTTCCTTGTCAGCAAGGTCTCAAGTCTTGTTTTCATTACGGCATATGGCTTTATTTTTGATACGTTTCAAAAGAAAATCGATTTTGTAGTCCCGCTACAGTCACATCAAAGCAACATACCTATCCAAACCTAGGACGAATTGCTGACGTCGAACAACTACATCACTATTTAAGGCAGCACGCTTTCCCTAACCAAGTGTCGTTTTGTCGTTTAGTCGTGTCCGACTCTTCGTGACCCCATGGACCAGAGCACGCCAGGCACTCCTGTCTTCCACTGCCTACCACAGCTTGGTCAAACTCATGTTCATAGCTTCGCAAACACTATCCAACCATCTCGTGCTCTGTTGTCCCCTTCTCCTTGTGCCCTCCATCTTTCCCATCATCAGGGGCTTTTCCAGGCAGTCTTCTCTTCTCATGAGGTGGCCAAAGTATTGGAGCCTCAGCTTCAGGATCTGTCCTTCCAGTGAGCACTCAGGGCTGATTTCCTTCAGAATGAATAGGTTTGATCTTCTTGCAGTCCATGGGACTCTCAAGAGTCTCCTCCAGCACCATAATTCAAAAGCATCAATTCTTCGGCGATCAGCCTTCTTTATGGTCCAGCTCTCACTTCCGTACATCACTACTGGGAAAATCATGGCTTTAACTATACGGACCTTTGTTGGCAAGGTGATATCTCTGCTTTTTAAGATGCTGTCTAGGTTTGTCGTCAACCAAGCGTTAGCAAACATAATTCGAAATGCTTAGCGGCCCATTGTCCTCCCCCGCACCCCCCCCCAACTGGTTTGCCTAAATAACTGAGGGGGAGGAGCCAAGCGGCCCTTCCCGCCAAGAGTAGCGTTGCTTGGGCGCAGAAGAAGGCGGGAACTGCGCGCTCGCGCATTGGGGGAATTAGAACCTTATTTGCAGCTGCTGCTGCTGCTGCTTTTAATTCCCTGATAAACCCATTACATAAGGAGCGACGGGGAGACTTGAGGCGGCAGCCGCCGCAGCTCCCCCTCCCTCCACTGGGAGAGAGAGAAAGCTGCCTGCAGGCAACGTAGTGCATTGCGTTACATGCACCTGGGTGGGGAGGGGTGGGAGAGAGAGATGATGTTGGTGCAAGCGCCAGCCTTGACTCAGCAAGAGTGGCGCGCGGCCCCTTTAAAGGGCTAGCTTAACCGCCGCCGCCCCCCCCCCCCGCTCCACCAGGCTCAGGCGTGCCGAGCGCGAGCCGTGTCTCTCCCTCCCCCCTCCCCTCCCTTGCTCTCGGGCTCCATTGCAGGGACAGGCAGCCGGCTCTCGCTCCCCCCCACCCCCGTCCGCCGCGCGCGCCTGCCTTCCAATCCGCGCCCGCCGCCCGCCTGCCAGCCAGTCCCGGGGAGGGAAGGGGGAGAGAGAGTGCGCGCCCGCGCGCGCGCGCCCCTGCTGCACCCAGCAGTTTCGCAGCCAGCCTGGAGAGACTGAGACAGACGGGGAGGGAGGGAGACGGCGCACCAGGAGAGAGGAGCTGCTGCCGTCGCCGCTGATCGCAAAGCGTGCGCGCCCCCCCCCTTCCTTCCAGCGCTCGCTTTTCCTCCCCACCCCTGACAGCCCCCTGTTTCAAAGGGGGGGAAAGGGAAGGGGGAAAAGAGCAATAAACCCGAAAGGCAAGAAGTCGGAGGGTGGGGGGCGCGGGAAACAATGGAGGTGCCTCGCCTGGATCACCATATGAGCAGCCCGAGCAGCCCCTGCGAGGATGTCATCAAGAACCTCAGCTTGGAGGCCATCCAGCTCTGCGATAGGGACGGTGAGTGGAAGGTGCCGGGGCTTGGGTGGGGAGGGGGGAGGTAGGGGGAGTTCGTCTCAGCGCAAAGCGGCCCGTGCTCTTGCTGCCACCGCCTCGCCCCACCCCCACCGGGATTGCTAATGCAAAATTCACCCCCACCCCCGCGTATGGCTCTTTGTTGCCACCCCATCTACCCTCTCCAGTCAGCCCCCCCCCCATCCAATCTTGCGCGGGGTTAGGTGTAAAATGTCCCCCTCCATCCCTGGCATTTGAGAACAAAAGAACAGTTTTTTGTGTTTTTTTAAAAGGAGGGGTCGCACCGTTATAGAGGGAAACCCCTCTATAAGGTGCGGGGCGGAGGGATAGTTCTGCGCCTTGCAGAGCGCTTGCCTGTTTCGAGAATTGGAAAGGAGGAGCAGCTGCATTCAAACGTTAATTAACATTTTCGGCTCTGAGAAACGCGTGTATAGGCATGCGTTTTCACGCGCACAGCCACTCCGAGTCCGGTTGGGATGATCACTTCTTGCGAAGCCATGATCTCGAACTCCAGGCACGAACCCGATTGTGACGTCCTGAATTATTATTTAGAGTGGGGAGTGAGGGGGTCGCATGTGCTTAGCTCTCTCTTATTTATTTTACTAATGAAGAAACTTGCCACATGTAGTAATTCAATGTAAATGCCGCTTGAGGGGTGCAAAAACGCCTGGCTTTGTGGCGGTAGTACGGGGTTTGGTAAAGGAAAAGAGAAAAGGAGATTTGTATGTTTCAGCACCATGGACAGTTGCAGCCTGTTCTCTGGACTGTGGCGGAAGTTCGCTTGGTGGAGTCTGATCTAATGCAGAATTCGAGACTGATGCAAGCGATTTCGTGTGCTAATGTTAAATCCTTTGTTCTGCACTCTAGCAGTTACAAATTTTGATACAGAGGGAATATGGGAGTAGACATAGCGAGAAAATCTTAAAAGCAAGGGAATGTGACAGTGTTGGCTTGTTAATGCATATTCTGCTAAGTGGCATGGTTAAAACTAATAACAAAACTTAATTTGCTAGGCAGAGTGCAAAAGGGTTGTTTGAGCTGCAGAAACCCAGGCATTTGTAAGGCTGTGTAATAAAGAACGGGGAACAACCAATTTACATACTGATGTACCACACTGAAGACTAGCAATTAGGAGTGTGTTTAATATTAATTCTATACAATTATGTCTCACTTCGTTGAAGAAGCACTGTGCTAAACAGCAGAATAACCTGTGTTCAGAAAGTAATACCCTAGAGTTAATTTAAAGACACAATTTAATTTTGTATTCATTTGCCTACCTTATATTGTTCAACATCTAGTAATTCAAAACAACTTAAAATTATTTTAAATAGTATCTCCTAGCTTAAAAGTAGAAAAAAATACGGCTTATATGGCAGTGAACAATACCGCAAGGTTTTAGTACTCTGAACATTTGGTGGTTTAATGTTATATTTCTTCTGTCTACACATATTATTTTGGAGTATGCATCTGCAATCTACAAGCACGTTATTATTGAGTAGTCCCATTTGTGACAGTTGAAGTACTGTAAAGTTGGTTCAGGACTGCAAATCAAGTAGCACAACAAATTTGCTATATACCCTAAAAGCTTTGTTATAATGGGCCTTTTTAGTACCAGACTTAACCATTCTGAAGCTGAATATTTGTCAAGTTTTAGTTTTAACATTGTGTTCAGGAGTGTGAGTTTAATGAGCCTTTTCCATTTCTACTTGAGTTCCCACAATTGCCATGCAGATTTCAAGGATTATATTTTTGGTTACAAGTACAATGGCATTAAAACCTGTGTTAAGGGAAATGTTCCTGTGTTGGTGTGGGCAGCAACAAAGCAATACTAGCTTTCATTTAATAGATAAAGTAGCATAATTTCCTTAAATTGATTTAACTATGTCATTTCCACAAAATATTTAACAGTGGATGCATTCGTGCTTCCCAATAAGCCAGGGTTGCTGGCTTACCATAGTTTATTGTGAACAAGCCGGACACTGGTGCAACATTCCCACTTTGCTGTTCCTCTGATGTGGGTGGAAAACAGACCAAGAAGCCATAGTCAGTTTTAATTCAGTTTCAAACCATGGTTTGTTGTTCAATTATGAACCTCTGGCTTGTCAAGGATCCTGGGTTGGGATGTCACAGGAAGCCAAGCTTAATTGTGGCTTCCTAGTTTGTATCTTCTATTTGCGTCAGAGGGAGGGGTGAAGTGAGAGAGATTAGGCAGCATTCATCAGCACACTGCTTATTCACAATAAACCATGACAAGCCACAAACATGACCAGTATATATATTAGTCATAGCTGTGTTTGGTAGCGGCAGATATTTTGAGATGGGGGTAAATGGAAGGCTCGCGTAGTTCTCAAAGTGTAGTGAAGCTTACAAAGTTAATTGTAGCAGTCTGCTAATTGATTCAGAATAGTCTTAATTAATTGTTGTGTACAATGAAGCAGGGTTACACTTTTTAGTGTGATTTCGTTTCCTCCTGATCTTTAAGAAAAAGAAAAGCTGGCTCAAAAAAAAAAAAAAAGATATTAGGGAAATGCCGGTTCTTCCCCACAATAGATTTCATGCCTAGCTAATCCTCATACATACTAAATTCTGATGGCTGGAACTCCACCAGTGCAAGGCTCATTAATCCCAATGCCTTTTGAGGTAGGGCATTATTCCAAATTTTACAGGCAGGCAGAAACGTGTGCAGGCTTCGTGCATCAAAATTTTACCACTAGTGTGCAGAACCTGATGTGGGTAAGTGCATTTGAAACATACTTTGCTTCCAACAGGTGGCACTTAAGACTCAGGAATGCCTACATGGAAAGACAAAATGGGATAAATGGACCCAACTTTCCAGGAGAGCAGCATATAATTAGTTGCTTCTAAGTGCAACACCATAAAAAACGAAGTAGCATCTCTTCTAAAGCATCATGGGGTGCAATCTATCAAGCAGTGTTGCTGTACAATGAGCATTTTGATGGCTCATGGGCAGGGCTCCTGTGAAAACTCCACTGAAATGAATGGCTATTTCACAGCAGCAATTGTAAGGGAGACTTGAATATGATCTTTGCAGTTCTCGTCTCTTTGAAATCACTGGGTGTTCAACTCTTCCCCAGCTGACCGATGGTTTAAACTGACTAATGTTTTCATTTTATGGCTGTAGACTTTCACCCATTTGATGTGTGCGAACCTCACTGAAATCGCCAAGTACACTATTGCAGCCCATGTTACTGTTTTGTTTTCTTGTTGAGAAAATAGGTGTTTGGAATTGGCTTTCTTTTAACTTGCTGAAGGTGAATCTAATCAGACAAGCACTTAACGATGCCCACTGAAAATGATGTGCATCAAAATGTGAAAAGGATAAAGGAACACACAGAATAACGAACATTATATTCAGCAGTATTTTAACCTACCGCTATGTAGTGGAGATGTTAGCTCTATAAATATAAAACAAATCAGTTCTTCTACAGTCTCATTTGAAAGTTGATTTGATTTGAAAAGCTGCTTGCTTGGTTACCTTCTAGACCCAATGTATAGCAAATGTGAGATGTCAGAATCCTAATATTAGAAGTTCGAGATAAAATAGTCTACCTGCTGATAACAATACATTTATGATGTGACATGCATTTAATTTCCATTTTTCACTTTTCCAACCACGTTGCCACCCTGAAGGCCGAACCGAGAATCTAAAATACTAATAAATTCCAGACGAAAAGAAATTCTGTTATTCCAGAGACACACAAACTCTTTCTGTGGATATAGACTAGGACTCCATTTTCCTATCAAAATGTTCTTCAGGTGGTCCACATCCATATTAATCAAATTAAATAAAAATGAAATATTTATAAAGTGCCAAAATCAATAAACTGATGCAGTGAAAAATCAGTCCATAGAAATTATAACATTTTTCAACCTTCTTTTAAAAAATACAAACTCCTGTTTTAAGATAGCTGCGCTGGTCCACAGCTCATGTTGAGGCTTAACTTAGAGTGCTCACCCCAGTGTAAATGACAGAGGCTTCAAATATCTGAAAAGCTGCCTCCTTCCCTACAGAGCAGCAGAGAGGGGCCTCTTGGTAGTTCTATCACCCTCACAAGCTTTGGGTGGGTGTGGGTGTGGCAGCCTGGGAAAGGGCATTCTTTGATGATGATGATGATGATGATGATGATGATGATAGAAACATTTTGCAATAGCACTTAAAGGCCTGCAGCTTTCTGCTCAAACTGACCTCCCTGTTCAAGTTGTTCCATAAAGCTGGGGTCGCTATTTAAGAGCAATCCTAGATCATCCAATCAAGTCTACTTCTAGAGTGTTTCAAGCAGATCCTCTCTGCAAATTGTAAGTTGTAATAGGGAATGCAATAGCCTTTTAAAAACTAATTCAGGGCTCCCTTGTTGCTGTGGCGACTGAATGTGCAGATGGAGTTCCCTATTCACCTTGATGATAGAATGAGATGCATAGTATTCAGTGATGTGAGGGGTTTTTTTTGGGGGGGATTGAATTGGAAACATGTCCACTGCATTCCTGAGGGTCTTCTAGTGATCTAATGTAGCATTTTTATTTTACTTGTGTTTAGTAAATGGAGCTAAACACTTTGTAACTGCCAAGACTGTTTAATACTGCACTTACAACTGGCATCCATTCATTGTTATCAACGAACTTAGGAAACAGAAATTTTCCCATGGAAAAATAAAGCAATACTGTATATTTTTTCTCATCCCACATTGTAGTTGGTATGCTCACAATCTTTTGTAACCAATTTATTGGTAACATAGTCGCACAGGGAAGCAGTGAAATGGGGGTGGAGCGGGGGGGTGAGAAAGAAGACAATTCCCAGCCATTTTTCTCTTGCTGCTGTTTATGCAGGTTAACAATGGATATTCTTTGTTGTCTTGGTGGATCTAATATAAAATGTTTTCGTTCCATTTTACCACCCCAAAGCCCAATTTATAGGTATTTAGATGTATGCAAACTATAAACATTCATTCATTTTCAATATCCTCTGGTTATTTTGTATCTGCTTAAACATTTTGTTTGTTGTGTCATGTTGAAATGCATATTCCTGAATAAGTGCCCATGCCTATTTGTCTGTCTTCAATTACCCGGATCTGACTTACAGTTAAATAATTGTGGAGGTGGTGGAACAATATAATATGATCTTTAAGCAAAATAAAATGTGAATTGAGAAAGTGATATTAAAATATTAATATTAATAAATAGCATTACACACTTTGCAAAAGGGGATCCAGACTGCAACTTGTCATATCGTGAAGGCACAAAATCTGTTCAGTCTCTTAATCACTCTTTTCCACAGGCATAAATAACTCTAGTGTCATCTTTTCTTTAAATTCATAATAGGCACATCCTGAAATGGCACAATCACATTTCTGGTGCATCATCAACATTTTTAATGTTCATAGAAAATAAAAGAACAGTGTTAAGGTTGTGATTGCCATATGGAATTACACACACACACACACACACACACACACACGTGTCTAGCTCCTGTGTAGGCACAGCTTTTAAACTTAATCTGAAAACCAGTGCTTAATTTGAGTCCTGCTGCAACAGAACAGCATGGGCTTATCTAGTCCAGCATTTGGATTTCCCACAGTAACCCTCCCCCATACTTCCAAGAGAGCCCGCAAGCAGGCCCTGAAGGTATAGCAGTTCCCCAGATGCTGCTCCCCGCCTGGTAGTCAGGAGGTATACTGTGTCTGAACATGCAGGCTCCATTTAGCTACATGGCTAATAGCAGTAGATAGGCAAAATCAAGGAGGACAAACAAGTCTGTTCCCTCTTCAATGCCATCTAAACTTGTGGCTGTCTGACATCTTGGGGAAGTGAATTCCATTAACCAACTGGGCACTGTGTGAAGAGGGTACAAATGGTACCTAGGTAAGTGATGTGAAGCTCTAGAGGAAGAGGTCCACTCCATGCTTTCATGTAGCTTAGAAGCAACATCTTTCCAGAACAGTAATTCAGAATATTCTTCTTTGTCCCTACTTCTCACATTCTAAAATTGTCACGTTCCCTTTGACTTTACTAATACCGCCCCTTCTTAATTCTTTTGCTTATATCCTTCAAGTGTTTCTAATTGTCTGTCCACCACATGGACAGTTGTGTGTGTGTGTGTGTGTGTAATATGTAATAATGTGTATTCTAATTTTTCTTGAGCATCAGTTATGTCTTCTGCCCCAGGCAATTTCTATCGCTCTTCCTTGAGCAGTATTGTATCCCTTCCTTTAAAACAAAAACCATTTGTTGTTTGCTTTCTAATGGCATGGATGGTATTATATGCCTTTGTGCTGTTTATCCAGTTTGCCTTAACATACATTGTATTATTGCATTTCATGCTGACAGCTGCTTCTGAGGCCACGATTAGCTGGGAAGCAGAGTAATCATTAGGATGTCCTATCTCAGCTCCAATGTTGCATCAAATTGTGTCCAGAAGTATTCTTCATTAGGCACTTGAATACAGTCTGCTGAGGACTGTCTCTGCTTAGCACCCAGTCTCCCAGTGGAGCTTTCTTTATAAATGGAGTACTCAAACTATGAAAGAAGAATTCACTACAGTTTCACAAGGAAAGCATGGGGGGTGAAAGTCATGCTAGTTCCTAACAGGCAGTTTTTTCTGTGTCTTCCCTTTCCATTGTGTGTTTCTGTTAGACCATTTCTGAATGGTTCAGCATTCATTCATCTACCTCTTTGTATGAAATTCTCAGTCATCTGCTCATTGCGACTACCAGTTCTCATTTAACATCATTGGTGAATTCACCAGTATGTGTTCTCACTCTTCTGGATCATTAATCAAGCCTTTAATTGCATTTGTATCTATCCCCTGCATCTGGGGTACCTCACTGAACACCTGTCCCTGCTTGAATCCCTTAAATTTGCCATGGTCTTTTGTTCACTCCCATGTGCCAGTGTTCCCACAACAAGCAAGACGTTGTGGCAGGAAGGAGGGCGACCAATCGTTTGACTGAGAGGACCTTTTACAAAAAAATATATATGGAAAAAAAGAACCACAAATCCCTCAATCTATGTCAGACTTCAACTGGTTATTATGATGAATTTATTCATAAGGTGGGTTATTTTGTTGTTGTTTCTGTGAGAGACCGGTATTACTTGAGGCTGCCTTTTTCAGCTTTATAACCTTCAGACCTATGCCTAACGTAGGTCTGTCCATCCATGTAGGGTCCAGTGTTAGAAACTCAGGTATATATGTTAGGCACCAAATGGCTCCTTACACCAGGGTTATTCTCACCAAAACGGAATGCTTAGCTGCTCAAAAGACATATTTTTATGTACAACGTTTTGGTTCCTGAAATTTATTCCGATTGTGCATTTGAAATCTAACAGAATTGTACAGGATGTGTGGCTAGTGTATGAAAACGGTCAAGATCCAACTATCCCCAGGTATGCACCTCCAGATGGTAGAGATGTCAGGCACCATCCTGGCACCCAGGCATCTTCACTTGGTCACAAGTGGCCATTGGCGAGGTGCAAAAGGCACCTGATGCCTGGCCAGTTTGGAACACGGGTATGGTCCATCTTCCAGATGGTTTCCAGTAGCAAAATTAGGGGTTGTCAAGTGCTGTACAACCCTTACAACATGCATTGAGTGGACTGTTCTCATTAGGATGCTGCATTGGTCCAGATGCTTTGATTTGTCTCTGTTTATTTTTATTACTTTGCTCCACACACTGGGATTGGAAATATTCAATGAAAAGCAGGCTATTATTACTGTTCATCCTCATCATCTAACTCAGCTCTGTCTGTGATGACTAGCAGCCCTTCTCCAGGGTTTCAAGCAGGAGTTTCTTCCAGCCCTACCTGGAGATGTCGGAAATTGAATCTGGGACCTTTCACTCACAAAAGAAGGCACTTTTACCACTGAGTTGCAACCCTTCTCCGCAATTGCACACATTTCAACAAGTCTTTTGCTTATCACTCACCTCATCTTAACTGGAAATAAATCACATTTATGGAGTAGCCTGTGAATTTAACCAAGTCTTGTCACATGTTTGTCCCATAGTTAAAAATGAGAGCTTGGGGACAACCAGTGAATCCAGTTGGCATAGGCTCAGGGTGGTCCAAAGGGACATGCTTAGCTTGTGGAACTCTTAGCTGCAGAACGGAATCTATGGAGTTTTGTTACTTTAGGCATGATGGCACTTTCTGTAGCTATTTGCTACTTGCAAAACAAGGCAGTACCTAGGAAAGGTCTTGGTGTGCAACAGATGCCTGTTTTTAACTCTTTCCTGTTGTAGCCTGCCTCTCTGACCTTGACAGTTTGCCGCCACTCACCCTTTCTGGTTTCTGGTTCTCCTCATTAATAGTCTTGGCTTGCTATGTCCTCTCTATTCCTTTGAACAATCTCGCAGCTGTTGGGTTTTTCCTACCTCATTAATTCGCCTTCGCTTTTCATATCCAGAGTAATTTTTCTTCTCCTTCGCTTGTTCCTCTCAATTTCTCTGCCCCCTTTGCCATTAATGTCCATCTGCAGGTTCCTTGAAAATAGGCTTCAGCGAGGGCATCGTGTGTCCATTTCTCTGTCCCTGTCCCTGTCTTTCTTTTCTTTTCTTTTCTTTTTTGCTAGATGCACTAGGCTACCTATTTAAGAAGAAGTAGCAATGCAGGGGGAGGAAGTCAAGCCAAAATCTGCATACGTGTCAGCAGGGGGGGGGGGGGACTTGTGCGTGCAGTTGTGGCTTTGTTACCTGTTTTTGCTACTGCAGAGAAAAACCACTCGGAAAGCAAAGTTCCAGTTTTGCATGCACTTATCTTCTGCACATCCATTTCCCTACATTGGATCTGGTCATGGATAACCACAACAGAACTATGCAGCTAAATGGGAAGGGACTGTCTCTGAAAGAGAACCCAAATGAATGGGAATTGATTGCATGTTGACTAGGGCCAGGGAGTCCTTGGTTAACATCCCCAGACAGTCAGGACCTTCACCGGGTAGCACTGGGCTTGTCACTGTCTCTCTGCTTAACTTGCCTCATGGGGTTGCTACCATAAAGCAGAGCAACCCCACATGCATTGCTCTGGATTCCTTGGAAGAAGGATGAGGTAAGCTATAGATACAGTAAATAATCAGCAACTTTAACTGAAGTTTGCCCCAGCAGATTAAGGTAGAACTAGGTAACGAAAAGTTTGTATGAGCTATATTTGGAATGCCAATTCCATTTTAAGCATTTTTGATAAGGCGTATGGGATGTGCTCTGTCAGGAGCTTTGTGGTGATCCATGAATGCTGCCTGTGTGAAAACAGCCAAGATCCAAGTATCCTCAGGCATGCACCTCCAGATGGTTAAAATGTTAGGCACCATCCTGCTGCCCAGGCACCTGCACTTGGTCACAAGTGGCTGATAGTTAGGTGCAAAATGCGCCTGGCGCCTGGCTAATTTCGAACATATCTAGTACATTACTAACATCAGAGCTAATGATTTATGTTCACATTGGGGATAAAATGAGTTTGGACTGATACTGAGCAGTATTGAGTTCTCTGAGATTTTCTAGTGTACTAATAGCAGAGGTAAGATCTGATTTGGGGACTTAATAGTCTGTACCCCTCGTTACTATGGTACACCAACTACCTATATGTATATAACCACCTATGAAACTGTATGGTGCACAAAGCTGGATTTTATTCATCTGGACCACATCCCATCATGACCACCATCACGAATTCTGACTGTGTGGTGATTTCTATCTTTCATTTTATGTTTCAGTGATGGAACCAAATATAATGCCCTGTTAGTAGTGTCAAAAGTTTCCAGTTGTAACAGAGAGAAAAGAGAGCCTTAACCAAAGTTTCCCTGTAAAAGCTTTGATGCTATGTGTGCGTTGTCACATCCCTTGTCTGACCTTAAAAATATTTCTTTCAGCTGGTTATAACACATGGTGGTGTTGCTAATGGAATCAATTTCCATTGTGGGGTTGTAGCTGAGTCATTAATCAATTTTAGTTTTATTGTTATCACAAAGTGTTCTTGCTTCTGTCCACGCTTGAATGCAGGTACTGTTTTGCGCAGGTGGTTTAGAAAACAATAATCAGACTTTAAAAAAAATATGCTGAAGACATTGGCGAACCTTGACAATTGTCCCTCAAATTGGGAGTGGGTGAGTTATGTCTTGCTAGAGTATTCCCAGGTAATATATATTGAAACTCCATGTTTCTGTCCTCTTGTTTTTTTCAGATGAAGAACATTGTCTAATCTCAATGCTCTCTTTTAACTTTGCTATTATTTGATAATTGGACTATGCCTTTCCTAAGAAAAGTAAATTTCCATACTAATTAGGGTTGAATCTTAAAAGCTGCTCACCTGTCAGGATTGGATGTCATAGCTACACCAGGCCCCAGCAGACAGGACATGGAAACCAGGGTATGGCAGAGAAGAGGTAAGCTAGGCCAGGTGGAATTTGGAATAAGAACTGGGTTTCAGAAAAGAGGTGGCTGAAGAAAAGCAAAGGAAAGCAGACCAAGGTATAAACGAGGCATAAGGGAACCCTTTTCACCCTCAGGGCCACATTCCATTTTAGGCAGCCTTTTGGGGGCCACATTCCAGTGCTGTGTGGGGCTAGAGGCAAAAGTGGGCAGAGAAACTAAGTTTTGTGTTTGTCCAGTAAGCTAGTTTCTTCACACTTGGACACCCTCCTCTTTGCTCCCTCCTGGCAAGCAACAAGCATTATCCGAGTCGAATAATGCATTGCAGCCAGGCAAAAGCACTCAAGGAGGATGCAAAGCAGGGCTGGAGAGCGGATGGGGCATAGGTGTAGTGCCAAGGGGCAGATAGGGACGACAACATTTGCCCCATCCCTGTTATAAACAGATTCAAGGCATGATGAAGAAGCTCCACCTGGAACAGCAGTCAGCCCTCTTCGCAATCTCTTCCTTGCACCCTGTTGAAGATATTGGGACTGTTCATAGACTCCACTTTTCTTTTTTCTTTTGTGATTTAAGTTGAATCACACTGAAAGACACAGTACCACATGTATTTTGGCCCTGATTTCTTATAGACTTGATACGCCTCCAAAAATTGTACAGGTATTCAGCTCTTTGGCCTTGTATTGATAAGGTAGGCTGGCAGTGCTGTGGGGCCTCTGCCTCCTGACCCAGCTAAAATCAACAATGGGAGAAGTATTTGGAAGGGGAGCATGGATACCATGCTTCTTTATGTAGACCTGCCTCATACGTTCAAAATCACGGTCTTGAGTGAAAGAGGTTGGCCAAATCGTTTTTGCACGGTGTGGTTGACCCGGGAGAATTCCATCAAATGAACCCAGCAACAAGGATTTCTAATACAAAAGTGCCGAAAGGAGGAGGGGACCAGATCTTTGTTGGAAGCCGCCCAGAGACCAAGCCAGATGGGCGGGGTACAAATAATAAATTATTATTATTGTTATTATTATTATTTGTGAGCAAACACTGCAGCAGCTGGAATCAGCTGCCCCATAGCCAGACCTGGCTATAATAGTGTATATTGTTGCAAGGAGATGGATGCAAAGTTATAGCTTGTAGATACAGTGAAGGGACTCTGTGCACAATGGCCTCTTTCTTCACTGGACTTCTTTAGTATCCCTCCCTGATGATGGCTTGCCCTTCTTTTGCCTCGCTCGTCTGTCACGGGAACCATCTCTTCCCTTGTGAGTCTGCAGTGCCTCCCTGGCATTCTTCAAGCTCTGCCCGGTCATACTAGGAAGGTTATTCACTTCTCTTCTGCTGAATGTGTTCTGTTCTGTACTTGCAGTAAAACGAGGTGGTAAAATCTTCAGGAGAGAGATTGGAATGTACCACTTCAGATTGTAAGTGGGGCTCTGCCACTTTGCTGATGCTCTTTGAATGTCTTCAAGGTTTCAGTATTTCACGAAAGAGATTCAAGTACATACCAGAACTTTTGGTTTCCACAATTGCAGTGGGAAAATGTGCTATTAAATCCACTTCTTAAAATATTAGATTTTTTGGTGGTTTGGAAAGTAACAGGGAAATGCATCAAATACATGGGGTAAATGATTAATGGGAAGATGTGCAAAAACTCTGCAAGCAAATCAGGGCAAATGCAGGACGGATGCTCATTGCCGTATAACCTTCCCACACACAAAAAAAAAATCAGAACAAATGTTCAATAAAGACCAGATACAATCTAACCTCTGCCTAAGGTTTGGACAAGCCAATCAGGATGAAGGGGCAATAAATAAGTTGTCCAGAGGAGCAATCGTATTATGCTGGGGTGGGTGGGATCCTGCTCAGCCAGTTCTTTGTTCATCTAGGTCTGTACATGCAGCAAAGTGTGTGAGAGTTTTAAGCTTTTGTTTATGCTTCTTTTGTATTCCCTCAGTGTATACATAGGACTCAAAGCATCCTCTGCTTGTGTTCTTAAATCATCAGGACATTATTGGACCCTGGATGCAGTCCTGACTCAGTCTGGCTGTTCTTACGTTGAATGGAATTTATTTCTATATTTGCAATACAGAATTCACTATGAAATAAGTGTAGATTTCTGATGCCTAAATTGGCCTCCACTTTTTAAAAATGTGCATTGGCATTTTGACACATCCCATTTATACAGGAGTAACTGGAGACCCCCCCAAAAATCGATCTAGTCACTGCGACTTATGCTGCAGAGAGATAATACAGTCCTGCTAGGCTGAGCATTCATTTGATATTGCATCAACGCATTCAGCCTTAAATGAGAATACAGAACCCAAAATAACATTGTGCTAAGCTTTTTATAGATGCCATTGTCTTTCTCTGTAGCTGTCCTTTTAATGCTAAGTATGGACTGTGTGGTTTTGCATATGTTGCGTGGATTATGTGTTAGATGCATTGATCTTTTGCTGCAGCAGCTATATTCAGGCGAGACCCATTCACAAACACCCTCCCTTTTTAAAACAGCCTTATAAACAAATCGGCAAAAAACGATAGCCCAGAAAAATCCTTCCTTGCCCACACATATATCTGTCCATAATTTACAGTATATCAATACTTGGAAAGGGGCGAGGGGGAAAGACCAATTATTTTCAAGATTACAAATGTTTATCTTGTCTGTAGACATACTTGTTCCAGGGGAGTGCTTGTTCTATGGTTCAGCCTTTAAAGGCTACTGTACTGTAGAATCCACATTAGTTAGAATGCAGAAAAAATGTTGGTAAACTTGATTCTGATTGAAATCAACAGGGGAGAAATAGTCATGTTTTCAATTACACTCATTTCAATGGGATTTAAGTTTAACTAAGACAAGTTTACTTATTGTTTTGGAGGTGTTTCTTAGGTAGGTTGGAATGGGTGAATAGTTGTTGCTCTTCCAGTTATGGACTGAAAAATTCACTCTTCAGTTTCTGTATCTGCTGAGCATCCACCTTAATTTTTGCACATTTTACACAATGCAATAGTGCTGCGAAGGAGTTGGTAGTCGTTTGCAGCTGCTTACTAGGATCACGCCCATTGATCTAGCAGCCCATTTGCATATTCAGATACTCAATCGTATATTGTTAATAAGTATTTCTGTAGAGAAAAATGTCTGCATCTATGTAGAAAACTGGCATTCTGCCATCATCTTAGGAAGCTTTGCATCCAATGTGAGGATCACTTGTTCATCCTGTGAATCTCTTGTCTATAGACTCTGGTTCTTGTTGCTCCTGTCTAATTTAGGGATTATGCCCAAGGATTCTTGGTTTCATTGCAATATCTAGCTGCTGCATTGAGTCTTTGGAACCGGTTGCTGCTAGGTCATCGGGGAGGGGGCACTACTCATGAATAGGTGGTTTTGCAGCAGCATGGCAGACTCTCTGCTTCAACTTGCCTGATGGAGGCAGCCTCCATTTGGTGAATATTTGTGTGTAGCTGCCTGTATTATGCCAAGGTCAAGAGGCAGAGTAAAATCAATGTACCTCCCCTCTTTTACATGCTCAGGAGTGTCCCCCTTTTCTGCCCTATGCCCAGAATTTCCGGCTTTAGTCCTTTGAGTTCCAGAATTCCTTCTTGATACAATTATCACAAGGAGGCTTGTGTGGTGTATATATAGGACATTTTTGTGTGTGCTTTTTAAAAAAAAACTTGGTATAATGTCACCTAGTAGTCATCTTTTAAATATCAGCTTCACTTCACTTGATCTTCTCCAGTCTTCATTTTTCCTAAATTGAAGTCATTTTTCATCATATAAATGTCAGCAGATAGCTCTTGCACATCTTCCTCCCACTGTTCTCCCAAGATATATATAGAGCAAAGGAGTGTGTCAAACCAGCTTGCCACGTCGTAGCGGTTGGTAATAGGTTTGGTAGCCAGCCATATTCCAGATAGTACATAACCTCGCAGAACCAGATCTTTTTTTCCTTTTTTTCTGAGTTACATTTTAGGAAAACATTCTAGAAAATGAGGGAAAGTGCCAATTATCTTCACTCCCTTTGACCTATGTCAGGTGCATAAATTTATTCACTGTGTTGTCTGTATTTGCAGATCTGGAATTAAAGACGGGTTTGCATAGATTCAAGAGCCCCAAAAGTTTCACTGCTCCAAGTGTGTACTTCCCCAAGTGACTGATGGTGTGGCTTGTTTGTGTGTGCTTACAGGGGGTAACTATTAACTACTCTTGCCCCATAACTGCTCATGATGTAAAACTCCAGAGTGGCAATTGTGTCTCTTGCCCCTGCAACTATTTAGTTCCATTATTTTCTCCTCATCTCCCAAATGGTATCGAAGCAGAAATTGAGTCTGCCTTGCTAGAGCTCAGAGACAAAGAATCTGGCCTTGCAAATGAGATTGGACTATGCTTAACTTCTTTAGGCTGCCGACCTGGGAGTAAGTCTCTTTGAACTCACCGGGACCTGAGTAGATATGCCTAGGATTGTGCTGCAAATCTGGCAGAAGATTCTGATCAGATCTATCCTGATCTATCCTGATCAGGCTTGTCTTATCTCCTTCTTGTTTCCTTTCCTTCTGTCATCGATTCATGAATCCTTCTCATTTCTCATCCTCCTTTTCACTACCAAAACGTAAAAAACTTGTCCACAAATTCTTGCATGTTTCTGCAAAAAAAGGATAACATTTCCTGCCTAGGAGTACTGTAGTCTGCTCCCCACCCGCACCCCGTCACTCCCTATCCTCATCCTGACCGCAAAGGAAAAGTGGAGTGTTACCACTTACAGTTTGAACCTCCAGATCTTTTAATGAGCTCCTTGCAGCTTCAAAGTCAAGAGGAGCTTCTTACAGACCTGTACAGAAGAACTGTTCAGAATTATGTCCTGCTTGCTTCTGCAATCCTATGTGAAACTCAACTTAGGCTGTGATCATAAATCCGCTCTCAGAGATGCTACATCTGTCTATACTATAGTTGCACTAGTCTGTCATCATGCTGTTTTTGTTGGTTGTTTCCCAAGAGTATAAAGGCAGGGGTGGGAAAAGGAAAAGGGGTCAGGAAGGAAAAGGAGGGGACTCATGTCTATAGTAAATGACTTGGGAAGTTTAAGGGAAGGCCTTGGTATGGGGCAAGAAGCAACTGTGTTTGCGGCAGTTTTAGTTCTCTGCTTCCAGTGGGGAAGAGAAAGGAGGAACTAGGGAAGGGGCATGTGGAATTGGGTGGGAATAAATTTGACATTTGGAGGAATGAGGGGAATAGGGGAGATGGGAATGAAATGTTTGTGAGGGAGAGAATTTTGGGGCTCTGGCAAAGAGGGAATTAAGTTGGAGAGGAGGAAGAATTGAGGAAGGAGCAAATGAAAATTGATGCTGTTGCAGGAGGCATTTGCTGTGCTACAGAGGACTAGGGAGTGGGGCATTGGAAGAAATGAAGGGGAATATATCAGTGTCCCACTTGGAAGTTTAATGGAGTAGAAAGAGGGGTTGATTTGTGGAGAGTGGGAGGGGTAGCAAGCAGGAAACAGAGACAGCCTAGTACAGTGGTACCTCAGGTTACAAACACTTCGGGTTACAAACTCAGCTAACCTGGAAGTAGTATCTCGGGTTGAGAACTTTGCCCCAGGATGAGAACAGAAATCACGCGGTGGCGAGAGGCCCCACTAGCGAAAGTGTGCCTCAGGTTAAGAATGGTTTCAGGTTAAGAATGGCCCTCCAGAACGAATTAAGTTCGTAACCCGAGGTACCACCTTATTTATATATTTATATTTAGTAAAATGGCTTAACTCTTCAATGTATTTATTTAAACCAGGGGTTGCTAACCTGTGACCCTCCAGATGTTGTTAGACTCACAACTCCCATCAGCCCCAGAGAGCATGGTCAATGGTCAGGAGTTGTGGTCAAGCGATATCTGGAGGTCCACAGCTTCCCCACCCTGACTTAAACAATTTCCAAGCTGCTTCTCAGGATCATCCGTCCTCCCAGAGCTGCTAAAAAAGCAAGCAATTCAGTAAAACAACATTGTTAATGAGACAGTTAAAATCTGTGCAACATTTAACCAATTAAATACAAGAAAAAAGCAGCAAACAGTAAACCGTATAAGCATCACAGGCAACCTCCTCAGCCTCTGCACAGGGCATTAACTTACAGTGGTACCTCGGGTTACATACGCTTCAGGTTACACACTCCGTTAACCCAGAAATAGTGCTTCAGGTTAAGAACTTTGCTTCAGGATAAGAACAGAAATCGGGCTCCCGTGTCGCGGTGGCAGCAGGAGGACCCATTAGCTAAAGTGGTGCTTCAGGTTAAGAACAGTTTCAGGTTAAGAACGGACCTCCGGAACGAATTAAGTACTTAACCCGAGGTACCACTGTACTGTAATTGAAATCAGATTAGATGAGAAAAATATTTAGGACTCATATAAAACAAAAGAAGAATGGAATTAGAAGAATCATGAGAACTGTAGTCCTCTGAGTGGGCCAGGGCTCCTGGTTGAAAATTATGGGCACAAAAATACGGTTTCCACGGTTTCTTCAAGGAAGCCATGACAGTTAAACTAGTTCAAATCCAGTTTGCTCTGGCTGTGTACATGTGCCCTAGTTTGGAAGCAAGTTTCTTTCGAAGTCAACAAGACTTGCTTCCAAATAAATCGGAGTGAGTTTCCTGCAAGGTTGTCCTTGATATTCTTCAGTCAAGTTTCCTCTTCAGTATATTTCTTTATATGCCACAAGAAAAAGAGAATATGTGAAAGCCAGGATTCTTAAAGGCAGTTCAGGCAAGTTTATGTTTTTGTGAAGCAGAGGAAATATTATTTCAAAGTGAAGAACTCAGACCTCTAAATCTTGAGGGACACAAGTCTCCGTGGCAAACTGAGCAGCAATGTGTTATTTATGGAGCAGACTTGCTGCTTTTGAAAAAGTTGAGAAACATAATTTATGCGGTAAGAGTTTGCCAGGCATGAAGAACTTGGAACCATCTGACAACAAATATGCTGTGTGCATCTTGGAGAATATCTGCAGTGCAGATTTTGAGGTAGTCTTCATCTTGTACTGCTTACAAAGCATTTGCCTTTCACCTCACCCATTTCTTCCTCTGCTTTTGTGGCCAGTATACTTTTTTCTTCCTTCCTTTGGGTCCACATGTCCCAGGATGCTTAGTCTCTTGGGTATTTAAAACCTTGATGATTGTAAGAATTTTTTTAATCTTGATCTGTTATATGATACTCATTGAAATGTAAAATACCTATGAATGAATAGATCTACCATGCATCCAGAGTCGGTCTAACACTTTGCAGGTAGGTGTAGCAGTAATAAAGAGGTGGGTTGCCCTGCTGCCAAAGGACAGGTACTATAATTAAAGAGCATTTGCTGGTGGTACAAGGAAGAGGCTCAGGACTCTCTGTGTTGGCACCAATGATTGCAGGTTGCAAGTACAAATCCTTTATGTCCTTTTGCCACTCTCATTTTTGTCAATTTCCAAAGTTTGATACTTGGCACTTATGGAGCAAGAGCCAGATCTTTAGAGCCAGGTAAGTTGATGCAGGAGCTTGAAAGGGATGCTGAAATGCAGGTGGACTTCACATTTGGATTTTTACCAGCTGAACTGACATGGCTTCCTGTGAAGTAATCCTAATTGGTGAAATTTCTAGGAATTTCGTTAGAAATTCCCCAGGCCCCTCTCGCAGCAGAACTCCAGCTCCCAGGATTCTCTGTGGAGAGGGACTGACTAAGCCAGTCTAAGTATCTGGTTTGCTTCTATCTCTCTATAAAGCAGTGCTTTATAGAGCACTGATTTATACTGCTTTAAACACTTTATGTGCTTTAAACACTGACCTGCGAGCGCTCCAGTTGGAGAACAGCCTTTACCAAAGGCGTCAAGGGCTTTGAAGACACTTGAACTCAAGAAGCAAGGGAGAAACGTGCTAAGAGGAAGGCACGCTTGGCAAATCCACACCGTGATCAATTCCTGCCTGGAAACCAATGTCCCCACTGTGGAAGGACGTGTGGATCCAGAATTGGCCTTCACAGTCACCTACGGAATCATTGTTAAAACGGTGTTTATGGAAGACAGTCTTACTTGGCTACGAGTGATCGCCGAAGAAGAAGAAAGCTTGTCAAACTCTTTCCCAGGAACCCAGTAATCCCTCATGAGTTTATCAGCAGGCCGTTCAAGCGAGCCAATCAGCAATGGTGAACAAGCTTACCAGATACTACTGATCTTTCCTGTAAAGCAGACATGGAGGAGAGAGAGAGAGAGTGCGCGCACACTCTGGTGTGTAGACTCAGTGTCAAGCAAGCAAGGTGTGACATTATTTGCATATTTAACCCTGGTATGCTTGCTTGCTTGCTTGCTTCCCATCATGAATAAGAGGATTAGAGAGGACAGGGTTCTGATCACAACCATGGCAGCAGGTCCCCATTATCCCACATCACCATCCTAGTCTCGGTTCTCTCTGCGCCCCACTGGCTATTTACTTATTTATTTTAAAAGCAAGCATTGCCAGGGCTAAAGTAATAAATAGAATCCCATCTATTTTGGCCCTCAGTTCACACGGGCAAGGCTCAGTAGGCCTGGCCAGTGCCCTGACTGTACCATGTTGTTGTTGTTGTTGTTGTTTAGTCGTTTAGTCGTGTCCGACTCTTCGTGACCCCATGGACCAGAGCACGCCAGGCACTCTTGTCTTCCACTGCCTCCCGCAGTTTGGTCAGACTCATCTTTGTAGCTTCGAGAACACTGTCCAACCATCAACTGTACCATAGAACCCAGAATAACAGCAGTATATAGGCAAGACTTTGCCAAACTTGTGCCTTTCCTATGTTTAGGATGCTGACTGGGGCTGATGGAAGATGTACTTTAAAACATCAGGAAGGAACCAACTTGGTAAAGGCTGGTAAAGGCATTCCTTGGCAGATTCACATGGGTTCCCTAACAAGCAAATAGATGTGGGAATAAGGGTTCTTGTAGGTAGGAAATTTGAAAATCGCTCTTCTGTTTGAGTCCCAGATTAAATCACTTCTGGTTTACAGTTTTTTACTTTTCCGGATAATAGCTACAACTTATTATCATTCTTCTTGAATGGGATATCTTTCTCCCAGTCAGTGTGGCCTGCAGCCCGGCTGTTCTATTCCCTCAACCCCCACAGAGTGCTTCTTTGAAAGTGCTATGAATTTTCATGGCTGGAGAAGCTAATGGGAAGCCAGAGACAATCGGTATTGGCATTTAAAAAACTCTGCAGGTCCATTAGTCACTCATGCCCTTTCAAGCAGAAATCCATCTAGAGAATGACCTTGTCCAACCGTGAGATTCCACTATTATGCAAGAAGAATGATCTATTCTAGCTTGGGGGGTGGGGGTGGGGTAGATGTTTTGGCAGTGGTTGCATTTCCAGGCCATCGTATCTGTTGAAAGTTCACCTCATGTGGAGGTGGTGCTCAAGGTGGCACTTAAGCAACACTTAATAAGTCCAAAGCCAATCACTGGCCCCTAAAGAGAGCTAAAAGATTTGGGTAGAAACCCCAAGTGAGGTTATCTTTCTCTGGGCTGGGCTATTCAAGACGGGGGGAGGGCCTGAATGTTTCCATACATAAAACAAGCAAAAAGATGCTTCCTCCCCCCTCCCCCCTGCAAATAGCATATTGAGGAAAAGGTTAGCCTAGAACCTTCTCCCTAGTATGGTAGTTTTATGGGGCAGGGAACTTTCTGGATATTTGGTTCCCAACTGTAGCTTGAAATACCACCCACTAACCATTTGCCACTTGGGGTACTGGGATTCCTTTTTTTGTTCTAAGGGTGAGATTTATCCTTCCCATCTTTTCTAAGTTCTCTAGCCACAGTAAAACCATGGAAGTGTATTCCCATTCAACGTGGAGAACTGATAACTGCTTCCCGTTAAAATGATCTAGAAAAGAATCTTGCTGTTGATATGCAATATACATCAGCATACTTACATTTCATTTGTTTGAGCAAATCCTAGATTGATCAGTGAATGCCTATAGCTGCAACGGTATTGTTTCTGAAAAATTTAATATGCTTTGGGGTGCAATCCGTAGGACTTTAAATATTAACACTGTTAGAGCTCTTATATCCATCTTGAGCGATATTACATCAGGGGGTTTTCCTGCCTTGCTTGCTCCCAAACTGCAATGTCCTCTTATAGGTATTTTCTTGCAGGTATTTGTGCCTTGAGAAATAAGGGCGTGCTTGGAAAACCCATTTTGGCAGTCACAATTCTGCACAGGCACTCTGTGAAAACAGAGTGGCATCGGTAGCAGATGTCCTGCTGTTTTTCAAGGAGCTGAAATTCAATGGCCATGTTGACTGGAAAAATAATTTCCACCCCTTAGGCAGAGTAGCTGATTTAATAGCACCCCTTTCTGATATAGGCTGACGTATGGTCACATGCATATCCACATATGTACAGGAATGTGAAGGTCACACTCATGATTCAGAATGTCACATTGCTTGTTGGCGCTCTCCACAGGACATGCCCTCATCATGAGACTTTCAAAATTGGGTTGGTGGAGCAGAAGTCCTATGACATTGTCCTCCATCTTTGTTCAGAATCATAGGACTTTGCATCTCTTAATATGTCTACACATTACAGCTTTAAACCAGTTTGAAACTCATCCTATGCCAGCCAATGATTTGTAGTTTGACAGGCAGAACTCAACACCATTACAGAATGGTAGTTCTGCAAATTCTTTTGAGGAAGTCCTGGCATTTAAACTAGTTTTAAAATGGTTTATATCTATAGTGTGGTTGTTCCCTTGTGTGCATTTCACTCCAGTGCTCAATGCTCCCTGTTTGTGTGGAGTAAGCTAAACCTGATGTACTAATTTACTATATGTAGGGAGGTGTGTGTTTATAAGATTCCCCACTTGCAGTTTAAAGTGATGCAGTGCCCAATTCTAACATTTCAGTCTGTGATTCTGCATAGTGTGTAAATAAGTTTTTTCTTCTTGAGACTTGAACATGACACTTCTGCTAATGCAACCTAAAATGGCTGTCTCTTGTGGCTGATTCACATTGAATATATTGTATACCGTATAAGGCTCCCCAAGTCACTTTTGGAGGTGATGCTATCTTGCTATATTTCCCACCCTAAAAAACAAAACAAGGCTGAAGAAAATTAAGAAAGCACAAATGACCTTTCAGGCATGTGTTGCTCTTTTAGTTCAATTTTATTTTCTTCCCGGTATTATTACCTCTGACAAAGCTTTGAATATCTGACAGAAATATATTGCCTTCTCTTCCCTATGCGCTGTGTATTGATGGTAATGAAACGATAAAGAGAATAATAAAGTACGTGGAAAACACTTTGTTTGCTGAGATTTTGCTTCAGCTGCAGTTGTGATGATCACAACTGCTTTAGAATTGATTAGACAATTTAACTTGAAATTTAGCTCTGGCTATGGCAGAAGAGAGAGAAGCCTGTGAACAGGAGCATAAAACATTAATCTTTTGGTGGCCCCTTTGATCTTAGTAGAGCTGGCAGCTTGTGCTTATTCTTTTGACTTTTTAAGGGGTATAATCTTGCACTCAAATGTGTGAACAATGTTTGTTCTTTGGCATTTCATAAAATGGCGAAAGGTGAACGGTTTGGCTCGGAGAGAGCAAGGCTTTCTGGAGAGCAGAAAAGCAGAAAAGCTTCCAGAAGACTGAGTTGCATTAGAGCTAGGATGGGGAATCTGTGGACAAAGGACCACATTTGGCCCATGCTCTAATTGAAGGATTCCCACTTTTCCTCTCTGAACCACCCCTCTGGGAATCTCTTCTGCTTATAGTAGTGTGTTGTACACAAGAGGTGGAGAAGAGATGCTATGACACAGAGAGAAAGAGCAATGCAGTCCTGCAATAAATGCTGCATGCACCCCACAACACACACACTTTTGGCTCTGGTTCAGCTAACTGTTGGTTGGGCCCCTGACTGACTATTCTTGTGGTTCAGAGGCTCTTTAAAGGAAGAAGACTCCCCACTCCTAGCCTTAAAGACTTCACTTCCTCCTGGTGCTGGATTTGGGGGCCGACCCCAAAGTATGTTTCTGAGGCTTGAATCCTACTTTGTGTAACACTTCTTAGCCACAGATAATCTGCGTTTTGTGTGGGCAACCTGCAGAAGGGGAAGGGGGAACACTCATTTCCAAATATACTGAGTTGAGGTGGGTGCACGTCAGAAATCATGGTTCGCTGCAGTTTCCTGACACAGGTCACTGTGTTTCCCCTTCATCCTCCACTGTATTCCCCTGCAAAACACTGGTGTGGTAAACATGGCTGCCATATAAATCGCAAATCCACTTTGAGGTGGAAAGCTTGAAACGAGATGATCTTAACAATTTCATATTTGTCTGAAATTATGAACGCTTGGAAATTTCCAAATATCTCCTATGGGTCCATTGTCTTCAAATGTACCAGTTTTAAAGCAAGAACACCACTTGAGTAAGGACTTTCCCACATTATAAATTATTGTTGCAATTAGTCCTTCATTGCTTTCCCCTGTGCCTGGGCTTTCCCCCAATGTTGTCTCTGCAGGCTTTCTGTATTTGGAGTGTGGGTAGCCTTGTTGATGCTATTTTCTCCAAAAGCAAACTTTAATCAAGCAGCTTCTAGTTTTCCTTCATCAGCTTGACCTATCTCATAGCCTCAGGGTTTCAGAATGGGTTTCACTTGTTTCCTTTTGTCTGGAGGGCTCTGATTCCTGCTTGGTTGAGGACCTGTTGAGTATGGATGACTACATTCTCTTGATGTGCTAAAAGGAGATGGCTGGCAAGACAGCAAGCCCTGCAGCCTATTGTTACAACCACTGTATCCTCTATGGCAAGTGGCACAGATCCTCCGGCAGACAACCGGATAAGTCTGAGAGCAAAAGAACTTGATTGCTTTGCCTTGGTGGATTAGACCAAGATATATCAGCCTTTTGTTTTCAGCAGTGGTCATTCAGATGCCTCCAGGCATTAGCAAGCAAAGACATAAAAATTATGGCCCTTCCCCTCTTAGTTACACTTGGCACCTGATATTCTGAGGCTCTCCAACACCAGTTAACATGCTGCCCATTAATGGTTCTGCCTCCTTGATATTTCCTAGGCTGACTGCTTCCATGATACTGCACAAGAACAAAATTTAATGTCGTGAGAATGTGAACTTTTCTTTTCTGGTCACAGCTGGCAATAGCCAAGCATCAGACTCAAAAAAGAATTGGGGACCCTCAAGTGTCACCTTGAAAATAGAAACCCATTGGGGAGTGTTTGGTGGTTTTTTGCTTTTTTTAGGGTTTGGTCTGCTACTCAGGAGGGTCCCAGTTTTCTGACTAGCCAGGAGGGCTTTTCTCTTCCTTGGGCAGCCAGCATAAATGTTGCTGAAACAGAAGGGGTGGTGGTGAATGATCTGCAGGGGGTGACCATTAGCCTCCACCTTTCTGATTTCATCCCTGAAGCTGTTTATTCCCTGCCCTATGGGAACTAATGGCTCTCCTTCTGTGTATCCCATATGTTGAGCTTCAAAACTCACGGGAACCAAAATAGCTTCACAAGTATTCAAATGGGGAACCTTTCACTAGATCCATGTTTGGATAGCAAGACTCTGCACAAAAGGTCTAATATTTCTGAAGCATATCAAGTGGTGAAAACCATCAATCGCTTTGGTGGGTTTCATAAGATGCTGGGAGAAAGCCCCTGACAAAGAACCTTGTGAAATGTATTTGACAAATCAATTTGCTGTTGCAGTTTGCAAAGGGACCTTTCTGGAAAACCGAGCAAAATTACGATAGCTAAGAAATTGCATTTTGCAGACTCTGACAAGATTCTGTAAGCATCCATGGTAGGATATTTCATCATTTTAATGAGGCATTAGAGAAAATGCAGTTTTTAACTATGTCATTGATAGTGAATTAATTTGTTTTTAAAGTGCTCTAATGTAATACATTCAAACTTGGGAGATTTCAGAATAAGATCTGCTTTTCTGCACCGTTCGTACTGCATAGAAATTATTCAAAGTTGCTGAGAAATGCAAGGGAATGGGGATTGTTCGGTCTGGTAAGCTAAAATGCAAATGTTGACAGAATGTTATCCATAGTACTACACTGAATTTCTTCTGATGAGAAAAGGTATCTTCATTGGTCCCACCACCAAGGTTTAGATGGTTGTTTTGTGGTATTAAAATTTGGCCACAAACCTCTCATGTTCCAGCTGTTGCTGCTCTTTTATCGCCCACAATTCCCTCTGTAAGCCAGAGGAAGCCTGGGAAGCAAGTGCCTAGGGGCCATTGGGTTGATGGCTCAAGCCATCTTTCAGTTCCATAAACTGGCACAGCCCCTGACGAAATAGCTAGCAACGCTACAGAGTAAACTGCCTCAACAGTTCTGAAAAGTTGCCTTGTCCACAAAAAAATGTGTCATTGCAATGCCTTTTGCCACCAGATCACCAGAGGCAACATCGGATATCCAACCAATACAGTGCTTAGCAGGCTTTAAAAAGGGATTAGACAAATTCATGGAGGATGGGCCAATGAACTGCTAACAAATTTGTCATCTATGATAGCAAATCCAAGATCTGAGACAACATACCTCTATTTCTGGGGGCAAACAGCAAGGAGCATGGCATACTTCTCAGAAGTACCTGATTGGCTACCTGAAGACTGAAAGGGAATTTTTATTTTAGTTTTTCATTTTTTAAAGTGAAAAAGTGAGAGTAGAAGTTCAGCTCTATAACGTGTCCTTTTGAAAAGGTTGTTCTTTCACCCTATTTTGCAATTAAAATAATTTCGCTTGCCTTTGAGTGTTTGTTCTGGAAGAAAGGCAGTAATGAAGAGTGGGAGTGTGCTAGTTCATGTTGTGCTAACATAGCGTTCGACAACTGTGACTCTTTTTTAGTCACTGCTCATATGGATAATAAGTTAATTATACAATTAGCCATTTGTGAATCAGACATGTGCTGGGGACGTTGGTGGGGAAAAAAGAGCAACAATTGTTCACAGCTTTCATCACTATTGTTGGCTCAGACGTACACTTGACACATTAAAAATCTGTAGGCCTGAGGTGAATGTCCTGTTCCCCACCTGGCATCCTTGCGCATGACCAAAGGAGCTATTTATTTTTACTATGTTTAAAATTAGCGCAACATTTAAACAGTTTCTTCTGTAGAGTGTTGGTGGTATTTTTCCCTTAAGCACTTTCCTAGAAATTGGCACTCCTGAGTATAGGAAGAAAAGAACCTCCCATGCCAAACTTCACAGAATTTGGCCTGGAAATTATTATTATTATTACTACTACTATTATTACTTGTTTTATTATTATTTATTAAATTTATATACTGCCTTTCATCCAAAGATCACACGGCAGTTTGCATCATGAAAATACAAAGTGAAAACACAAAATACATAACAGAGTGGCAGTAAATCAATGCCCATCCCACAAACACATTTAAAAGGCCGTAGGTTGTTTAATTAGCCAAAGGCCTGGGAGAAGAGGAATGTTTTCACCTGGTGCCTAAAGATATGTAATAAAGGCACCAGGAAAGCCTCCCTGGGGAGACCATTCCACAAACAGAGAGCCACCACAGAAAAGGCCCGGTCTTGCGTTGCCGCCCTCCGGACCTTGTGTGGAGGAGGCACAAAAAGAAGGGACTCGGATGATGACCGCAGGGTTCGGGGCAGTTCATATGGGGAAAGGTGGTCCTTGAGGAATTGTAGTCTTGGGCAAATTGAGCAAACCTGCAGCACGCCCCAGATCTGAAGGATGTTAAGAAGCGCTACAATCTCTGCCTTCCTGCAGCTCTCACCAAGCAAGAAAATGACAGGGAGACTAAACAAGGAAGCTTCTTGGCAATCAGGCAGAGCAGTTGACTTGTGGCTGCCCAGGATGCCTAAAAAACCTTTCTGTTTAGTCTTGCCCTCTAAGCAGGTTCAGCAGAATTTACCCTCAGGTTACCAGCCCACACTGCTGCTGTTAAGGGCTCTCGGATAGAGGTTGCCATCATAATACTTCGCATATGTGGCACCTCTACACCCCATTTTAAAGAGAGCTACTTTTGGCATGATTGTCTATCAAAGTCTGGCCCAAGAGGTTAGTAGGGATTTATAATTGATTGATAAGAGTATGTCCTGGCTGCAAGTGATCTAACCCTAACCCATGGGCATCCCCTCTCACTGTCCTCCACCCCGTATCAAGCCACCGCTGTCCAAAAATGCTGAGTTTACAAATCAATATGTAATCACTTGTGAACATTGGTCAACAAACTTTTAGCAGCCTACCTGTCCACATATGCCAATAGTTGTGGGCTGGTAACCTGAGGGTAAATTCTGTTGAACTAAGGTGCAAAGTGCATCGTAGTATATGCAATTGAAAGGGCTGAGGGAAAAGAGGGAAAACTTAAGCGTGAAAATGAAACCCAGAGATGCATGTGTTTGAACGTCCATGTCAAGTGGGTAGTTTTCAGTAGAAGGATATACAATTGTCCCTCAAATCTTTTCTGCATGCTGTTTTGATGGGTTCAGAATTCAACCCTAGGATCAGTTTTAGCTCAGCTCAAAAAAGTCAAATTCAGTGTTAAGAAAAAGAATTCAAAATAAAGCAACAAAACTACCATTATACTTGTGCAGGCAATTAAGCAAATATTTTACTTTAATAGAGGATGATCTCTGATAGAAATTTTAATGTTTTTATTGTATGCACATGCGTCTTTGTGTGTGTGTGTGTGTGTGTGTAACTGCTTTTATTTTTATTGCTGGCGGTATACAAATATTTTTTATAAATAAGTATATTATGAGGGTGTCAGTTCTTGCAGTCCTCACATTGGGAATGTTGTGTGAAATGCTGACAGCCCATCTGCTGATGGTTTTTGGCTGTAGTTGGGTACTATATTTTAATCTTTTTGGACCATTGTGTATTTGCTGGATTTTGTTGATATTTCATATTTATCAATATTTTATTTTATTTCTGCTGCACCTCAGTATTTTTAATACACTGGGCCTTGGTGTTCATTATTGATTACATCTATTGATATTTTATTTCATGTACATTAATATTTTATTTTATCGTAAGGCTCCTTGAGGGTATTTTTTACCTTAACTTGTAAAAATAATAAAGAAATAATAAAGAAAGAAAGGTTAGTCCAGAGCTCAAAGAAGAAGAAGAATGTGGCTTAGATTTTCAGCTCCCCGGCTTGAATCACCTTTCTTGTGAATTAAAGGCTTATAAGGTAGTGGCTTTTTACTTCAGGAAAAAAGATGAATAGCAGGGAATATAAAAGGCTCTTGCACATTTCTGAATGGTGCAGAGGGAGTGAAAAGGCAGAAATTACTCTCTCATACAGAGACTCAGAGGTCACCTGAAGACACACACAATGTGACTTAATGGAGGCAGTTTGAATGTTCGGCAGCAAGTGAACAAGCTATCGTGTGATCAAGTGTTGTACTTGCCTGCCTGAACCAGAAATCGGTACGTCAGTGGCAGCTATTAATTACGGGTGCTTAAGGTGTTTGCTGGCAGTAGCAGGGCACTATGTTTGAATCCACAAGTGAGATCCAGCATAACATCAGCATGAGACATTCTGAGGGCTGGTTTAGTGCAAGTGGTTGTGCAAGAGGTAGCATACAAGTTTAACTGTTGGAGAGTAGAACAGTAGAAGTTGCACTAGGGTTTCCGGCTACGTCACGAGTCAATGGTGGTCGCTCCTCAGTGCCCTCCACGGATAGCGAGGAGGTTCAGGCAGGGGAAAGCCAGGATCTATGAGGCAAAAATCCTGGCAATGCTCCCCAGTGGGGTCTAGGGAGTTCACTGCATCCCGCTGTGCCACACAAGCCCATGTCTTCCAACTTGAAAGGCAGAGTGGGTGCAACCTGGGAGTGTGTCCCTGCCATGGACGACCTTCCATCTCCGGAATGATTTGTGGTAGGTTCCTCCATAATTTGGACAATTGGCATTAATCAAGAGGTGCTCCTGGACCGACACATGTGCAACATCTTTCACAAGCCACCCACTGAATTTGGCTATAGTACACTACACTAAAAATGGGGTTCCCACAAGTGGAGTGGCTGTTAAACCTCTGGGCTGCCACAGTTGAAATCTGCCAGTGTTTTTATGGGGGGGTGTATAATTTCCAGAACTTTAAGAAAGGCAACATAAAACAAATATTCAAGGGCGCTTGTCCTGTAGGGAAGCTGGGTGTGTTAGGCCTGGGTAATACATCAATATATCGCCCAGAAGCGGTATGAGGGCAGAGTGGGATGGTGGTTTCACACAGTGATATATCGCCGATGAAACCGCCATCCCACTCTGCCCTCATACTGCGCAGAGGGAGAAAAAAAGCTAAACCTATGAGGTGCCGATACAACTTGTTCCTCCCTCTGTATCTTTAAACTGCTTGGCTGAGGAGTGTGCGGTTGCCGCTCCCCTCAGCCGAGCAGTTAAAGGACCCCCCAACCTGGCGCTGGCTGCCAGCAAGCAGGGGGAGCACTGGGGATGATTCTGCAAGCTGTTCAAAAAAGCTACATTGTCCCAGCCCGCTAGGTGCTGGGGTGAAAGTGCTTCAGCTCCCGCAGTGAGAGCTGCGGCAATTTCACCCGACGCCTCGCAGGCTGAGGCCAACGCAGCTTGTTTTTTCAACTTTGTGGTATATCGCCACACCCCAATGTTTGGCTGGTGATATACCACAATGTTGAAAAGCTGATATTTCCCATCCCGTGTCTCTGTGTGTTGTATTTTATTTTGTTATGTTATGTTATGTTATGTTATGTTATGTTATGTTATGTTATGTTGTTATGTTATGTTATGTTATGTTATGTTATGTTATGTTATGTTATGTTATGTTATGTTCTGCTGGAGTGCACCAGAGCAGAAAGAAAAATAAAGACGTGTGTTTTTTTAAGGCCCACATTTTTCCTGAAAATGTTGCTTAGAAGAATAAGAATCTTGTCTTCTAAGGAAGCTGGGTCGTCATATTTTTTCCTCTCCTTGTATGCAAAATACATTATCAACATTCCAAAATTATTCATTCTGGCCAGAAGACAATCATGTTGGAATCTAATGCATAATGAGGTGGAACTGGAAGAATTTGCTCACGTCAACCAAAGTTGTATACCTCTTGATTGCAATGTGCAGAGGGACAAACAGTGGAGAATGTTTATATCTGCCATGCTCTGTGAGCTTCCAAGGCTGATCTAACCAACACAGTTCTTGCATTCTTAACATAAAGTAAGAGCAATGGGGAGCCATCACTGGCCAGGATCCCTCCCCTTTGTGTTTATGGCAGGGGTGGGAAACCAAATGTTCCTTTGTACAGGCAAACATGCTTGGGGGGGGAGGGCAAGAATAGGGTACTTGGGGCAGTCAAGATGCTGTTGGGCTCCAAGTCTCATCCACTCCAGACAGCAAAGCTTTTGTTCAGCGATAGCTGTAATTGAAGTCCAGCAACATCTGGAGAGCCACACCATTGATGATAAGAAGCCAGCCCATTGAGGGGATGAAATGATGAGCAACTAGGGAACTGAACACAATGCAGTGCCTAGAAAGCCTTGATTTGTCTCCTCTCCACCTTGCTTCTCCTCTCACTGCTTAGCCTCAATGCCTGATGGAGGCAGTCCATTCCTGGGCATGTCCAGTGACCCAGTGCACGTGTCATTTTAAAGATAAAAGTGACTAGCCCTCATCACTCTGCGATAGTTTAAAGGGAGAATCACAGAATTGATGACCTGGCAGGGACCCTGAGGTCCAACCCCCTGCAATGCAAGAATATGTGGTTGCATGGTGAGTTCCCACCTCCCCCCGGTGGAAATAAAGACACATGACACAAATATTTAGGTTAATGGGCAAAAAAATCGCCACAACTTTATTGGTTACAGGAATGAGCGGTATTGGTTTAGGCATTGGTCCTAACCGACTATCCGGCTTCAGCCCAATTGCTTGAAGACCGGGAAGGGTTAACCACCAGTAGGGGGAGTCCTGCTGATGCACATCAACTAGGAACTCCCCCGGGGTCACGGCTCGGGGGCGTGCCTTAGGCCCTCACCTCCATAGGCTTCAGACAGGGCCACACCCCCCGGAATCCTTTATCGGACTACATTTTGATATTCGGGGGAGGTGATGGCGCTTCCTCCCCCCCCTTCATCTACATGACAATACCCCTACCAATGCCTAACCACCAATGCCGAGGAAGTTGTGATGATTTGCTACGAGGTAGGCAAAAAACCAAGTGGCTGGTGCCAATTTGCCAAGTGGAAAAAATTCCTACCAGGCCCCTTAACGGCGACCAACTGAGGTCCATAGCAAGGTCAAAAGGAAAACCTAAAGGGTGGGAGGGTGGGAAACCCGATGAGCTGAGGTGGCAAAAGAGGGAGATCCCTGGCCGTGTCAGCATGATATCATGCAAGCCACGCCCCCCCAGGCCAGCCGATTGGCTGGCCAGGGGATGACGCGGCCAGGGATCCCCTCAATCACGTGGAGGTTGAGAGCCAGCCCCCGCGAACATGGAGAGGGCGTGAAGCCCGCAACTCCACCTCCTCTCGAGTTCGGAAGTGGTTTTGTCCCATAAGGGGATTGAACCTGCAACCTTGGCATTATCAGCACCACGCTCTAACCAACTGAGCTATTCTGACTTCTGCTTTCTACATGTTCTCTCATCTCTTTTGAATTTGTGTGGTCCCGGTCTTTGGAAATGTGATGCAGAAGCGAGAGCCTTTTCCCGGGCCTAGGACATGCATCCCACAAACAGAGATGACCGCTGCATTTTACTACCCACCTCACTGCCATGACTGTTGGGTCCAAGTGTTGGGCTTGTTACAGTCGCAGGCATTTTCTGCTGGAGTTGCTGCCGAAACGTGTCCCAGCAACTAAGAGAAGCTCTTTGGTTATTTACAAATAAATGAAGGAAGCCAGCTGCAGTCGTTGAGTCAGCCTTTTTCATTCAAAAACTCTGAATCATCCTGTCCGGAGCCGCAACACCTCTTGCTTGGTTTGTATAACATGGTTTGCCATCTCTTTCTGAGGCAATTTTTTTCTCCCTTTTGGAGGGGCGATGCTGCGCAATATGCAGGCATGCAAGGTGGTGTGGCTCCTCCTCACTGCCTCCCCTTGCTTGGTAAGAACCACACCTGTTGACTTCCTGCCTGTAATGCATCTGTTAACAGCATAGCTGTCAAGCGTCCCTTATTTGGCGGGACAGTCCTTTATCCCAGCGCCATGTCCCGCTGCTGTCCCTTATTGATGAGGCTTCGTTTGGCTGCTGGCTGGGCTTTCTGCCTTTGGCTCGGAGGGGCTCAGAAGTTGAACATACCTGTGCCCAGAAAATCCCTTATTTTGACTGCTGATGCCTTATTTTCGAGGCTGCTGGTCCCTTATTTTCAAATTTGTAAGTTGACAGCTATGGTTAACAGCACAAGCTCCTGCATCCACGCAAGGAGAAACTAGGAGACTTGGACATTAAATTGTGGAATGAGAGCCACGGCCATTTGGCTGGAGTCCAGAGTCTGCATTCAGCAGGAGCTTTCCATCAATTGCAAATGTTTTAGCTCGGCTTTCTCCTTACCCCTTTGCTTTATCTTTCTCCCCACATTCTTGGTTTCCCGGTGTGGTGTCTTTTTCACCCCCCTTTTCCCCATTCTCTGCCTTTTTCCCTTCTGCAGTGTCAGTTTGCACCTCCCCACCGTCTCATGCAGCATGAAGCTGATAAACATCACATAGCCCTGCCTGCTTTCGCACTTGCTGGTGGCACCACTGCAGGAAAGAGCTGCTATGCGGGAGAGAAGGCCTAATTTTAGTACAGACACTTCTCCCTTGGCAGTGGGATGTCAGTGGGCACTTGGCTCCTCCCTCTCCTGCGCGAACTGCAGAAATCTGACAGGGTGCTCTTTGGAAACGCAGTGCAACTGTAAATACACCCAGAGTGGTGACCGAAGGTGACAGGAGGAGAAGGATTGCTAGGCACACATTTGTAGAAGCCCAGAATCGGGTTTTTTCTTATTAAAAAAGATGGTATGTTGTGTTTGGCACGAAGGAGGGGGGTGGGAGGAAATTGCATTAACAAGAGATGGATAGTGCAGTAATTTGCATACTGATAGGCTGATTGATCCAAGGCACTTTGCTGTCCTAGGGAGCAGAGCCAAAACAAACACCCAAAAACAAACCTACCACTGAAATTATGTGTGCTGTGGTGCAGCATACAAAAACTTCCCTCGTACAAGAAATAAAAGTGAGGCAAATTCCAAGTTTTGGTGGTGGTTCGGGGCTTTAGTTTTTGAGAGAAGGGTGGCGAGTTTCAGAGTCCTCCCATCCTGATTTTACACACACACACATATACACACTTTTAATTTCTGCTTTTATGCCAGAAAAGCACTTAAAGTGTCTTTCAATCAGAACACCTTGCCTTTTGCTGTTGAAATCCTCTCCCAGGTCGCCAATTGCTGTGCTCCCAACTCCCATCAGCCCAAATGGCCAGTGTTTAGACCTGATGGGAGCTGTAGCCCTTCAATGCCTGAGCGGGCAGGCTCCCCCACCCATGATATAGTAGTTGCAACTCTGCCACCCAGGCTTCATCAACAGCTGCTCAAATCCAAGCCATGGGAACTTCTTGAAGTGGTGGAGCATGTGCTTCACACATAGGAGCCCCCAGGTCCAGGCCATAGCATTTCCTTGCATGCATTTAATTTGCACTGTTTCAACTTCAAGGTTGAAATCACATTAGTTAAATGTGCAACTGTACTGTAAATAAGAGATTGTTGTTGTTTAGTCGTTTAGTCGTGTCCGACTCTTCGTGACCCCATGGACCAGAGCACGCCAGGCACTCCTGTCTTCCACTGCCTCCCACAGTTTAGTCAAACTCATGCTGGTAGCTTCGAGAACACTGTCCAACCATATTGTCCTCTGTTGTCCCCTTCTCCTTGTGCCCTCTATCTTTCCCAACATCCAGGCAGTCTTCTCTTCTCATGAGGTGGCCAAAGTATTGGAGCCTCAGCTTCAGGATCTGTCCTTCCAGTGAGCACTCAGGGCTGATTTCCTTCAGAATGAATAGGTTTGATCTTCTTGCAGTCCATGGGACTCTCAAGAGTCTCCTCCAGCACCATAATTCAAAAGCATCAGCCTTCTTTATAGTCCAGCTCTCACTTCCATACATCACTACTGGGAAAACCATAGCTTTAACTATACGGACCTTTGTTGGCAAGGTGATGTCTCTGATTTTTAAGATGCTGTCTAGGTTTGTCATTGCTTTTCTCCCAAGACATAAGAGATTAGACACCTTTAAAAGGCAATTAGACAAAGCAGGTTTTAAAGCCAAAAGGCCTTTTTTGTTCTGTTCAGAGGTAGTCTGCCTCTGCACCTGGAGGTTCTACTTGGTAATTAGCTGACAGATAGCTTTCATCCTCCAGGTTCATAGGCCGTTTGTCTCTGACTAAGTTGAAGGAGATGAACAAACAACAGAGAAGCGCCATTGTCATCAAACCCTCCTTGCATTTGGTTACTATTGTGGGAAGCGGGATGCTGAACCAAATGCAAGTGCTTAGTTCTTCTATAGAAGCTAAATAAATAAATCTCCAAAACATCTTGTACCATTTGCACAGAGCAGGCCACAAGCTCTGACTGGGCTGTGCAATAAAAGTGATGTTACTGTTTATTGCTGCTGCTTATAAATGCTAGCAAACATTTCCATTCCTGCATTAAGGCCTTCTTAGCACCCATGTCTAAAATGTACATTGAAGCTTAATTAAATTGTGTGTGTGTGTGTGTGTGTGTGTGTGTGTGTAAGTAAGTAAGTAAGTAAAATATTCCAGTGGACTGGAATAGTGGCTGGCATTAGCTATTAAATTAGCAAAGCAATCATTTCTGGAACAGCAACAATTCTCTCTGACATTAATTACTTCATATGTCTCTCAGGATAGTAAAAAGAAAAGAAAAAACTCACATTAGCTCAGCCTGACTTTCCTGCAGTCTTAACTAATGCTGATGAGCATTGAGTCACGTGGATTAATCCCGTTTGTGTTTGTGGGCAGGCCCTGCTTATGGGTGTGCTGTTGGACATCCCATCATCCCTGACCCCTTGGCCATGATGGCGACTGGGAGTCCAACAACATTTGGAGGGCCACAGGCTCCCCAGTCCTGTTATAGGCTCTGCATCTATGCAGCACCTATGCACTATCTCTTGTGTACGGTTGCCAGGTGGCTAGTACTGGTACAAAAGAGTAAAATGTTGTTCTGTCAGGTAATCACTCAGCCTTTCTCCATTCCTGCAGCAGAATAGACTGTAGCAGAGGCTTCCTCAACCTCAGCCCTCCAGATGTTTTGAGACTACAATTCCCATCATCCCTGACCACTGGTCCTGCTAGCTAGGGATCATGGGAGTTGTAGCCAAAAACATCTGGAGGGCCGAGGTTGAGGAGACCTGCTATAGCAGTTAAGGCCTCAGATGGCAACTGCGTCATTTATTTATTTGTCTCCCCAGATCAGGATGCTCAGTTTTTATTTAATGTATTGTTTAAATCATATCAACAACATCAAGTTACAGTTAAAGAAATAAGAAGCATTGTGTCCAGATTTGCCCATGCAACAGAAACCCCTCCTTGCATGGACCCCAGAATCGAGCAATCTCTCTTCTTCTACCTCAGAGTATGGCATGTATGGACCAGGCCTTGAGATCCAAAAATCTCCAAATTCTCACCTTCCCATTTCTGCTCTGCCTGTGTGACATGACAGGTTCTGGCTTGGCTCCACCCCCTGGTCTCGCCCAGCATTTTGGCATCTTAAAACACACACACACACACACCCCAATCCTGCACCATTAATGAAGAAAACAATTCCCTCTCATTTTCCAGGAAAATTAGAAGGGGCAATCAATCTCCAACGCTACTCTCGATGACAGAGATTCTTTATTCTTTCTTCCCTCCTGTACAGGGAACAAATCTCAAGACAGTGGAATTGCAGAGATGGAGGAGCTTCCTGTTCCACACAACATCAAAATCAGCAACATCACCTGTGATTCCTTCAAGATTTCGTGGGACATGGATTCCAAGTCTAAGGAACGCATCACTCACTACTTCATTGATCTAAATAAGAAAGAGAACAAGAATTCCAACAAATTTAAGCACAAGGTATGTTTTTGTTTTTGTCAAACAGAAAGTACAGCAGCAGAATGTGCTTCGAGTAACTGCGAAGTTCTACATGCTTTTCAGATCACTGAAATGCTTTTTGATTGTGACACTTGAAAGGGAGGAGGTGGTGATCTTAATCTCTTAAGTGGTGAATTTGCCAAAGAAAAGGCTTCCATTGAGTCCATGTTTTAACTCCAGTTGAGTGTTTTTTCCATTGGTTTTTTCCATTTCCTAATGGTGAGATCTACCCCCAACAAATTGATGGATAATTTCTGTTCCCATCAGTGAAATGTCATTTCCCCCACCCACCCTCACTGCCCAGATTTCTTTGTCCACAAACAAGGTAGAGAATTTCAAGAAGTCATTTGCATACAGCCCTCATTCCAAACATAAACCTGGTTCAGACCAACCTTTCTCCTTGTGATTCCAAACATATGAGAGATCATATGGAGAAGAAAACAGTATACACATGTGAACCATCTTAAGTCGTGATGTGATCCTTGTGGTGTTTCTTCAAACTCTATTGTCCAAGGATTTTGACCAAGATGTGTGGCCTACTTACTCCAGAAGGCATGGCTGAGGGGGGAAACCTGCAAAATGGCTTCCCCGATGTTATAAAAGCAGCAGCTTAAAAGACACCTCACACCAGTTTTTTGTGTGTACGTATTGAATTGCCAGGTACATCAACTTGGTTATTGATTTTTGCCTGGACACCAGTTCTTTTCATCAGTTCTACACCACATTATGCTTTGAGGTGGGGCAAAAGGTGTCAATTAAAAAGAAAAGCAGTTTAATACTAGAATGACAATAGTTCACCCTGTGAGGTACTTTTGAAGAAATGAAAAGGCGTTGCAACAGAAATAAACATTTAGGTCTCGCAGAAGAAATAACACATTTCTGGGTGAGTAGCACTGGGGGGGGAGGGGGACAAAAGAAATCAATGTTTGGTGCTATGGGGGTAATAGGATCAGATCAATGGTTATTATAAAACAATGTAGCTGATCTCCCCTAAGGCTACTAAAACTGTGTCCAAACATATGCTCTGAAATTTATTGGCTCTGTTCTAATAGTTTGGGGTTTGACCACAACGCATGAGCAAACTGGAGCCCCACAAACCTCTGGGTCATGGTGAGTTCCTTAAACCAGATGCCTTATATGTATTGACATCATACCCACACCATGCATTTAAAGCACATCCAGTGCACATTTTAAACCACATGACACACCCCGAAAATGTTGGGAACTGTAGTTTAAGGGTACTGGGAATTGTAGCCCTGTGAGAGGGAAACGACAGGTCCCAGGATTCTTTGTGGGAAGTCATGTCTGTTGGCTTTGCTTTAAATGTATGGTATGGCCCTCCTCTTTCCCACCTCTCCATAGGCTTGAGGATAGTTGCGGTGTTTTAAAATCATGAAGACCAATTTAAACACAAAACATGACAGGGTCGTGCTGAAGTACCAGTCGTGCAGAAAATATTAACCAGGCACACTGATTTTGCAGCGCAAAATGCCTGCAAAACTCTTTCCAAAAGCCTTCTGAAACTCCTAGTAACTGGAGAGGCTGAAAACCCTATAGGCACATTCAAGTATGCCTGTTTGGGAAAACGTATCAGCTTATATGCCCATTGCCCCATGGATCAGAAGGATGATTTCAAACACATCAATATTATGGTATCTTTTTGAGGTTTGCCCCCTGCAGAGAAATTTAATCAAATGCAAAAGGGGAAGGAAATGAAAAGGAGAGTTATAATGCTTCGGGATAAAATGTTGTGCCCTGACAATTAGAAAACCTGGCAGGAATCTGAGGGTCAGGTTTAAAAATAACATTGGGGTATATTGGAAAACATAGAGGGTGAAGGGCAGTAGCAGAAGAAAGAACCATAGAAGACATTAAGAGGCAAGGAGAACGAGAGAGAGAGATGAATGGGATGCTAAATACTTCAAGCTGACAAACTTATCCCGTAGGAAAGCAGAGGTTAAAATAGCAGCAACTATTGGTACTGCTGGCAATTATAACAGATTGAAGTGCTTTTTTTAAAAAAAAAAAAAGACTTCAGAATATCCCTGCCTGGACTAGAAGATAAGGAGCTAGAAGATCCTTAATTAATAGGCTTGATGGGCTTAGCAGAATTTGCATGAAGCAAAAGTTTGGGTACAAAGTTCTAATTTCTACAATACATTTTAATGTAATATCTACAAGTATGTAGCAGATTATTCAAGTTAAATGTAACCTAACATGCAATAGGCAAGCCACCAAGATCTCCATATAACAACTGCTTGTGCTGCCTGCCAGTTGATGGGTGGGCAGTTACCTGACAAATGAGCTGTGATAAGCTTGGTGTGTCACAACAAGTAGTGTAAACCTATAAACATCCTTCTAGTGCATTTGGGGTGTGTGTGAATGATAAAGCTTGATTTATTAACTTTGGTCCCAAGTTAGTGACAGGGGAGAAATTCATCTCACTTTGCATATAAAACCTATCTTTCCAAAAACAATGCACAAACCAAAACACAGCCATCCTTTGGAAATTTCACATTTCTGAATTTTGCAGTGTGGTTCGCCTATAATGTAAACAAAAATGCATATACTAAACTGTGCATAAAAGGCACATCATTAGGGGAAGTTGCTTTGCAAAAAAAAAAAAATGCACGTTAGGCAAACTCACATGCCAAGAAGTACATAATTAGGATAAATTTAGAGGCAATTTTTCACGAGGACTTTCTTTGAAAACAAAATTGCAAATGTATAAAAATGTTGGGAGGTTTGCAGCTCACAAAACTTTGAACACTTCAGACATTACAAGGATTTAATTACCTAATAGATAGTTCATTACCCACTAGGTTCTACTCAAAATAAATTCTGCATAATGACAAAGTGAAAATATAAAAATCAGAAATGTAGGGAGAAGTGTAAATTGAATAAAAAGAAAATGTTTTGCCAAGAAGATGCCACAAGACCCCGGGGGACAAATACTACCTGTGGAGATGGCAGCCAAGAATGATTAGCATTAGTAGAACCTAAGTTGCACAATAAATTGTGAAGCGATTTTTCGAGAGAGAGAAAAGTCAAAGTCACTTACATCGATTTTGCAATAAACAATATGGGGCAGAGTTACAAGGCATTTTGTGTACAGAATGACTTAAGAAGATGATTTTGTGCAAAGTAATTTCAAAAACAAACCACCGCGTAGAATTCTGGAGAGTTCAGTCCTTGCATAGGATAAACATATGCACAGGATAGTCTTGAATATAGCCAAGGCTTGATGATACCCAGAAGACTAATATTTGATCATTATTGTGACTGTTGCCCACCTACTATTTGCTTTTTGCTCTTTGCTCTCTTTCTTAAAATCTGAAATTGCACTCCCCTGCACACTGTACTCTCCTTTCAAACAGGGCCATTTCCCGCACACTTCAGTTGTGTACGAACTGAAGCCCTTTGCTGCACGTCACTGAGTGTTATTTATCTGCCTGGATAAAGAGACATAATAAATTGTTTGTATCGTTTGATATTCAGATAAAAGGAGAGTTCTATCTGTGTGCACTTGCGCTGTATTAGAATTATGGAGTGGAAAACTTCTTGTGTTCAGATGATAACAATATTTGGATTATTACAGAATGGAAAGGAGAATGCAGTTTCTTTGACGTTGGGTCTCTTGTGAAGATGCAACAGCATTTGAACCTCTTTTTGAAGACTAAGCATAATTAAGCCGAAAGTGGAACTTGATAGGCATGCTGATACTCTTTCTATCTGGGTTGAAGGTGCATCTTGCATAACTGTGAAATATGAAAGTGATGCTATTCATCAATAGCACATTCCATCTTTTTTTCTTTTTTTTTGCTGAGTGTAATAGAGTTCTTGGTGGAGTGAATGGAATCTGGTTTGAATTAAGATGTACCGTATTTTTCGCTCTATAAGACGCACCAGACCACAAGACGCACCTAGTTTTTAGAGGAGGAAAACAAGAAAAAAAATATTCTGAATCTCAGAAGCCAGAACAGCAAGAGGGATCGCTGCGCAGTGAAAGCAGCAATCCCTCTTGCTGTTCTGGCTTCTGTGATAGCTGCGCAGCCTGCATTCGCTCCATAAGATGCACACACATTTCCCCTTACTTTTTAGGAGGGAAAAAGTGAGTCTTATAGAGCAAAAAATATGGTAATTAACAAATAACCTTTTGCTTTGACCTGTTGCGTGAAGAAGAAGAAGAAGAGTTTGGATTTGATATCCCGCCTTTCACTCCCTTTAAGGAGTCTCAAAGCGGCTAACATTCTCCTTTCCCTTTCTCCCCCACAACAAACACTGTGAGGTGAGTGGGGCTGAGAGACTTCAAAGAAGTGTGACTAGCCCAATCACCCAACAGCTGCATGTGGAGGAGCGGGGAAGCGAACCCGGTTCACCAGATTACGAGTCTACCTCTCTTAAGCACTACACCACACTGGCTCTCTCTGAACTTTCTATGCTCACTCATTCTCCAAAATGCCCAGAAATGGCTGCTGTTAAGTCCAGACAGCATCTTAAGAGACACATTACTTAGGCAATATTGGTACGGTACCCCAACTCATCCTATCCTGGGTCTAGTTCTAGCTTTGCTTTGGTGCTGGATGGCTGTTGGTTCCCCTGCTCTACAAGAGTGTTTCCCAAACTTGGGTCTCCAGCTGTTTTTGGACTACAACTCCCATCATCCCTAGCTAGCAAGGGATGATGGGAATTGTAGTCCCCAAGTTCAGGAAACACTGCTCTACAGTCACCCCAACTTATTTCTGCATGTTTCGCAGTTGTTAAAGGCGCAGGAGCAGGCCCAGCTGGTGAATTTCTCAGCGGCATTGGTGACATTCATCTCCCAGCATGCCACAGGTGTGGGCAGGCTCACATGGACCTTTCCCATGCTTCTGCTTCTGGAGCCACCCTGCTACATTTTTCATTTTGACTATTGTGTTGGTTCAGCAACTTGCCTCTCTTGTTTCTATTCAGTAACATGGAACTCTGTAGCTTCTGATTCTCTCTGCCAATCCTGCCCAATAAATCAAAATCCTTATGTACAGCCCCATTAATGGGCGGTGGCACTATTCACTCCTCTATGAATAGTGCCACCTGTATACCTGTCATCAAGCAATGTTGAATTGCTATATTTATTGTGAAAGCTGAGCTTGCGCTGGGGGGGGGCACTGTCAATTTGAGACTGGTCATTTCGGAGCTGTGGGAAAACGGTGTCATTTTTGCTGTGGGACCTAAATAGTTGTTCGTTATTATTTTATTAAATTTATTGGCCGCTTTTTTTACCAAAGTAACTCCAAGTGACTTACAATCTATAAACTGTACTAATGTACAGTTACATTAGTATAGTGGTACCTCAGGCTAAGTACTTAATTCGTTCCGGAGGTCTGTTCTTAACCTGAAACTGTTCTTAACCTGAAGCACCACTTTAGCTAATGGGGCCTCCCGCTGCCACCGTGCCACCGGAGCATGATTTCTGTTCTCATCCTGAAGCAAAGTTCTTAACCCGAGGTACTATTACTGGGTTAGCGGAGTCTGTAACCTGAAGCGTATGTAACCCAAAGTGTATGTAACCTGAAGCGTATGTAACCCGAGGTACCACTGTACCGATGAGAAAACAAATGTCCTGAACATGCAAACAAATGGGAAGGGTGTACCAGTAGTTATTACACACAAACACAACATACTGAGTGACAACATTTTATTGGCATTGCAGGGGCTTCAGGCACTTGACTTGGGGCACAAAAATGGGTCCTTCCTATTGCAAATAGTTAACAGATTGTCTGTGCCTATTACATGGTGAAAGTGGGATAAATCTCATGTTTTGAATGTTCTCCTCACTCTTTAGATAGATATAGCTTAAAAATCACCTCTTTGTATGTAGAAGACTAGCATGTTAGGGAGAAGGCTTGGCTAGAACCTGACTTGCTCACTTTCTATGTGCAGCAATTTCTTTTTGTGAGGGAATCCTCAAGCTTGATCCTCCTGCTGCAGTCTAAGGAGTCTTACTGTTCATGTAGGCTGGAACTTATATTTTTGTTGTTGTGTGTTCCTCCTGAACTATATGGACCCAAGACATCCTAACGCTCCATCTCATATTGCTACCTTTTCCTCACTAGCAAGCGCAGTTTGCTTTGCAAATCATTCCTTGTGCCCTTTATTTTTATTCCCTTGCTTTTACCTCTTTAGATTTCAGAACTGGTGTGCTTTGTTTTTCACGGCAAATTCGCAAAGCGTTCTCACTGAAGCTAATGTGCATAAATGAAAGGCTTGGGTCCGTTGGCCAATTCCTTAATTTTGCAGTTAGAGCTTTTAGTGCTTTGGGGGTAAGGGATGCCAGGCACATAATGGTCAGAATTAGAGTATTCCAGCCTGTTGTTCCAAAGGAGGAAAGCCAAGTTAACCCAGATTCTGTTCTATGAGAAGGGTAATAGGGTTGAATTTTTCTCTCTCTCTCTTTTCCTCTTTTACAGGTGCATGTGTTCAAAATGCAAATTAAACTTTGTGAACTATGCGCACTGCTTTAGCATAATAGCAGATAATGCTGCTCTGCTTTAGTGTAATTCCAGTTTCATCAGAAAGCAATTGCTGTATTAGAAGGATTCCTAGCCAAATACTTTGCATTGCCCAAAGTCAACCGTTCAGTTGATTTTATTGGGGTGACTAATGCAAGATAGGAAAGCAGGATTTCAACTAGAGAGCATAAAAAAGGAAGGCTCATATATTTGACATGGCATCCTAGGCACCAACAGAACTTTAAATATCCGTTTATTTAGTTTGTATGGGGGAATGTTTGAAGAGATGGGTATTTTTCATATTTCAATACAAATCTAATTCAGACCTACCTGACTAATGCATGGATTTGTACGTAGTTATCCATAGATTTTGTGCATTTGCCAAATGCTCCAGCACTGTGCTTGGCTCAAAGACAATATAAAATGCATTTAGAAATTCCTGTTCTGAGAGACAATATGCTGTATTTAAATGGGCTGTTTTTTCATCCACCCCTAACAATAAACATTTTAAATCATTGTACAGTGCCTGGTTGTGTTAGGCACTTGAGATTAGAATGATCATTGTTGCTATTGCTGTTTCTGCACGCACCTGATCTCCCCATTTTGTCTGCCCAATTAGGATGTACCCACGAAACTAGTGGCAAAGGCTGTTCCCCTGCCCATGACTGTCCGTGGACATTGGTTCCTGAGTCCAAGAACTGAGTACACCGTAGCCGTGCAGACTGCATCAAAGCAAGTTGATGGTGATTACATGGTTTCAGAATGGAGTGAAATCATAGAATTTTGTACAGGAGGTGAGCTCTTTGCTATGAAGATCCAGCTCATGGGGTCATGGGCTTAAGTAATGTATGTCCATTTATTTCACTGGATTTGCTCTGAGGATGACTTAGTTGCATATCACCCATAGAAAAAAAGTATCTCCAAGATCTGTGACCTAACTCATTTCTGTTTTCAACAGATAACTGTTTTACAGACTTGCCATTAATTGAGTGGTTCTTTTTTTACAATGCACACATCCTTCCAGGCTTTTTTGCTTTTGGCAATTCCCTTCTGTGTGAAGGCACCAACGTTATCCTTTTGTGGGCCTACACCGATTGCTGTAATATTAATCATATATTTCCTTCTCCTGCTGCTGTGAGCAGAAATAATGTCACATTGTTAATTCTGCTTTTCACTTGGAACTAAAACACTTTGAAAGCTCAGAGGTTAGTGTGCTTTGTGTTAATTAGTGGGTTTGGGAGGGAGCTCTTAATAGTATGTTAGTCTGGAGCTAATCCCTTTTGGGTGGGGTTCACCTTATGAGCCCCGTTGCCAGAAGCCCTGTGCAAGGACTTCTACGTGAGCAATTGTGCTTCTCCCCATCTCCTTTCCTTTGCACCTCTGTGCACCCCGAAATTGTCCCTGGGGGGTTGGGAGAAGCCCCAAGACAGCCCTCAGCAGGAGGAGAGGGGGGAATCGTCCCATCTGCCAAGCCGAATGAAGCATTTGCACCAATGGAACATTCGTAACAGTGTGATGTTGAAGTCCACCCTGTGTTTTTAGGTAGAAAACAAAAGTATGCTCAGACCCTGAAATCAGCATCTGACACGCTTCATGTGCCTCCTCCACAAGAATTCTGGAGGGTGGCAACCAGAGAACGGGCCTTCTCTGCGGTGGCTCCCTATCTGTGGAATGCTCTCCCCAGGGAGGTTTGCCTGGTGCCTTGATTATACACCTTTAGGCGCCAGGCGAAAACATTCTTCAACCAATCCTTTGGATAATTAACATCCTATGTGTTTGTCGGAGGAGGAAGCCGGAGTTATTGGTTTGGTCTTGTTCTTGCTTTTATTATGCTGTGTGTGTGTGTGTGTATCTTTTATCTTGTGAACTGGCCTGAGATCCACAGATGAAGGATGGATGAAAAATTGAAAAAACGTGAAAAATGTGTGAGTGGCTGTCTGAACACATTCTTTCTCCCAAATAAATTCTGGGCACTGCAGTTCATTAAGGGCTTCTGGGAATTGTAACTACATTGCCCAGGTTCTTTGAGTGAAAGAATCGTGTTTCGAATGTTCTCTAAGGGTAGAATGAGAGCTGGAGAACTTCCAACGTGATCGTCGCTCCAGGGTCCCTCCTGACCTCTGTCTCACCCCAAAGCGTAGAGCATCACCATATGGATTTTAGAAAACATTGTGTGTTGCTTCCCACTAGCAGACTGTTTTTTATTCACAGATTATTCAAAGGTCCACTTAACACAGCTTTTGGAAAAGGCGGAAGTGATTGCAGGGCGCATGCTTAAATTTTCTGTGTTTTATCGGAACCAGCACAAGGAATACTTTGACTACATCAGGTAAGAGAACCAGGATTTGTCAAAGGCAAATATCTCTGCGCGGAGCTGAGGACAAGGTTTTCTCCACTGTGTACGTAACAAGAAAGCTGCCTATGTGTAAGCTTCTTTGTTGATCAGCATTGGCTACCAATGCGTTTAATAGATTGTGAAGTTAGTAGCCAGGTACGTGTTTGTATAATCTGCGCCACCTCTGAGAGCTTCAGGAGGGCAACAGCTTTATAAAACAGCATGCATAAAACAAGACTTTTAAAAACTCCAGATACAGTCATTTATTCATAATTTGCCATTGTTGGGATTCAGTTAGAGTACAAAAGGATGTATGGGACTTGTAACAAACACTGTGCTGTGCACCTCTCTTTAAAAATATACAGTGGTGCCTCGCAAGACGAAAAGAATCCGTTCTGGGAGTCTCTTCGTCTAGCGGTTTTTTCGTCTTGCGAAGCAAGCCCATTGACGGGATTAGCGGATTAGCGCTATTAGCGCTATTAGCGGCTTTTAGCGGCTTTTAGCGGCTTTTAGCGGCTTTTAGCAGCTTATCAGCTTATCGGATAAGCAGATAAGCGGCTTAGCGACTTAGAAAAAGAGGGGGAAAAGGGAAAAAAAAAACCCAGGAACTCGCAAGACATTTTCGTCTTGCGAAGCAAGCCCATAGCAGATTCGTTTTGCGAGGCACCTCCAAAACGGAAAACTCTTTCGTCTAGCGAGTTTTCCGTCTTGCGAGGCATTCGTCTTGCGGGGCACCACTGTATACATATACTTCTGCAAACCTTGGGACTTATAAGAGAATACAGATACCCATGTTGCTTCTCAGTGGGGCTGGATTGGCCTGAGTTCCCCCGCATTAGAGGGAGCAGTAAAATTCTATAGCTGCTCAACTGAGAATCCCATATGCAGCTGGGCAGCTGTGTATACAATTTCCAGGGCTGGAAGTGCAGATTGTCACCACTGTCATTGGTCACCTATTTGAGAAAGGAGACAGGATTCAGCTTCTTTCATTTCCTCAGATAATTAGCAAGTAGGTCAGTAAGCCAAACTTTGACTTGCCATCAGTGAGCAAAACGTGTTGTTTCACCCTGCTAAACTCCTGCCCTGCTGTTGCTCCCTTTCCCAAGCCAGGCAGAAGCAAAACAAGTTGAAGTTGTGTTATGTGCTAACCAGCACTCATAGCTTGTTTATCTCCAAAACAGACCAGCAACATACTTTGGCTTCCTTTCACAGTGTGTTTGGAACTAGGGAAAAGGAGGAGTAGGGCACAATTTTAGCAGGCTGCATGAGCACAATTGCTCACTCATGGTAAACCATAGCTTGCTAACTTACCATGATGTGTGAACCAGACTAATTATTCTGTTCTAATGTACTTGAATCAGTGTAGTATAAACGTTCTGTAATATATCCAGGCCTGTGGGGGGGAAATGGTCTACAATTAGCTTAACTGGCCACTGGATGTCACTGTACTGCTGTTCAAGAATGGTTACCTGGCCCTTTTCAATTTCCAGGATGATGGATTTTATTTACTGATGGTGGTTTTGATGTTTAGCTCATCTGCAACAGCTTAATCTTATTTTGAATACACTTTCTTTTCAGTCTTGTTTTAGGAAAACAGAAAGGTGGCACTTTCAGGAAGATAAACATTTAACATTTGCCTTGTGGCTGCACTTAATAGTAGCATAGAACTGGTGAAGTCAGTACAGTAACTCTCTGCCTTTGCATGAATAATTCACCGATGTGGCACATTCTGTATGCATCTGTGTAGCAAGTCTTAGGAATTGCACAAAAAATCTGTGCTGCAGAATCAGGGAGGTGGTTGTTGCTGCTACTGCTGCTGCCTGCAGCAAAATGTTGCAGCATGGAATTTCCACATTCAGTATCTTTCTGGATACTCTATTCCAGTCCCAACAGACCCTTAGCATTCTGTTGCCATTAGACTGGGGCAAATCTGTCAATTCTGAGTTCTAATTTTTCCAGACTTGAAATCAGTTCTTCACACTTTGCCCAACAGAAGCAATGCATTGATTGGCCCTATCTGAAAGCAAGTCTCAGAGGTTTTGTACACCAAAAGCACAATTGCTGGTGCCATTTTAAAAAGCTAGAATGTGAGATCTGTGCCTACACACTTATATAGCTTGTTTTCCTGAATGGGAAAGGGGTATGCTTTTGTGGGTGGCAGAAGGTGTGTAAATACAGTGGTTCACCTTGGGTGCTTGTTTCGATCAAACAAAGGAAAGGTTCCTGGTCTGAAACCCTGGAGAGCAACTACTACCACGCTAGATGGACCAGAGGTCTTGTTTAAAGCCACTTCCTTGACCCAAGGCAGCTTCTTTAAGTTCCTAATGTCTCGCTCACTGATGCCCCTGTAAATATAAACCATTACCCTTCCTTCATTTCTAGAGAGCAGCACGGGAGCGCTCTGCAGCCTTCGGTCAAGGATAACAGCGGGAGCCACGGCTCTCCCATCAGCGGGAAGCTGGAGGGCATCTTCTTCAGCTGCAACACCGAATTCAACACTGGGAAGCCCCCGCAGGATTCACCCTACGGAAGATACAGGTTTGAGATAGCGGCGGAAAAACTTTTCAACCCAAATACTAACTTGTACTTTGGGGACTTCTACTGCATGTACACGGCCTACCACTATGTTATCCTCGTCCTCGCACCCGCCGGCTCACCGGGAGACGAGTTCTGTAAGCAGCGCCTCCCTCAGCTGAACTTGCAGGATAACAAATTCCTGATCTGCACTGAAGAAGACGGGGCGATGATCTACCACCATGCGCAGGATGTAATCTTGGAAGTGATTTACACTGACCCTGTGGATCTCTCCCTCGGCACCGTTGCGGAAATCAGAGGCCACCAGCTCATGAGCTTGTCGACGGCCAACGCTAAGAAAGATCCCAGCTGCAAGACGTGTAACATCAGTGTTGGACGTTAATTCAGTGGTCCCCCCCCCCCAACTCTTCCTTAGGAGCCTTCTCTGTGGCCTATTCCCCATTGCCATCCGTTCTCATCAGACGCATGCATAAAGCCGCTCTTACCAAGAGCGAACACCAGTGATCAAATTCCTCAATAGTCTTCTTCAAGCAGAGCTTAACAATGCAGCTGGCACAGAGCAGCAGCTCCACCACCACCATGGCACCCTGTGTCCAGATTTCCCCCTCCCCACTGTAATATTTAGGGCAGGCACACTCACCCCATGTTGTGTTGTCCTCATGTTTCTGTAGCCTCCTGTCCACATTCAAAAATCGTTGGCTACCGGTGGTGGGCAGCACTTAACATGATGGCAAACTGCAAAGCAGGTAAGTGTGCCCAAACGTCGTCGGGGAAAAGGACCATCCAACCTGGGCATGATGTCATTGGCGGCAGCGCTGTACCCAGTGAAGCATGTAGTTCTGCCCTTAGTATATTCCTTACCTTCTTGGTCCACCAGTGCTTTTCAACTGTTAGGAATCTTGGGTTTTTTCTTTCTAGCAACCATTTATATATCTAGATGCTGCAATTGGTGTTCCATTTTCTTATTATTTTTCTCTCCTCCTCCTCCTTCATATTGCCAAATGTAACAAAGCTATATAAACAAGCTTTAGCGAAATAAAAAAAAAACAACTACTGGCTTCTAAATGGTGTTTTAAATATGTATTCATTTTAATCTACTGAACAACTTAACTGAGATATCTCCAAACAGCATGAAAGGGTGTAATTGCAGCATGATTTAATTCTTGCAGCCTAGAAAAAAAAATGTCAGCACTTCCAATGTGTTGTTTGACAGTGTTATTTATGTTATTTATATTAGCTAACAAGCAGGGGAAAAACCCACCTGTGTTTCAACATAATAAATAGAAAAATATTTTATTTGTACTGTTGTATAAAATATTATACAATCATATAGAATATATAGATACATTTTAATAGCAACTGTATACATATGTCATGAAACCATTTTTCCCTTATCAAAGATGTAGTTTGTAAACTTCAAATTCTTGTGTATCTGTTCCTGTTGCTCTGACATGACTTTTAATTAAAACAGATTTATGAAGGAGACCATTCTGATTCATAAAAGTTATATAAATGATCAAGCCAATTACACTGAAACATTACATCATTCTTTTTTTAAAAAATAAATTTAAAAATTCCACTTAGGTATATAAGCAGTGTGACATGATCCCACAAATGTTTTTTGAAAGTTCTTTTTGATTTGTTTTTCTCTTTTAAAAACCATGCTTCAACGTTACATACAGCAGAAATAAATAAAAAAACAAGTTTTGTGGCTAAATAGGCTTCATGAAATCAACAGCTTCTTTTATTACTATAGCAAAAAGAGCTGAGGTACAATCTATTGTCTTCAGCTCTGTTCGCAAGGAGGGGGTTCCCCTAGAGGCATTGATGGAGGCCTCCCTGCTGGCCCTCGCAGCTCAGCCTCCCAGGCCAAGCGGCACATAACCTTAACTGCACAGTTCTGACTTGGATTGTACCCCAACCCCGTGCTGGCTATTTGTGAAAATAAAACCCTGCACTCAAGGACAGGACCACACGGTTAAGGTCAGCCCCACATGAGGGGCAGTACACAATGACCTCACATAGTTTACCCAGGGATCCCCCACCTTTACAGAAGCAGTGCTGGAAGACTAAGGATTATGCCCCTGGTTTTCTTGTCATTGGTACAAAATGACAAAACAAGAACACTAAAGACAGTACATATATCTCTACCTGGAGCTCTTTCTCGAACTTCTTTGCCACCGAAACCTGCGTTTGCCAGTGAGCAGTGCGAACTCACCGACTGTCCCTCTCCCATGGAATTCATGTGCCACTCAGGCGTGACCTATTGCAAATTTACCTCCGTTTATAAAGGCATATTCCTTTTTTAACGGCAAGACCGGGGGGTGGGGGTGGGGGAATATATCCACATTTATAATCTATCACAGTAAACCAGAAAAGAAGCCCAGCCTCCTTCAGTTCATCACCATGACACTTAGATTAAATAATCTGCATACATTGATCTATCCAAAATATCATAATGCAATAAACTATTGTCACTATTTTTAATAAACTATCTTGGCAATCATCACACAGGAAATATTAAGGTCCTACAAAGTGCATGCTTTCAAACAAGCTTTGGTTGTCAGGAAAAAGCAAAACAAATTATAGCACTGGGCTAAGGAAAAGTGCTACAGAAATAAAAATTGGCATGTGCCATTAATAACTTTGCTTCACTTTGCTTTATTTCGGTTTCTATCAACCGGTGTCTTAAGCAATTTCTGCTTAAAAGGATGGAGCAGCTTTACATTGCCTGGTCATTTTTTAAATAGCCACTCTTTCCTGTTTAAGTTTTTCCTCCCTTATATATGCCATATTTAGTATCCTCGCACCCCACCAAATAGCTGAGACTTTTCAAAATTATTAATTTTTACCTCTTTGTTCTGCTTCAGCATTTTCTTAAGCTATTTTACCTCGCTCTATGAGTTAAGGTCTCAAGTGACGGATAACCTTTTCCCAGCTCCAGCGACATCCAACAGACACCTGCTTCTAAAGCTTCTGGAAGATCACCAGAACTGCAATCAGTAACTTAATAAGGGTTTGAGCATGGAAACAGTCAGTTTTGTATCACAGTCACCAGCCCTGCTGATCTTATTACTCCCCATTTGCAACACCGTGAATTCTGGGTGCACTTTGTAAGGGAGATTATCATGACGGATAAAGCTTTCGGAACTGCTAGTCTAGCGCTACTGGCCTTGTTCTGGCAAAACCCCAGTAAGCTTCCAAAGAAAACCCAGCATCCCTTGAATCTAGGCGCAACATCACAACTACTGGCGAGGACAGCTGCTGTTTAGGCAGCCGGCAGACACTGTCCTTTGCCTGCAGCAGCACTGGGGCTCAATAACAGTGGGTGCTGCTGCTGCTAGTGGTGTGGTAGCGTGTGTAGCGGCACTGGCAAAAACAGGAACTCTAGAAAACACTCTGCTACCATTACCCAAAGACCTTAATCTATCCCATCTCAAGGACTGCCATTTAAGTCTGAGTGCCGCAAGCTTTAGTTTCTCAGTGCACACTGTAATCAAAGTTTCTCGAGAAAGCAAGAGGCTCTAGGAATGGGATAATGGGGGCGCAAGCAGCAACACTAGAGCCAAATGCCATGGGCAAGACTGCCTGACTTTGCCAAAATGGGTAAACTCCAAAACTTAAAAGTACCTGTAACCAGCTTGGATCATCATAACTGTGTCTTAAGATCCACTCTGACGTTTTGCTTTGGAGTAGTTGAATAATGAGTGAATAAAGTCAACAACGAGAGACACTCACGAAAACTTGTAACTATTAAAGAAAAATTAGACTGGCAGGCAATGCACAGAGGAGTCCTGCTCCTGATAGCTATTTTCATGCAGGACCTCCCTGGTGTTTTGCATTCCAGTGCTCATGCCAGAGATGAAGCCTGGAAAAATTAATTGGCCGACTCCTTTGCCATGAGCTAAGGGATAAAAAAGCCACCTGTCATCAGCACAACACTCCACCTCTCTTACTTTTTAAAATCCATGGTTTGTTTGCTTTTTAGATTTCTCTAGGTGTGAATTCTAAAGCTCCTGGGAGGCTGTCCCTGGCACCACAGGATTTGTTCCATCTCCCTCTCATGAGGGTGAGAGAGAGATCTGCCTTGAAAGGTCAGCAGCTGGCAGTTCTCCATGATCAGACCTGCAACATCTGAGAAAACAGAGTCCAGAGTAGGATGGACGAGGGGCTGGATCTACAGGATCCAATGTCCCCTGAATTTGGGGGAGGGGGACATTCCAGTCCTGAAGCTACTGTAACTTTCCTCCCACTGGGAGCAATGAGAGAGGAAGGTTTTTATTTTTAAAAAAGTCATACAACTGTAGAACGCCACATGAAAGACCATGGTTCAGTGACAGAACATCTGCTTTGCATGCAAAAGGTCGCTGGTTCAATCCCTGACATCCCTATGTAGGGATGGGAGAGAACCATCCCTGAAAAGACACTGCCAGTAAACAATGCTCAGCTAGATGGACTAATGGTCTGACTCTGTACAAGACAAGTACAAGTGGGTAGGGAAAGTGGGCTTCGCCCTGTCTCACAGATGTGCTCTGCCCACCAAAACCCATTTATCTAAACCAAGCATTATTGACAGGAGTGTTGGGTCTGGAAGCCCAGCTGTCTGTCGTTTTATCTTTTTGTTTCAATTGTTCTGCAACCAGTGGTTATAAATGGCCATGAATATAATTATCTAGAAACTGCCAGCTCATAAGGCACAGGTCTAATGATCCAAGTGGACATTGCAAACATCATTGTTTTTGGAATTGTACCTAAAATGGCAAATGGGCATGTGCAATACGGCTGCTGACTCCTTCCCTTCTACCACACACACACACCAGCGATATTTCATTGCTCTTACAAATCTAGATGGCACCCACCTAGTAAAATACATGCAATTCAAATCAGCTGATTAAGTCATCACTCCTATTAGTAAATGGGTGAGAGCATGTGGGTGTCACCTGCACACAAACAGGCTAGGCACCAAAATACATCCAAGGGTAGGCCTGTGGTGGGCCTCTTCAATTGTGGGGGAGCGTGAAGAAAAGAAAATTAAGACTCCAGCCTGAGTGGCTTTGGGTGAGGGGCAGAAGGAAGGGATAATGTGAGCAGAGGCAGGCGGCGGGTGTGTTTATGGAGAAGGAGGGAGCTCCAAGCCTAATCTGACCCCCCCTTGGAGGATCCTTTAAACTTAGGAATTGTTCCTTCACAGTTTCTGGGAGCATGAGGTGGGGGGTCCTCTCCCTGAGTCTTGGCTTTGGGGGCAACGGGAAGCAACATACACACACCCTTAGGCCCCCACCCCCAAAGCTGTCTTGAGGGCTGGACAGCTTCCACTGCAGCCCCTCTGCTTGAACGGCGCACCAGCCAACGATAGCAGAGAGGCAGCTATACTTAGAGCCGGCTCCTTACAGCCAGAAATAATGACTGGGTAGTGGAAAAAGAGGAGAGGGTAAAATGAGGAACAATAACCCTCCTCCTTCCCCTGCTTTCCTTCTCTCGTTCTGCAACTTTCTACACAGTGCACTTCAAAGAGAAACCTTGTCTTCCCTGGTTAAGCAGGTATTGCATGCCTTATTGGGGTTTTCCTCTTACTCAGCCAAAATCAATGAGTGCTATGCAAATTCAGGAAGCTGGGCCCATCGTCCAAAGCCTAAGTTAGGTTCCTGCTAGAGTTAGCTTCCTCCAATAAGCATATTTCGACCCAGAAGACCCTGTCTTTTCCCCCCAGGACAATGAAGCTCTGCTATCTTTCTCTCCCCAGCTTTCCAGCACAGGAAAGGTTGCCTCAGCCTGAGCAGAGCCACTCATGCCTTGATGTGCCAGTACGGCAGGAACTGCATGGTGATCTGAATACCCCTTGCGTTGTGTGAGAAGACAGCCGCTTTAACCTTCACAGAGCTGGGGATCCAGAAGGAATAGCTGCCATTCACACGGGCCTCTGCTGGGTGGGGGAAATGGGCAGGCTATGGTATTGCAGTGAAAATGGGCAAGCCAAGTTCTTCACCAAGAAAAGCAGAATTCTACAAGCTGTGTACATTACGCAAATAGTCATAATTTATCTTGCTGCACACAACTCTCTTCTTCTTCTGTTTTTAATTTAGTCACGGTGACGGAAAAGCCGTTAAGGGCCCTGAAGTCACACCACTGCAAATCCTATGCAGTCACCATGATGCCTTCTGACATTTCACTAAGTGTTGCCCACACACACTTTCACAAGCATGCCTTTGCAAACCAAGAGCTAGGAGCCTCCTTCCTATTTTTGCCTAAAAAACCCAAGGAGATAAAAAGCTACCGTTGTCAGGAAATGGAATTCTATACCCAGTTCCATATGTTATGCAGGGGAGGGGCTGCTGCTTGCATGGAATTACAGCACACAGTCACAAACAACAGCTCAGACAAGCTCTGCATATTTCTATTCTGCCACAGGATTCCACCCACCCACAACATCTGGGTGCTGTCTCATGCATCCAACATGGTGCCCTCTATATCTTTTGGACTCCAGCTCCCATCAGCCCCAGCCAGCACGGCTAACAGGTGGGAACTGTACTCCAAAACATCTGGAAGGTCTGATGCTGGCTACCTTTGATTCAGACCACATCACCTCCTGCTCCTGCCTCAAATCCATAATACCCCCATCCCCCCCAAGTGTGAACCACTCTCCAAAATTCTGCCTGCCAATTTGGTATCTGAACTAGGTATCTGAAGCTCTTCCTTTGTGCCATAATTCTTCCCACGTTTCCTACACCTGAAAAGTAGTATTTCTACCTACCCTAAATACAGCCTGAATGATGCAGGAACCAGTGGAGCTTTCCATGCAGTCCAATCTGTGCACATTCCACAAACATAGGTTGCTGCCTATATCGGAGCCATCCTTCATTCTCTCTTTATCCTGCAGGAGCTATCTTGCCCTGCACTTCCACCCAGGCTCCGCCACTTCAGGAGGGGTGTCATACACATCAAGTGAGATGTGTCTCTGCCAAACTGGTGGATTTAGATGGTCCTTATCTGTTAAATATTGGAGGGGAAACAAGAGGATCAGGAACCCCCTAAATGCAGGATGGATGAAGACTTGCATCTTGGGTGCCTATTAAATTCTCAAAAATGTCCCCTCCTGCACAGGTATTTGATCTACAGAGAAAGTAAGATTCTTGACTGATGGTTGCGTTTGGGCAAACAGGGTCCTCTAGAGCACAATGAACCAGCAAATACAGCTGCTCACATTCCTGGGGGTGGTTGGTCAAGTTTTTATCTGCAGGGGTGTGCTGGTTTTCCTTCCGTCATTGTCCTCAACCAAGATGGAAAACTACAGTTTCACTGTGACCTTTCTACCTATCCCAGCAGGCAGAAAAGAGGTTCTTAACTGGTGCATCTTTCCTCCCAAGATTAGGGATGGTTTTCATTCTGGCCCTCCCAGTGAATCCTAGGATACAAAAGCTGTCCAGGCTACACACTGGAATATCACAAATAAAAGAAGCCTATCAGATTGCGGAGGACACTTCATAGTACTGACTGAGTAGGTTTAGGAGAATTGCCTACCTAGAATTGTGTTCCAAGTTTACCTGATGGGCAGCTCAAGAGACTTTGACGTGCCTCTCTTTTTCTCTAGTCCTATGCTGCCCAAGTGGGAAGAGACAAAATAAAAACCTGGGTGAGCCTGTTTGGATGATTGCACTGTCCTTCCATACCTTTGAGTGCTGTTGAATGAGCACCATCTGCCTGGAAAGACGTTGCAGTGGAGCTCTGAAGTGAAACAGGAAGTCCCATCAACCCAGCTTCCTGAATGTGCATATATGATTACCTCCTTTTGGCTAAAGCGAGGGGAAACTTGTCCGAGTGAAAAAACAGCTCCAGAAACAAGAGACGACTCACAGGTAAGTGTTAGCCCTCCCATTCAATCACTCCTCCTTCCTGCATTCTCACACCCCTTTCTCTCACTCTCTTGCTCACCTGCAGCGGTAGAACATAAATAAAGTGCATCAGAATTTCAAGGTGTCAAAGCCATTGTGCAGGAAGAGCCAGACCTGTGCAATCCTCCCTCTCTCGCTCTCTCTCTCGCTCTCCTTTTCCCAGACCAAGGAGTTTTACTATTGCAAACCACTGGACTTCAGATGGTTTTGGAGACATCATGCTTGCTGATGAGGACCTCCAGCAGCCTCAGCTTGGCTTTGATGTGCTTGTATTCCAAGTACTCCTCTGCCATGGGGATGCGGTCCTCCTTTTGGGGAGTCCTGTAAAGCGGCAAAATTTGAATGCTGGGGCTTAAAAGGAGCAAGCTTTCGCAGAGCACTTCTGGCTCAAATATGAGTTTTGTGTTTGTCTCTTTAATTATAGGTTCCCACATATAACAAGGGGAAAGAAAATATAGTGCAGATATGTTTTTAGGAATTGATATTTAAAAACCCACATTCAGACAGTCTTCTTCCAAAGAAGAGGCAAGTGAATGTTGGAGAGAACTGTATGCAAGGTTAGGCTATGTGCTTGCTTGCAACAGTGGGGTTCAGAGACTGTGGGACACCCCAGCACTCACACACATTAATACGTTTGTTAACATGTTGAAGACCACTGGATCTGCTCTGTATGTGAGCTATTCTAATATGTCGTCTTTTCAACAAATCATAGGTGCTGTCCTCATCTACAAATGGCCAACAAATACTCCCATGGAATGAGCAGGAGAGTAATCCCCAAAAGTGTACATTGTGGCAAACTTAAAACTGCCAGTATGCTGGTACAACTCAATTAAACCCAACACACATAGACAGACAGACAGACAGACAGACAGACAGACAGAGGTGGCTGCCCATTATATCTCTGCATAAATGGCTCCTCTGGACTTGTCTCTTTCCAATCATAGGCACATAGGGAGGAAGTTCTCCTGCAGGAAGATACCTCTTATTCTTACACACCTCAGTAATAAACTTTTTTGTGGTGGAGGGCAGAGAGTTGTGAGCATGATGTGTGCCTGCCAATTTCAATTCCTAGGAAAAGAAGGGTACCTTTGCTATGGCAAAATCAGAAATCCTTGGCAAATCTTGGTTTGTGTAGTCACCAGAGGAAAATTCTCAGGATTTTAGTACTACAGGGGAAAGGCTCACTCAGAGATCTGTAGACAACTTACTCTTCAGGATCTGTGACTGTCTAGGTCAGCAGCGACATACAGAAGGGGTACAGAGACCAAGCATGAATGTAGTTGCCTTACCTTCCTGTTTGCTTAAAGAACTGATCCTCAAATTCTCGTAACATTTTCCTTAGCCTTTTCTTATCAGCTCTCGTTTCTCGGAGATGTTCCAGCAGCACGGGCCTGCAAAAGGAGAATTGTGTCTGAAAACACTGGAAGTGACAGACAGGTGACAGATTTGGGATCAGGAATATGCATGCAGCTTCAACAGGTGCTCCTCTTTCAGCCCATGCCTAGGACAGGATGCTCTCAAACGACATGCATTTTGCTAATTAATTCCAATAGATATTGAAAGTTCTGACAAGACACAGTGATTTACATTATTGTAGTTTTACACTATTTTACACTATTATTAATTATTATTATTATTATTATTTTATGGCAAGTAGGAAAAGTTGTACTACATTAGGCCAATTTCCAATACGTATTTACTGTTTGTAGCTGTGGGTCATTGTTGATGCTGTAAAAAGCCTATTAGCACAGTCATGAAACAAAAATATATCCTCTGTTACATTAGGCATCTGAACAGATGGCTTAGGATCACTTCAAAGCACAATGCGAAGAGATGACGGGGAGATTTGCGCTATTTGTTCCCCACACTTCTGCATCTTGTCAGAAACTGTATCCCCCCTAAGGAACGACCGTGCTATTTTGTCCAGTTTAAGAAACAAAAGTCCGTCCTCACATTGTGGCCTCGTGCAAGTTGGACATTGACAGGGCAGGCTGTTTGACTGCTTTCTTTTCATCCAGGGGTGACACAAAGGCGGGCTCATTCTCCTCATCTGAATGACAGAGATGTTCGTCAGAAGGCAAATGGAGGGACATGGCGGAGGACAATTCATAGCTGCTCTGGGAGTGATCTTCATCAGAATCTTCCTCCTCCTGCTTGTAACACAGAATGGGGGTTATCAAATTAATTACCTGCATGCACATCAGTGGAAAGGAAACATAAAATAGATCTGCATCAGAAATAACTACTGAGAAAGTTCCATAGAAAGTGCATGAGATTAACCATGGTTAAAAAATAATGCTAAGAAAATGTGACTGACAGAATCTCCTCAGGACATAAGCTACACACTCTTAATCAGGAATTCACGTGGTCATTTCCACAAGGGAATTAGCTTTATGTGACACCGCCTCTTAATATGAATGTAAGAAACTGCAATTTCTGGGATCTAGTTTTCCTTCAGAACTATTTCCATGGCGCTAGCCTTGAAGCCCAATCCTAAACAAGTAAAAATGCTGAGTCCAATGCATTTTATTTCTTGGGAATAATGCTTGTGTTTGCAGCCTTACTCGTGTTAGCAGATTGCCACAGAAAAGAAAAGTGAGGCACACCCTTAATGGGGTAGCAACAAACAATTTGGCTTACTTCACTCTCATAAAAGACACCTTCCCAAAGGATGGTCATTGTTTCCTAATGCTGTACAAGCTTTGTATTTCAAAGTTTGAGCTAGACACAGTGGTTACTTTTTAAAAGAAGAGAACCCGGGGACTCAAATCTGCCTGGGATGCAACTTCCCTAATCCAAAAGATGGGGATACCCAGGAATGTGGGAAAGGAAGGGCAGGACACATCAGGATTCCTGTGGGAAACACCGGTGTGAAGACCAGTGTCATGCACCAAGTGTGGAAATAAACAAAGTGTGCACATGTCGATTGTGTCCCCCAGATGTTGCTCCCAGGGATTTACAGATGTATGTATGGACATATTTAACTCCCAAGGGTTATTAGTCTGCTGTGGAAACAGGGCCGGATTTAGGTTTGATGAGGCGCTAAGCTACTGAAGGTAATGGGGCCCTTTATATGTCCAGCTGTCCTTTGTCAACAACAAATTGTCGCTGCTTTTAGTGTTGAATATATGCTATATGGTAATTTACGGACCTAATAGGTATCCAAAGCCATTTGCACATAACAAAATATGTATTTTATCAAAGAAATTGTTGAACTGAAATACAATTAATACAGGGTTTTTTCCTTTAATTTTTTTGAGGGCCCCCAAGAGAGTGGGAGGTACGTAAATCCAGCACTGCGTGGAAAACACCAGCGTAACATTGGTTTCCAGCAGTAGTCCTGGATGTATTGTCAATCTGCAGGGTTAATTAAAACTGTAAAACAGTAAATTTATTTTTTAAAAGAGCAACAACAATCATTATACAGAGAGGCAAGATGGAGCCTAAATAAACACACTACTGAGCATTCTGAACAGCTGCTATTCCATTCTTGGGAGTGCTATTTTGCAGTTCCCTTGGCTGTACTATTCCCTCAACACATTCCGTGAGAAGGATTCCCTAGTGGGCAAAACACTTCATATGAATGGAGCCTTTAAAAAGGCAAAAATTTGGGCAGATTTATTTCCGGAACCTCCTTTGGACTTACAATGGTTGTGATCAAAGATGGCGTCGACAGAAGCTGCTTGATAATTCTGTATCTTTCATACAGGGGCTTCATCAGGCTCCTATCTTGCTTGTTTCCCTGAAAAGAAATAAGAAGCAACACCATACTGACTCTGGTGAAACAAGATGTCTGTATTGTGCTGGGTGCCAAAGAAGAAGCGTTGTTGGTCCTAATCTATACGCTGCTTTATGTTTCTTTAGCATAAACAGTAGCAGGAGGAAAGTGTGACTCTGGCTTTTAAAAAAACACACAAATGCACTTCATGCCACTGCTTTTTTTTTTTTTTTTGCAATAGGGATTTAAAAATGAGGAAGAAACTCCTCGTTGGCTAACAATTTCACTGTTTGTGTAGAAGTTGGACTCCAGTAGTCCTGCAAAAACAGATGGCCAGCAGTGCTGGGATCAAAATTGCCACTGTCTCTGTACACTCCTTGCCCGTGACAACTGCATGATCCATTGTCTCAAAATACTGGCACTGTTATGGCGCTGGGTGCTTGGTTTAGTGACTTGCTGTTGACTGTCAGTCAACATAAGGATTGTCAAGCCGCGGACTGTCCAGATATCTACTAACCTCTCCTTTGACATAATTGAGTCTTAGCACCACAATTAATTTCTGCCTCAAAATAATAGGAAAGAGGGACTCAAGCCAAGACAAAATGAGGTAAAAACACTGAAAGAAGTCATACATTTTTGCCTGCTCCTGCTGGCTGAAAGGATTTCGGTCATGTCATATCCTCAAGATTGTCCATTCTTATGGAAGGCCTAGTGAAAATGCCAAGGCACCAACTATGCAGTTCTAGAAACCACATTATGGACAGTTACAATGAGAAGCAGTACAAGTAGGTTTGGCTCAAAGGTCATTTTGACAGACGTCCCATCCTGGGAAAGTTTAAAGGCACTGGTAACTGGAGAAGCTTGAGGAATTCAGTATCTGAGAATCCTCATTTGACCTGACCTGATCTGAACCTCGCAGACAAAGATGCAGATTGAAACTTAAGTTGTCCGCCAGATTTTTAAACCAGATGTTCCAGTGGCTCAAAAACAGTAACAGAACATGTTTAAATATGCATATTTTGAAGAAAAAATACATTTGCAACTAAATGATTTAAACATGTAGCTAAATGCGAATTCGTGTGCAGATTTAAAAAATGAAGAACATCAGAAATGGGTTCGATTAGTGATGCAGACCAGAAATAGACTGATTTGCTGATCCACATTTCCAACCTTCAGTTATGGTGTAATCCTCCATTTCCACAATATATAAGATCTATACATTCAGGGCAGCAACTACAAAGACACAAAAGCCCAGCGTAATCAAAGACCAAGAGTAGACTTAAAAATCCCTCTACTGCAAACATCCCACCAGTTCAAGCATTGCAGCCAGATGAAACTCTCCCCCCTCTCCCTCCCCAGTGCTGTTCTGGGGGATCACCCCCCAACACCAACCCCGAGCCAACTGAAGGGGACAGGTGCAATGAGATAGCCCCATTGCCCAGGACCTCCACTAACATGGTGTGTTGGGTGAATCCCACCTTAAGTAAGATACAAACTTTGCTGTAGGATAAATGGAAAAACCAGGAAGCAAATCCTTAAGGATATGATGCATGGGGAAGCATGCAATAGTCAGGGTACTGGAAATGGGGGCTGAGAGGAAGAAAAACTGAGCAGACGTATGAAGCTCCCTTATACTGAATTCTTATACAGTAATATCCAAGGCCCCAGACAGGACGTTTCTCCAACCTGCAACCAGCAATCCTTGAACTGCAGAGGTCAGGGCCTGGACCTGGGACCTTCTCAGAGAAGACATGTGTTCTCTCACTGAGCTATCCTCAAGCAAATCAGCTGAGGGCAGACCAAAGGAGAGGGGGAGGGAGACAGACTTTCTTTTTAGTCCAGTTCAATTGATGTATGAGAAAGCAGGAAGTAAATATTTGCATAATTAGCCTCTTCAACCCTGATGCAGAGGCACATGCACACAAGACCAGTAGCTTTAACTGCATGCAGCGTCATTGCACAACCAGAAAGGAAGCCCCACTGTTCCTCTGCATGAGGACGAAACCACACCCCCTCTGGCAGGCCACCACTGCCTACGGCACAGCCACGCTAAGGCAGCAAAGGGGCCAGCCCCACAGATCCACAAAGGTAAGTGGCTATTTCTGCTGTTAAAGCTGTAGTGCATAGCATACATAGCTCCAAAGCCAGCCACGGGAACCAAGTCTACAGCACCTACTGCTCAAGGTGGCAACTCAGCCCCAGGAAATACATGTGCAGAGTGTGTGCAGTTCCCGAGCCATTGATATATGCAGGTCCACCTTAGAATATGCTGGGAGACACCTAATTTCTCCTGCATGAGCATGCACAGAAAGAAGCTTGCTCTGTCCATCCGTAAATACACCAGTTTCTTTTGCTTTATTGTACTTTCTCTTTTCCCACGCATAAATCTCCTGTTCTGAAACACTTTAACTAGAAAACATCTACACAGAATCAAGAAAGTCAGTCCTCCCTTCGCCAGGTTTTAAGTACCCATCAGGCTGCACGCATAAAACTAGCTAATCAACAGGCAGAAAATTTCAACCCGTTCTCTCCACTTCCATTTATACATTACATGTAGGAAAAGCAAGAAGGAACATGAAAAGATGCATTATATTCCACAGTATAAAAGAAATCCATGCCTCTCCAATTTGGACATATGCATGGACTTGCGCAGGCAGAAGTTGTACCAAAACACAATACACGTGGAATAATTACAGTTTGGCCTCAGCCTGTCCAAGTCTCAGTGAAAGAAATGTGACTTTTAGGCGTGACCAATATATGGACAACTGCACACATGTGCACATCGCCAAACCCAGAAACGTCATAAAAGGCATCACTAAAGGGGCAGAAGAGGGTGGGGCAGGGCAGAAGGGGGTGTTCTAATTGCATGAGTTTTCACACAAGCGTGCAATGACTCGGAATGGAACCCCACGCAAATTGGGGGTTGCCTGTACTTGCAACTGACTTATTCCGTGTACTCAGCACAGCTTGTAACTGTAACATTAGCCCCAACAAACCTTAGCTAGATTAGGTCCTCTTCTTTCTGTGCTGTATAACCATCTGCAGGTTTCTGAATTATGCACAAAGCCTTGAAGACCCCTTAGAAAGTGGCTATATTTCAAAGTGATAAAGCTTACAGAGTTGTTTTGATGAATCAGTCAAAGGTTCCTCGCTTCCTCCAGCACCAACAAGTGTCATTTGATATCCTATTCTTAGAGTTTTCTCTCTGATTCAGAAAGCACTGTGGGCCTTTCGATCGGTCTTCATGCAGGCATGTACCTAATTAGATTGGGTAAACCTGGAAGGCTCTCTAAAAACAAGCCCCAAAGCTGATGCTCATCAAATTTAATTTAATTATCATCCTAGGGGGAAAAAATACAAATGCATTTGATTTTCTTTACTATCCATCTCCCATAAATTGTTTCAAGTAATCTCATCTTACAGCCTTATTGTAGTTGACTCGTAAACCTGGGTCCCCACTGCAGGGTAGGGACCAAAGGTAGACAAACTACCCCAGAAGGAGCACAACGTGTTTCCCACCAGAGGTACTATGCTTCCTGACCATAAGAGATCCTCCATCCTTGCTAAAGTGGAGTAACTTCAACCTTGTTTGTATGTGCCGCAGGCTGTCTGCACTGAATTTCAGACAAAGGAGACAAAGTTCTTTCCTGGTATCAGCCCTGGCTCTCGTGCAACATCTTCTCAGGCAGCAGCTTACAGGACTGGGCAGAGATGAAAAAACATCCACTCCCCACTCTTATTTTGCAGGTGCCATATGAGTGCACACATTTAACTAATCCTAGACCAGTTACAGCTGCCTGAAAAGTTCTGCAATTTGTTTTAAACTTCTGAGGATTAACGGGGATAAACCAGCTTTCATATATATGCTTCTGACAGAGCTCATGATTTCTTGGTATAATTTTAAGTAGCCGAATTAAATTGTGGCCAGGGAGCAGGACGGGGGGTGGGGGTGATAAGCAAGCAGAGCAAAAGCCGCTAAGGGTTGTTTTTGGATTTAATTTGTGTACTGATTTATATGGGTGGTTTATAATCCACTCTTCATTAAAATCAATCCCAGAGCAGGGAAAATCATAAAAAATATATGCTACATAATAAAATATAACAATCCGGAAAAAAATCAAACCACCACCACAATAAATCAATTTTACATCACAGCACCGCAAGAGTGACAAAGCATCTCCTACAATCACTGTAAGGATGGAAGTGAAATTTGATTCAGTTCTCATTTCAAAGGTGAACCTACCAAATTTGGTAGATTCTGAAACAATACACGATCCAAAACTCATCCACTGTTTGAAACTGACACTTCTCCGAATATTGCAATGCACTTCTTCAGCTTGTCCTCCATGAATGTGTCAAATTCTCTTTTCTAACCATCCAAGTGTCCATCACCACCACTTTTGGGAGAGAATGAATCGCTGTGCATCACAATGACACCTAGACTGGACAAAGACTAACTCCATGTAGCTCACCCACTCAGGTCTCAGTAACACATGCCAGGTTGGCCCCCACATCCACGATTAAACCATGGATGATAGATCCTTTATTTGGGATAGATCTGATGTATAATAACAACAGCCTAGGTTATGTTGGTAAGCAACTGAACCAGATGAGTCAGGCTGAGATGGAAAAGGTTCACATTGCAGAGAAGTTCTCAAAACTAAATAAGTTAACTTAAAAACAAAGCTGATCTCCACTGGTGCTATGATGCTGCATTCACTTTCTAGGTCAGATTGCCTATCAGACTACAAACGACAGGAAGAGGAAGAAGAAGAAGAAGAAGAAGAAGAAGAAGAAGAAGAAGAAGAGGAGGAGTTTGGATTTGATATCCTGCTTTATCACTACCCTGAGGAGTCTCAAAGCGGCTAATAATCTCCTTTCCCTTCCTTCCCCACAACAAATACTCTGCGAGGTGAGTGAGGCCGAGAGACTTCAGAGAAGTGTGACTAGCCCAAGGTCACCCAGCAGCTGCATGTGGAGGAGTGGGGACAAGCAGATTAGCCTAAACTGAGGGTCATGTAGTTATTGCCTAAAAATCATGATCATTGGATACCACCTTGGACATAAGGCAGGACACAAAAATGTCTCTTTAAAAACCCTTGGGGCTGATTTAAACATGGGAACAGCCACACAAAGACCACAGAGAAGCATCTTCCTGTGCAAATGCTTTATACAGCTGATGGCACATTGATAAGCCTTGAGTCCGGTGCCCTGGAGTTCCTAAGTGGGCCACTGCTTTATGACGGTCTCCACATGGCCATCATCACAATTAAAACAGCCCTCATCCCTTGTTATGAAGACGTTGTGCCCAGTCCAGCAAAAGAGAGATGTCCTTGTCCCACTGATTTCAATGGGACACTATCTCCGGACTGAGGCTGTTATTTTTGCCTGTAACATTTGTCTAAGACATGAGAGCTTACGAACAACACACACAAGGCCTAAAGTCTTAAAACACATGCTCCCTAATTATGTTGTTGACATATAAACGAGGCCCATCATGGTCTTCCCTCCGTCAACTGACATCTAGCAGCCATTCCACCAGGCTGTGGCAGAGCAAGAAGTGGGAAGCAGGGACACGCCATCAGTTCGGCTGAGAGACTAGATCCATCAAGATGCCCTCTCTTCTCAATTGTCACCCAACAGCAGCAATCTGTCAGGCTGCAGGGGGGAGATGGTGTGCAGGGCTGTTCAGCTGAGAGACCAGCTCCAACTGGCTCCTCCTTTTCTTGAATTGTTTATATTCCTACAGGTGGCCATTACAAGAACTACTCTGTATTCTTAATAATGGATGTCTAAGCTGACTTGTTTTGCTCATCCCTCCTCGTTGCCTTTTCCTTTTGTGTTATGTTCTATACAGGACTGTTTTGTTTTTATCTTGCCTAAGCTGCTGCTCAGGCAGCATCTTTCTGCTGAAGAGTGATGCAAAAAAAAGTTTTTTAAAAATATATATATAGACAACTCTAAACATTAGTGTTCTATTGCACACCTCTCATTCCTAGTGGAAGTTTCATGAAACATACTGACCAGGAACTGCACATTTTCTCTGAACAGCCTATCACTTCTTTGTCCAAGACTTCCTAAAGACATTATTTGTAAAGGAGGGACTGTATCTCCCCCTGCAGTTTTCGTATAAATCTACTAAACTGTTTCATTTAACTCTTCTAAACTGTTGGTGGCAAAACGTGGAGCTACACTGAAGGGGTGGGACAGCAATGCATGGAAACTGCCACTGCCTTTTTGGTGGCTCGGCACATGACAAACAGGCCCAACAGTTCAGGAGCTGAACTTGGCTCGAGGCTGTGCAGATAGAAATACCATAAAAGAGCCGTGTTACCTTAACGTTCTCGGGGATATGGAGCTGCTGCCGCTTCTCATTCAGTCGTTTCATCACGGCATCCATGGTTTCTTCTACGGAGGGGCTCGGGGGAGCTCCTGCTGTGTCCTGCTTCACAGTCTCTTTGGAGCTCTCCTGATGAAGGTTCCTTTGAGTTGCTTTGAGGGGGCAGCTTTGTTCTTCTGACAGTTTGAGTTTCAGCTCTGGGAGGAAAATTCCCAGGATACGAATGAGCAACCACTTGCAACACATTCCTTCTACCACCACAAAATGTGCACACACACACACAATCACCACCACTACTACCACTGAGCTGGATTGCTCACCTACAACCCTTACAGGTGACCCACAGAGTTAAATGCAATCCCCCGTCCATATATGGTAGCTCACAAAATGTGTGTTAAAACCCCTGGTTTTAAGAACCTAAAAAGATCCCTGATGAATCAGATCAAAGTCCAGCATCCTGTTCTCACAATGGCTACCTCTTTGCTTTACTGCATTTGGGGATCCTCCTCCTCATTGTGCTTCTGAGTGTGGCCCTGGATCCTTGCTCCCACATTCTGCCCTTGCGACACGCCTCTGATGCACCGACATCAGTAGACTAAAACAGACTTAAATCACTCCAGCTTCCCACAGGAAGCTCTGCATCTGAATTCCACCTGCTGTGGCCATTCTCAACTTTGCACATGCCTTCATAATAATGATAATACAGTGGTACCTCGGGTTAAGTACCAGTAAGGTCTGTTCTTAACCTGAAACTGTTCTTAACCTGAAGCACCACTTTAGCTAACAGGGCCTCCTGCTGCTGCCACACCACCGGAGCACGATTTCTGTCCTCATCCTGAAGCAAAGTTCTTAACCCGAGGTACTATTTCTGGGTTAGCGGAGTCTGTAGCCTGAAGCGTATGTAACCTGAAGCATCTGTAACCCAAGGTACCACTGTACGATGATTAGGTTACTTGTCCTGATTTATTCCACTTTGCATTTTGCAAAAAAAAAAAAAACCCAACCCCAACCTCATCTGTCTCATCATGCAGCATAACCCTCATTGTTAATTGAAGAAAAAGTATGAAGTGGACGTGATTTCCTTCTGGTTGGGATACAGTTTATAATGGAAGCCTAGGAAACTCACACTCAAGGGAATATCCGACACTCACAACTTAACAGAATGGGGGGAAATTAAATGGGGGGAATTTAAGCAGTTTGGTAACACAGGATCAAACGCATCACTTAACTATGAGTGTGTAAAAGGTATCAGTGTAATGAAGCTATTAGCTCAGCATTAACTTCATTAGTGTTGCACTCTGTGGCACTGAGGGAGATCAATGATGCTGCTGTTTAAAATTACAGGAAAAGGGATGGAATCTCCAAGCCTGATTTCCATTCAAGCCCCATTCATTTCATTGATGCTTCCACAGGAACAGCTCCTGGCAGACGGCACTTTACAGGGCAAACCTACACTGCCAGCTTACACAAGCTTAACCCAACTTCCTTCTCCCTAGAGAAAACTGAGGACTAGGGTAGTGGGGTTGGGGTATTGCTACAGTTCCTAGGATGCTTTCAGGGAGGTGATGGCTGATAAGACTTGGTAGTTTTGTGTATTCTATTCTGTGCACCTCTCCCAGATGTTGCAGGACTACAACTCCCATCATCCCTGACCTTTGTCCATGCTGGTGGGGGATTATGGGAACTAAAGTCCAACAACTGTCCACTCCTGCTCTTAGGAAATTAGTTGCTTTTCTGGTAAGGTTCAAGACAATATTAAATATCGGTCTTTCAGCATCTGGCTGAATTTGACCCTCCTTCAAGCACTAGTGAGAAATGACTCCGAGTGCTAAAAGAAAAGAAGAAGAAGAAGAAGAAGAAGAAGAAGAAGAAGAAGAAGAAGAAGAAGAATTTATTATTTATTCCCCGCCCATCTGGCTGAGTCTCCCCAGCCACTATGGGCGGCTCCCAATCAGATGTTAAAAACAGTACAGCATTAAATATTAAAAACTTCCCTAAACTTCCCTAAGAAGCATTTTCCCCCTGTGTCTTCCACCAGATTTATTGGTGAAAGAGAAATGACCTATCCTACAGACTGCAGCTGATAGTTGTGTGTACCTTTAAGCTGTTTCCGACTTTTGGCCAAGTCGTTCATCCATTTCATTACTTCGGGATTCGATATTTTGTCAGCGTGAGAAGGCTGGACAGGAAAGAACAAGGGGGAAGCCAGGTAGTTAGGCTGTGGCTGTTGTTATTCATACAGCTCTCATTATTAATGGGCAAAGTTGCCCACATACATTCTGCATTTATTAACCCAGAATATATAACGTTCCAGCTGACATCTGGATTGTGGTCCAGGCTGGGTCAAAAGTAACTTGACTGCCAAACTCTGTTATACACTGATGGCATCCAAACCCCACTAGAGTCTAAATGACAAAAATGACTTACCTGCCCTTTCACCAGCCTGTATAATAAGACTGCACATTGCTGCTCCCTAACCTTGCTAGTGCCCAGGTGACTACTGGCTCTTTTTGCTTAACGTGGCAAGTGTATCTGATAACCAGCACCTGAGTATTTGTGACATCATTGCTTAACTAGCCCAGACCTTTATGAGGTCACTTGTAGTTATGAGGTCACTTGCAGCCATCAACACTAGTGACTGCCATGTCTCCCACCAACATAAATACTAGTAAAGCAGATTTGCATCTGCTTTGGACCCAGGAAACAACAAGAAAGAAACATAATTTAATCCAGGCACATAAACACTGTGACCCAGCAAGTCAAATGCAGTCTCATCCGCCTCATCAAACACCACAGAAACAGGGTGGTTTCTCACCCGATAATTCTTCTCTTGCTCAAACTTTTCTTCAAATTTCCTGATTTTCCTCTTAAGACTTTGCACGTGCTTTGTGAGTTGTGCTATCGTCTGCGGCTCTTTGCAGTCATCACAGCTACCTCTGGAAGAACTTCTTGGCCTACAAAGGTAGAAGTTACGAAAATGTCCTAAATGTGAAATTGCTTTGCAGGATTAGGTCTACAACTGCAATGGAGTGATGGGACTCTGGTGGAGGTGGTGGGGGTTAGACCATGAAGGAGGGTGATGGGGGAGGGATAATAACAGAGAGAAGGAGAAATGGAGGAGTGGTATGGCCTGGTCTGGCCCGCTTGTTCCTTGAAAAGCTATGGAATCTGCTGAAAGCAAGAAGTGAAGCTTTTCATGTAAATGAGGACAGTCACCTGCTAATGTCTACACATCAAGCTGCTGTTAAAGACACACAGCCACAGCGCTTAATTCAGAAGTTGACAACCCCATTCACCAGTTGGGCAGGTCTGCTTTAAATCCCAGAAGTCCACCTGGCACCATGATTTCTATACTGTTCAAGGGTGTGGTTAGCAAAACAGGGGCTGGAGTTGGAAACCTCTTTCTATGTGTGTCTGTGCTGGGATAGAAGAAAGGAATACAGTGGGGATGGGAACCTGTGACCTTCCAGAGGTTACTGATGAGAGGTTACTCTCATTGTCCCTGACCTGTCAGGAGCTCATCCTACACTCGAGTAGGACCCTGGTAGAGTCACATGCCTGACTGGCATGTTCTCCCCCTCCTGGTCATTCATTCGGGAGCTTCAAAAGCTTTCTTCAGCCCGAACATCAAAGCGACCAATGCCAACAGACATCAGCATACTTAGGGATCCGCAGAGTCTTTGCAGCTTGCGTAACAGACCTCAGCAACTCAGCATTTTGGCTGATCTACTTTATTTACATATAAACACACACGGAGCACTGCAACATGGCTCCCTCTCTCTAGAGCATCAGACAGCAAAGATAAAGAACACAGGACACTAGTCCCACTTCACGGAACTCAGTAACACAAACATCCTGTCTTCGTCACTTCCCACTTTGTGGAGTCAAAACATACACCGTCATGAGATAGAAAAAAATCCCATGACTGCAATCATGGAGCAGGAATTCTAACATGGCCATGCTGGCTGAGGAAGATGGGGATTTGGAGGGCACCAGGTCCCCCCACCCCTGCACTGAAGAATCAGGAAAGTGAAGAGGAATAAGACAGAGCATAAGACGGAAGGATGATCTCCACTTGATCCAGCATTGGTCCTCAGTTGTCTAGAGCGATGGGGATGCCCCAGGAAGGGGAACAAGTGATCAATCCAGGGCTCTCCAGCAGTATCTGAAAGCACCTGAGATTTTTAAAGGGACTGCTCAGACATGTGGCAGTGCTATTCTCAGCTTAGATTGGCAGAGGGACAGAGTATTTAAGGGTCATCAATGTATATTTAATATTTTTTTAAGTGTTTGTTTTTTTAATTAAAAAAAACCAAACACCACTTCTCCCAATATTATTATTTCACTTCCTCTTGAGAGAACCCAGCTCTCCCTTTTGCATCCCAGGCCAAGCTCATTCACACTGCATGCCTCTTGCATACTCACCGTACAACAGATAAAAATAGGAACACATTTTATAACATCTCTGCTCTCTTACCATGAACCTCTGCCTCAGCCCCACAGTTCTGATGTTTCTATTCAACCTGCTCCATGATGTATCCTTTTACTCGGCAATAGCCTGCCTTCCATGGATCGAAAGTAACAACACCGACTTCCATTATAGGGTTATTATAAAGATTTCATCTAGATAATGTATATGAAGCACTTGGGACACTTGAAAGTGTTATGCAAATATATTACGTATTATCAGTGCTTTTTTTTCTTAAAAAAAAAGTTTGGGGTACTCTCATTTTCCTACTCATATTGAAATACTGCCCCTCAATGAGGCCAAACTTAGATACACAAAATGTTTAGGGGTGTGTGTCCCCCCCCGAAAAAGCACTGCATATTATTATTATTATTATTATTATTAGCCAAGATTATGCTTGGAGCACAATTAAGCTCGTCTATTTTATCTTTAAATAAATGGCTGTTATCAGCCGTTCAAAACATATCTCAGCAGTGTGTGTGTGTGTGCACACAGAGTAATTCCACTGTAGCTGAACATTTGGGGGGCTAGCCATACTCCAAACCTAGACCTGTTTAAGTTATTACCTTTCCCCAGAGAACACTGGGAATTGAGGTTCTGTGAGCAGGGGGCTAACAAAATTCTCACCACCTATACCAAACTACAATTCCCAGGATTCTTTGGAGGAAGTTTCCACTTGTTTCACTCTGGAAAGGGTTATCATATCGTAGAGTTGGCAGGGACCACGTGGGTCATCTAGTACAACCCCCTGCAATGCAAGAATCTTTTGCCCAAGGTGGGGCTCGAACCCACAACCCTGATATTAAGAGTCTCATGCTCTACCAACTGAGCTATCCCCACATCATTATCATTTGGTGTTTGCTATTTAATAGGTGGGAGGAAAGCATCAGATATATATTAAAGAGAATATATATATGCCACGCAGAGGCAGCCCTGGGAAATAAACCATGTCTTAGCTTACATCATGAACAGTTGAGCACTTGGTGGAGAAGGAGCTGATTCAGGGTCTAAATTAAATCTCTGGCTTTGGCTAAAAATAGAGCAGCGAGGAGACAGCAGAGGATTATCTCCATCAGTAATGTGATACAGCAGCCTGCTGGTCCCTAAGGAATGGTGGTCTTCATGTCCATTGTCTGCATCTGCCTGGCCCTCTTTGTAGACTTGTGCAGGCTCTGCAATGACAAGATGAATTTAACAGGCATTTAGAAGGGCAAAGCTCATTAGCTGCACACGTTGAAAGAGCCTCCAGTGCTCCCTGGAGAAAGTTGTGACATGACATAGCGGAAAAGGGATGTAAGCATATACCAAGAGAAGGTTGTGCACATCAAAAATAGTTTAAAAGAAAAACTTTAAAACTGACATCCTAACAAACTTACTGGAAGGAAGTCCTAAGGAACCTAGTGGTATCTAATTCTGAGTTAACATGCTTAGGGCAAGGCCACATGGTGAATATTGGAAGAATAAATTGCCAGTTGCATGCAAAGATGCTGCTTGGCTAAATAGACTGAGGAACAGCCATCCCTCAGTGGACTGGAGTCAGGGTTGACATGAATGAAACTTACTAGCAGCAGTAAGGCATAAGTGAATAAATCTTTCTATTACACTTCCTGAGATAATAGTTTTCTCGCACTCTTAAAATACTATGTGTTCGTGAATCCTGACACGACACTAAAAAGGTTATATGCTAGCTATATTAGGCAGTCCTTGGGCCTAAGTAGCTCCCTATAAAGAGACGAATGGGATTGCTTACATCCACCAAAGAACATCTAAAGTAGAGTTGCCAAATTTTGAAGAGCAAAAAAGAGGGCACATTTGCCGACTTCTTCTTTTAACTAGGGATCGCTATGATGACTACCCATGAAAAGGAGGACATGTCCTGGAAAAAGAGGACAACCCTACTTTAAAATGGGTTGTATGACTCTTTTCAAAATATTACAAAACATCGAACAAATGAGCCATGTAATAATAAAGGGGGGGGACCTTTTTACCCCTATCAGTTTCTTTCAGAGCACGCAAAGCCTAATTTTTATCTAAAGTTAAAACAGCTGGATCAAAACAATTTATTAGGCTAAATAGATGGCATTTGCAATACATGTATTTAGTAGTAGTAGTATTTATTAGATTTTTATTGCACCCTTCCTCCCAGTAGCCCATAGTGGCAAACAACAAAACAAACTCTCTCTCTCTATATATATATAAGGATTAAAGAGCTTGCGAGCTTCTAATAAATCTCTTTAAAGGGGGAAAAACACATACTAATGAATAGTGCTGCATTCTGGCAGACATCATGAGGAGCGAATCTGACCTAGTTTTCTTTCCCCCGACTTCTAAACTGTATTGACTGGCAGCTTCTATAATTTATGATCATGGATCAATCACCACTCACACAATCCACCCAAGATAGATTTTATATTTACATTAAAACGAAAGGGCAAGTTTTCCTTTTCATATAAAGACTGCCTATTGTTAACATTCTAGCTGGTCTTTAAAAGATGGAGTATGGGGTGAACCAGCACTTTGACACTTGGGGTGCATATGTATTTTCCTGGGAAACTATGCTTGTGTGTTTAATCATAAACAGATCCATACACCTGAGACGAGAGATAAGTGAGCTAAGACCTGTAGGAGTAGTTTGTACACTATGCATAGGAAATTACAGGGACACAATACTGACATTACAGAACAACACTTCATGGAGGCCTGAATCCAGAGATTATTGCTATTCTCTCCACCAAACAGGTGCTCCACATTTCAGTATGGTCATTCAAAGGTGGAGAGGGAGAGGGAGAAGGAAAAAGAGGGTACTTGGAATCAACCCCCTTTCGACACACACAAAGCTGATAGCACCATGGTTATGCACACGCCTGTGCTTCAATACATTTGAACGCCCAAGTTCAGCAAGGAACCACAGTGTAAGCAGCACTGCAGTTTCCTACCCAGTAGTACCTTTGGACCTGTGAAGGGTTTGGTCCAGAAGAGGGTCCACAGACAGAAACTCATTTGTCTGCACAAGGCAACCTTGCTGCATTGTGAGCTGTGCTCTGCTTTACATGCATTCTTAGGTAAGAACTTTTATTTTGCCTGCTCAGCTTTTAATCCTCTGCAGCCAAAAGCAGCTCACCAGACAAGCCAGAATGGGACACCTCTCCTGTTTCTGCAGTCCCAAGAAAGGGGTGTTGAGTTTCGCCAGCACATGTGATTGTGGAGTTACAATCCACCTGTGGCTAACCTGTGGCCCTCCAGAGGTTGTAGAGTTCCAACTCCCATCAGCCATGTTGGGAGTTTCAATCCAGCGTGAAGCGGACTTTCAGCAGACCTTTGGCTGAAAGATCTGGGAATTATGCAACTGCAGAATAGTTGCTGTGAGCTGTACACAATGTAGATGCTGCATGGCAACCACTTTAAACCGCTCTGTGGGGTGAGACAAAAGCAGTTGCCCCACAGAGGCAGTCAATGCAGGTAATATTTTATGGAAGCCTATCATATGCTCCAGCCATGAATCTGCTTCTTCAAATAGGTTTGTGATCAGAACGTGTACAGAGAAAGCAGGTCTTCCACAACAGGCTCCCCACATGGTTGAATTCACCCTGCCAGCCACACGCAATGACCCGCCGGCGAGTCTGACAACCGCCCTGTTATTGCAGAACCAGGCTGGACGCAAAACCAAGCATACGTGACTGGTAACTGAACAACAAGATCATTTGCAAGCTGTGCAGCTCTGTATTAAGGCAAGGCTAATCAGGTTGGGGCAAAGGGAGGAGTTGGCTTCTTATGACAAATATTGTACCCTCACTTTTGTATATTCGCATGGCTTTTCTTAACTGATTTAATGGCTCGGCCCTAAGTTTGGTTCAATTGGCAAACAAACGCTTAGGGTGAAATCAACTCCCTCAGCACAATGGCCACAAGCCATTTTGTTATGCTCCAAATATACAAAGATCAAGATTGATGTTATTTTCCTTTATTTTATATATCATGAACTTTGATGCAAAGCTTTTCCAGTGAGATCTGTGCCTCCTAGCTCATGAACAAGAGAAGTCCACAATTCTCAAAACAGGGAAGTGCAGGGAAGTTGCGGGTGGCCAGGGGGGAAATAAAATCCTTCCAGTTCCAGTGCAACTTAAGAATAACTTACAAATGTGCTAGCCCTGGAACAATGATCCTCATGGACATGAGAGAATGAATTCAGGGGAGATGTGCATTGGCTGCTTTTGAATGTGTGTGTGCTGGAGCAGCCAACAGCCTACCCTCCAAATGTTGTTGAACTACAACTCCCATCATCCCCAGTCAGCATGGCCAATAGTTAGAGCTATAGTCCAACATCTGGGCAGAATTACATTGGCTATGCCTGCTGTGTGGACTGAATTTTGCCGTATCAGAGGAAGAGCGACCTTGAGCATGGAGGACGGTGGCTTCTTTCTTTCACCTCAAATTGATCTACTCAGCAATTTTAAAAGCAGAGTGGCTTGAGTCTCTTTTATATATCTTAAACCAAGACAAAATAAAGGATGCTGACGGAAGCAGCTGGATGCATCTTCCTTTCTTTGCCTTAATTGGGGCACATCTAATGAGGATCTCTCTAGCCCTTGAGAGCTATAGAGTTTTTGCACCAGTGGCTTTTAAGGATGTGAAATGCATCTCAAAAGGTAGAACTGCCAAACTAATTTGAGAGATTCTTAGAAAGAGATGGGTTAGCCTTTGCAAAATGACCGAGAATAAAAAGCTTTTGAAATAAGCTTTTTTGCTACAGTCACTTTATTTATCTATAAAAATTACCTTGGGATTAGGCCATGTAATACTGACCCATTTGCCTTAATGGAGACCACACACGGTCTGCAGATTTTAAGCTTGCCTATAACTCATCTGCTTGCTATACTGGTCTTGCTAACTATGACCCACTTTCATGCACGGTGATTTGCCTTCTGCCTGAACCCAGGAATCCATCTCATGCCATCTGCGTGATTACAAGCTCTGAATTGACAGAAAAGAATCCCAAGCTTCAAATCCATTTATTTCAAACAGTTGATTTTGAGCGAGAAAGGAAAGGGGAGGAATGAACAAAAAAAAGGATGCACACAAAAAAGAGTGTGTTTGATGAGCAAGTCATTGGTGATGAAAATTAATGTGTGGCTTTTAAGTCTTCCACTTGCTCTGCTCAGGCAGTCAATCTGCAATCAATAACAGAATTGGGAAATCAACAATGGCCTGGCACAAGTGTGCGAGTGTGTGTGCTGGAGTTGGGGGAACACAGGCAACAGACACTGAAAAAGAGCACATGTTAGCACAATCCTAACAGCAGAACATATCAGAAGTGAAATGGCTGGAAACCTACAAAAACCACTTTTGTGTGAAAATGAAGGAACTGGCCAAATTTAAGACAGTGCTCTTCCCCAAAGTAATCAGTATTTATATGAATCAAAACACAAACAAAATGGCATTTGGCTTTCCTTCATTTCTCCTCTCACAATCACGTGTGTGTGTGTGTGTGTGTGACTGTATTAACTTTTATTTAATCAATAATAATAATAATAATAAACACTTGTGCCCCCAAATTATGCCTCAGCCCTCCGTGCTGTTTGAAGGGGGGGCTGCAATTTATTAGGTCAAGATGTAGGCCACTGAGTGGCCTCTATAATCAGAAACAAGGACAGCCCATTAACAAAGACCTTCTCTTACCTCCACAACTCTCCCCATCAACTTGCACACTGCTGGTTGGGATCGATGAAGCGACTGGGTCTTTTGAAGCCGGCAGCTGTGGTGTTTCTTCCTGGTTCGGCAGAAACGCAGAGCAGAGGTCAGTTTCAAGGGCTTGCAGCTTCAGCAAAGAATTCTGCAGGCAAAAACAGAACATTGGGATAGATGGAGAGCGAAGGGAATGGCAAGGATCAAGTCTTCAGCTCCTTGGGGCTGTCTGCAGGAAAGGCTGCTCCTCCTCGCAGCTCAGGAAAAGTGAATTAACTGCTTAGACATGCCATACTCCTTATGCGCCTTCGTTTCCTCCATCTATTTAACTGATCTGGATTATTTATGACACAAGGGAAAGATCATCTCATCAGCAAAAAAGAAGAAAAGATTTGTTCCTGAAAGCCAGTCTGAGAAGCTGGAGGCTTTGCTCTCAGAGCAAAAAATGCCATGTAAGGATTTCACAGGTTATGCTGATTGCGGGGCCCGGTGGCATTAAGCCCCTCCCCCTTTTCCATTCATAAAAAAGGGGGAGAATAAAATCCCTCCATAGAATATTGTGCAATACATTGCTGAAAGCAAAGGGTTACATTTCTAGGCTCCTCTTTTTTTTTCTTTTCTTTTTTTTTTGGAAAAGAGGGTTGGCTTTTCATTTCCCATCCCGCGCCAGGGCAAAATTAACAGATCTTTGTCATTCGCCGCAAACAAATCAATGACGGCAAAGGCTCTTTATCTCTTAGTAGCTCCTCCAGCTCCTGTTTCACGCTTGATCCATTTCTCATTCCCAGTCTTGAATACAGAGTGCAATATTCTAGCCGCATAATCTGATACAAGCATCTTGCTGGGACGCAAGCATTCCCACAGCCCTAATCATTCATGGACCGAGGAGGTGACGGAAGTCCGTGTGAAGACCATGAAAGTACAATTTCTCCCCCCACACCCCCAAATGCAGGGCAGAACGCAAAAGAGTTCATACCCTCTGAGCAGGTAACAATCCAAGATAAAGCAAAATGAGGAGAGCTTGTCAACGCTGGCATAAACGAGCATTGCTCCAAAAATGTGTGACCTCATATTTCTACAGCTTACATTTGATTTTAATTTGATTGATTGATTGATTTGCATTCATACCCCAACTCTACAGAGCTCAAGGTAGCAACCACAGTTCTTGGCTTCCCGATTTTACACTCACAACAACCCTACCAGAAAAGTTAAGCTGAAAGACAGTGACTGACCCAAGGTCACCCAGGGAGCTTCACAGCTGAATGGGGGCTTGAACCCTTGTCTCCCAAGGCCCTCATCCAGCAATCTAACCACTATACCACACTGGCTCTTAAACTGCAGACCGGCAAGTGACAGCCCAGGGAGAGGGGTACAGGAGCTCAATCCAGCAATATCTTTATCCGAACCGAAAACCTCTTACACTGTATGCAAATATACCCTCAACTAGAGGTGGAGTTCAATTTTGTTTGCATTATAATGAGAAATCACCTAATCTGCATTTCCTGACCCTTATGTGAACCGAAACCCAGGTATCCTTGGAAATTCACATTTCTCAGAATTTTGTGATACAGTTCTATCACTAAACAGTGTGTGCAAAAATGTGTGTATTTGTAGAAAGTATATATGAAAATGCAGATTTTAGTGAAAATGTGCAGAAATGTGTTGTTACGTTAGTGAAAAATGTTTGCAGAGATGTGTTATATTAATGAAAATTGCATTAAAATGTGTTTATTAGGAGAAATTCACACTAAAGCACCGGTAAATTTTCATGATTCTTTTTTTTAATGCAAATTGCTGGAGAAATGTGGAGAACTGGATTTAAGAATGGAAAAATGAGAAACCAAGAGAAACCAGCATGGATAAGATTCATCCATCCCTACCCTACACCAATGTTTCTCAGACTTCTGATAACTGCCAGGTGTTTTCTGAATCAAAGCTGGAAGAGACACTTCATATATTCCTCTTGCAGGGGGGGGAAAGGTTTAACTTTTAGAGTGTGCAAGAGTGACAAATGCACACCCTCACAGAAGTTTAGCTTCAGGGTTTCTGCATTAACCACTTGTCCTGCAAGTACCTCCTTCTCCTCCTCATGCAAATAACTTGTGCTCCTTCTCTGCACCGGGAAGAACTGAACAAACCAAACTGCATTCTACACAAAAGACATTGCACCGTGACCCATCCAGCAGAGGCAGACGGGAAGAAGGCAAGGCCAGAACATTCAGCATTAGAACTTCCCTCATCCAGAGATACAGGGTGGCTTTTGGCTCATAGGAGCGTTAAATGATTCAATTCATTTTGTTTCAAGAACTTCTATGTTGCCTTTCATCAGGCAGGGAGGGCATTGTTTCCAGGGCAGGGTGCAACGCCGTAAAATAACTAACAACCCAGCAGCAAAATTTGAAGCAACGCAACACAATCTACATAGCATAACCTAAAATGCTTGGGTGAAGGAGAAAAAAAACCTTCCATCTGGAATATAAATAGTATTAATTTAGGCACTAGTTGGGTTTCTGTGGGGAGCTCCTTTAAGTGGGTACCACAGCCAAAAATGCCCTTGCCCCTCCCCCCCTCCAAACTAACTTCTGGTGATGAGGGCACCCAGAAAAGGGGATTGGTTGGTAACTGGGGTTGTGGTCACTGACCCCTAACCTCTCTCCAGCACCATCTGTTTCTGGGGAGTGTTGCTTCCTATGTGACTTTGAACCCATATAGTGCGGGGTTCTAAGTCATGCAAGGAGCCCACCCATATAGAGAACGCACACCACTTCAGATCTCTTCCCTCCAATGGGTGATGTGTAGAGATAATTATTATTATTATTATTATTATTATTATTATTATTATTATTTATTATTATTTATACCCCGCCCCATCTGGCTGGGTTTCCCCAGCCACTCTGGGCGGCTTCCAACAAAACACTAAAATACAATAACCTATTAAACATTAAAAGCTTCCCTAAACAGGGCTGCCTTTAGATGTCTTCTAAAAGTTTGGTAGTTATTTTTCTCTTTGACATCTGGTGGGAGGGCGTTCCACAGGCGGGTGCCACTGCCGAGAAGGCCCTCTGCCTGGTTCCCTGTAACTTGGCTTCTCGCAGTGAGGGAACTGCCAGAAGGCCCTCGGTGCTGGACCTAGAGAAGCCAGCAATCGCAGTCCTGCAGTCGTAATACTGCAAGAGAGGATATTCAAATGGGGATTGATGGAGCAGTCTTTCTGGGATGTTTCTCTGCTGATCTTCCCATTGGAAATCCCCACTAAACTTCTTACAAACCATAGAGTTCCCCGGAACAGTTTGCACATCACTGCCCTGGGAGGCATCAAGAGAATAAGCAGGATATGTCTGAAATATCTCTCTCATTTGGCTGACCAGACAGAAGCAATTAACTCCTTCATCAAGAGGAAAATAAATTCCTCAATTTAGAATAATCCTACATATATATATTTGTTCCATAATTAACAGCTGGCACTCATTACTAACTATGCCCAAAACTGCCCAAGCAGACTAATGTGTTAAAAACTGGGTGGTCAGTGCTGTTTTTAGCAATGCCGATGCTGTAATATACTCATTTTTAGAAAAATTAAATCAGCTCTAAATATATATTTTTCCCATCTGTTGCAGGCATGAGGTTTCCAGCAGATTTCCAGCTACCGTTGAGGGATTTGAAATAAATATATATATATATTTTTAAACATGACCTTGATAGCGACTTGGCATACAGAACCAATATAAATAACTGCAAACCGTCAAGTCTGAAATCTCTCATTTCTTACTGTTTCCTCTTTTCAGGGGGATGGGCCAATGAAGTGCCATCGAAAGGTGGAGGAAATCTGTTCCAAAGGTGAACCCCTGGAAAATAAGCCATTCTCCTAATGTACAATTTACTTCATATGCCTGAGCCACAAAAGCATTAAGAACGTAAGAAAGGTGCTGCTGGATCAACTAAAGGCCTCTCCGGTCCAGCATGGCATTTCCCACAGCAGAACGTCAGATGCCTCTGGGAAGCCATCAAGCATAGCATGGCCACAATTGCATTCTCCTGCTATTTCCTAGAAAATGGTATTCAGAGGAATGGCGCCTCTCAACCCGAAGCTTCAATATCAATCACTTGCAGCCATTGGCAAGACATATCGTTCCTCCTCCTGCCCCGATTCGCTGATGAAAGTTGGCAGCTCCAGAACTTGAGGGGAACTACTTTTAAGGAGCTGTGCACAAGACAAAAGTCTACTAGGTACAACTCACTGCAGCACTATGGAGGGGGAAAGTCACTTGTAGCAAAATTCTGCTTTCTTTATGACTCTTACAGCACAGTCCTACTACGCGTGTTTGTTCAGAAGCAGGTCCCACAGCATTTGGTGGAATTTATTCCCAACCAATATGTACGCTTAAGATTGCAGGTCTTAAAAAAATGGTTTCTTTTGGTTTCTGGATATATATATTTTCAAATCTTAAATTAGGTTCTCCACATTTCCACCTCAGTTTGTGGTCCTCAGGAAAATTCATCAGCCCTTTAGTGTGGGTGTCTCCTAATATAAATACGTTTGTGTACAATTTTGCCTCATATTCATATATTGACAGAGCAGTTTTCTTAATATAATGTCCTCTGCGGTATTTTCAACAATATATCCATTTCTATGTACACTCCAAAAAACGAAGGGATGCATTTTTGAGCATATTGCTTGGCGGGAGAAGCGCACTGCAAAATTCAGAGGAGTGTGGATGTCACGCTCCTCTGTTTGTTGTCCTATTGTTTTGGGAAATGTGAATTAGGTACGCTCACCTTTAAATGTGAACTGAATTGAATTCGTCTCCCATCCCTAGCTTTGACACCTCCTTTCACTCATTCATCACTATCACTCATGGCTTCCCGCTTCCTGAAATGGCTCCACCCATTTTCCCTAGCTGCCTCTTAAGTCTGGAATGGCTTCCCAGAATGCCTCCGTGTTACCAGCTTTCTTATTTCCTTTAAACCGTCCTCAAAACCCACCATTTCAAGGAAGCCTTTGGGTCAACCTCCTACTCCCTATATCTTTCTGCAACTAAGGTCACATCCACACCATACATGTAAAACACATTTAAGGCACGTGACTTCTGCCGCCCCCAAAGAATCTTGGGAACTGTAGTCTGTTAAGGGTGCTGGGGATTGCAGCTCTGTGATGAGTAAAATACAGTTCCCAAGATTCTTAGGGACAATGTGCTGTAAATATGTAGTGTGCGTGTGACCTAAGCAAAAGGGCATGTAATAGAAAAGACAACATGTTCTTCTCTCATTTGTGCAGTCTCTGCTTACCCCTTCCTGTGTTGTTTCCATGTGTCTGTTTTAGATAGCAGGCCTCTTTGGAAAGGGAGTTGTCACACCTGTTCATTTACATATATGGTGCTAAATAAATTAATAATAATAATAATAATAATAATAATAATAATAAATCTCCCTTCCAGGCTCAAACTGGCCTCACGCTGACTCTTTCTATGTAGGCTGAATACAGAAGTCTTTGGAAGGACCTCAGAAAGCCAAGTTTAATCAAATGGTGTTTTTTTTAATAAAGTCAGCATATACGTAACAATGAAAGGGCCATTTCTATTACTAGTCACTAGGCTTTTATTAAACACTAGGCTTTATTTTACACACACACACACACACACACACACACACAGCATCCTTTCAAGGAAAGCAACATTTCAAAAGAAGGAAGGTGGTAGATTCAGAGTCTATTTAGGTGCTGGTTGTGGGGAGTGCAGGGGGGACGGGAAGACATCAAAGAGAACACATCTTTGCCTACCTCTATTTATCCAGAAAGAAATTGCTATGGTTTTTATATGTGATAAACAAGGAAACTGTCAACATCTGTTAAGATGGGAAAAGGAGGGGGAGAAAACACACTGCCATTTCCAGTCAGCCATTTCCTTTGTGCGCAGAACAAACCAACAGCGGTGAAACACAAAGAGACTCGTGTTTTGTTTGTTACAGGCCACTGCTGAACCAGCTATGCAGAAATTGCTTTATTTGGGAATGGCATAAGGGCTATAGCTATTTTTCCTTATTTACTAAAGAAATGTCCCTCTTGCTGATGGGTGATGAAGAACCTGTTTATTGCAAGGACATCTGGAGGGGCAGTGCATCTCCTCACACAGAACCACCTTATTTTCCCCCAACAGAACTTAAGGGGGGGGGCTTTGTAAATTGAACCGATGTCCATCTCTGTAGGCCTGCCCCTTTGCTTTCGAAGACCCAGCCTGGGTTGTGCCTTTTGGTCACACTGCAACACTGGTAGAGAAACTCTGGCCCTCCAGATGATGTTGGGATTCTCAACTCCCATCAGCCCCACAGGCAATGTAAAGGAATGATAGGAAGTGTAGTTTAGCAACACATGGAGGGCCATAGGTCCCCCTCCCACACACACACTCCTTTGCTATAATATATTCGTGTACGGCGGACCTTTGGAGAGGGACGCTTGAAGAATCTGATCTTTGTTGAATTCTGGTATGAACCAACCTGATCCACACCTCCCAGACTAACACACAGGCTGGAACTTTGTTAGCTGCCAGCTTTCCACACTTACTGGTTTTTCCAACATGACTCTTGACCCACAGAACACAAAAAAGACAGAATTTCTAAGATGTGCATTTTGAGAGAAAACGCACATAGAAACATATGTTTAAATTCACATATGAAATACAAATTTGGGCACACGTCTTTATTTAAAATTCAACAGGTTAATGTGGAAATGAAAAAGAAGAGACAGAAATGAACACGTGGGAAAGTGGCATGGACTTATTGGCCCATCCTGAACTTGGGAACTGGCTTCCATAGGTTGGGATGTGACTCTTCTAAGGTTTTTAGACCACACACCAAGCCTGCAAGAAATATGCAGAGCTCTCCAAGTATACAGTTGCACCTTTGAAGTCGAACGGAATCCATTCCGGAAGTCCGTTTGACTTCCAAAATGTTCAGAAACCAAAGCACAGCTTCTGATTGGCTGCAGGAAGCTCCTGCAACCAATCGGAAGCTGCAGAAGCCCCATCGGACTTTCGGCTTCCAAAAATAGTTCGCAAACCGGAACAGTCACTTCTGGGTTTGTGGTGTTCAGGAGCCAAAACATTCAAGAACTAAGCTGTTTGAAAAACAAGGTACGACTGTATATGCAACTTGGGCTGCAATCCTAACCCCTTTTACCTGAGAGTAAGCTCCTTTGAATTCAGTGGGATTGACTTCCGAGCAGACATGGTTAGGACTGCACCCTTTACTCAGCTATCCAAGCCCCTTGCCAGACCTCCATATATTCCATGTTTGAAACAACCGCAGTTTCCAAGCCACCTAACGGCTTGTTGTACACGAACCAACAAACGATGCATCGGCAGCCTGGAGGAGGATGGACACAGCAAAGCACAGCTCCAGGACTTTCTCCACACAAACACAGCAGTAGCAATTCTGTCATCCGTCAGAGAGCTGAGGGTAACTGACAGGCCCTCCTTGCTCTCGCAAGCGACTGAGTGGATAACAAGACCTTCAGCTTCTGACTTTCGTTGTGACAGATTAGCATAGAGGACGTCAGAGAATGAGGCATTTGTTACTCTCTTGACTGCCAACAAATCCACAGAGATCAACGCTGCTTTCAGATGCTCTTTGGGGGTGTGGCTATGTGGGCTGTCAGGATGAGGGCTTACACTTCCAAGTTTACCACTACATCCCTGGCCCTACATTCTTGGTGCAACTGTGTGAAGCCACTCATCTGAATTATTTGTGCACTTGGCCTACAATCTTGGATTGCTATCGATGGCTTAATGAGCTGCACCTTGTCTCCAGTCTAAGCCACTCCACGTGATTCTTCTGTCTAGCAGACAGCTCATTTAGACATTTCTGGACTTCAATTACTGATCCCGGTAAACAACAGACCAAACGGAAAGGCGGATCCAAATAAAGCAGGGAAAGGCTCCGCAGTATACTAAATTGCAAGAGTGGGCTCTTAGGGGCAACTCGTTCACTTAATGCATGTCAGAATATGATTCACAAGCAGAACTGTGGCAGCAATCACACTCTTTTCAAAGGCATCATTTTGACTTGATCCAAAACTCTTTGTTCCGTTTAAGTGCTTGCAAAGCAATATTGCGAGAGTCTGCGGAACTGGGTGCAGAAGCATCATTGTCAAGGCAGGATGTATTCTGCAATTACACCACCTAAGCACAGGACTTGTGCTGGGTACAGACGCAAGCAGTAAGAAATCATAAGCTTTCACTTCTTTTTTTAAAACGGATGTTTCCGGCCCTTAAGATAGCTTGAAAGTGGGTGGACGCTGCCTGGCAAAACACCAGATGTTAGAGAAGGGAGAAAGAATAAGACTTCTAGCTATTACAAGATGGATTTCAATACTCTTGGATAGTGCTTTGCCCCCATGAAGTAGATAAACCAAGCAAGTGTGCTATTTTTTTTTAAAGAAGTGTTTCATTAATTCAATTTTGCATTCCATGCTTCTGTGCTCATAACCTAGACTACAACTTTATCCACTACCATTAAGCTACACATATTACAACACATGCATAAAAGTGGAGTGTTTCTGAATTTCCTTACCACCCGGTTTTGCTGTACACTTAAAGAAATATAGGCATCTATGAATCTGCCCTTTCCCCACAATTTCTAAGGTTGATAACTGAACGTTTGTTTTGCATTTGTCGATTTCTCAGAACATGAAATACATTTTTATTTGGTGCTGAGAAATACCAGCAAGCCCGGAATGCTGCGTGTGTTATACAAGACGCAGAACTATAAAGATTTTCTTGGCACTGAATTTAAGTTACCATGGTGCATGGTTTGGATTTTTCTGCTCAAGCTCAATGTCTAGGGTAGGGGACGTACTGTGGTGCCACAGGGACCTCTCCATTTAAAGCAGAGGCTTTTGAGGGTAGAGATGCACCTGCAGTCTATATACCCCAAACCTTTGAGCCCAAAGCTTCTCAAAGTATATCCCTGATGGTCAACAAGCTCCATTTAGGGGCTCAATGGAAAGGTTGGGGACAGCTAAGGATATTTATACTTGGTCCTGAACTTGATTTATTTTGATGATGATGGTGATGATGATGGTCAAAGTCAGACTATCAAACTAGCATTAAGGTCCTGGCCTAGGGCCAGTGATTTTCATAATATGGTGCTAGTGCATTCTACTAATTATTCCTTTTTATAAAATGTACCAGTTAAGGGGGCCCTTCTATGTAGCATGGCCTGGGAAGGCCACATAATTTTCATAATACATATCTGGTTTGGTGTTAGTTATGAACTCAGTGCTGAAGGGGGCGGTGTATTTTATTTTTTCTCATTCGTTGCACTAGAGAGTACCTTTTTAAAATATGAGTTACCTATATGCTTTTTTGAGGAGGGGAACCAAAAGGTGGGGGGAAGGTGGTGTGTCCTATGAAAAAGAAGTTTGAGAAGTGCTGCTTTGGCCCATAGTGGTTCTGCACTCACAACTGCACTACAGGCAGGGCAAATTTAGAGCAGGTTTCTGTTGTGCCAGATCACTCCTATTTTATTAAGCATGCTTGCCACAATGCTGAATCTGGTGCAAATATGCCTTTAGTCAACCTCCTTCATGATGGTAGTCTTGCCCAGGGCAATAGTAGTACACTGTTATGATCATCAGAGCATAAATTCGCTCAGTTATATCCTCTTGGCCTAATATGTTTCCCACTGCCTGATCAAGTAGGCAATCTTATCATTATATTTTAAAAAGCTTCTCAGATTTACTCTTCAGCAACACATTTTGATCCTACTATTTTGCTAGTCACCAGTCTTGATTTTCTCTCATTATAGTTTTGCCTCTTTTGTTCTTCTACGCTCTGTTATTATCAGCACATAACATCTGCACGTCCTCCCCTCAGCTTAACAAGGTCTCTCGTCTACCTTGAGCAATCTTGCCCTTGTACCTTTACAATGCTCTGAGCTTACAAATGCTTCTGATTTTCAAAGGTATCTCAGTTTTCAGAATAGAACCAAACCAGAACCATAAACTAGTAGTGGCAGCTAATTTATCTGCATGCGTGTCACAAGGTGGGTGGCATGGCAACGTATAACACATGGTTTGTATGGTGCGTAATTTCACAAAAGGACGCCATCCCAGGACTAATTTTGAACCACATGTAATTCAAAAAAGCACAAGGGCAACCAAGTTACAGGAGTGCAAAGAAGGGCTTGTCCTCACCTCTCTTTAGCCTGCCACTTTCACCTGAAGAAACCCGTGGTTTACCACTGAATCAGACCAAATAACAATTGGGTGGTTCCACGGATTGCCATTTGTTCCAATTCAGTGGTAAAGAATGTGTTTTCAAGGGGGAAGTTGTGAGGCAAACACAAAACTGCTGGGAAAGCATGGGACAAGCAGGAAAACACTCAGATCCATATTTCTCAGCACAGGACAAGCGGAAGTATGGACGAGCCCAAAGTTTCTCCCCAATTTCTTCAAGGTAGCAATGCCACCATCTCAACAGTTAACCAATTGCCACACTTGCCACCAAGCTTTCTGCTTACTCGCTGAGCTTAATACAGGGCTAGCTCTCAAGAGTAAGAAGAACATTCTACTAGCCAATTACCATCCACAGTGACTGCCTGATGAAGAGGAAGTGGCTCTTTTTGACCCTCCCTTTACTGATCAGCCTTTGTAGCTGACAGACATATAAGCAGCACAAAACAAAATAATTTGTACGGACACCGATCACTAGGCTAAAGGAGTAAGCAGCTATGATGCAAATCTCTGGAATGTTCCAATGCATGTAAGAAAAGCATTGTTGTCAATGATGGCCTTTACTCTTTACTAAGTACATGTACATTCAGATCATAAAGCAGAACTCCTGCCTCCTTTCAGGACTACCGCATGTACTCCAGAATTAAGTGTTTTGAAGTAAATGCCTTCAAATAAATTAGGCCGATTCATACATGCATGCAATGAAAGCATGTACCAAGCTCACTGAAATCTGACCATTTGAACCGCTATCTGGGACCCAAACGCCTGGAAGTGTGGCTCTCCCTATACCAGCCTGCTCATGTCTCTGAGTTCTTCAGAGGATGCTTGGAGATGGCTTGCTACATGGTGATGGGGAAGAGAGTCTTGTTCTCCTGGCTTCCTAGCACTGCAGGCCACAGCCACCTACCAAGAGGGAAGGAGCAGGGTGTGAAGAGCCTGGCACCAGTCACAGGAGTGTTGGACTGGCTCTACCACCACCTGTCGCACCACAACAAGCTGCCAGTGCCTCATCCCTCTCCCTTCTTCCTCTCGGTAAGCAACAGTGGCCTGTGGTGTTGGGTAGCCAGGACAGCAACAGATTGGTACCTACACTGCTCCACCGGTCGCTACTGCTTCTCTGTGGAACACCCTCCTCTGATGCACATAACTAGCACTGACATTGTTACCATGTTGGCCCCAGGTTAATACTTATATTCGTTTGCCCAGGACTTTTAAGGTTTTTGCGCTGGTGATGGTTTAGCCTTCCCTGCTATTTTTAAGCTGTTTGCTTGTTTTGATGGTGCATAGTATAAGGCTTTGTTGTCTCTTGTATACTTTGGTTGTTACTTTTTTATGTTCTGTACCTGCCCTTTTATTTGTACAGGTGAAGGTTAAGTTATAAATAACAACAACAACAATCAATAAATAAGAGAGAGAGAGAGAGCTGCATTATGCCAAGTAAGACTATTTGTCTATCTAGCCCATTATTATCTATATATGAAAGCAGCTCTCCAGGATCTCTGGCAAAGGTGCTTCCCATCACTCGTCTCTAACAGATTATCCATACAGTCATAAAGGGATGCATGGGGGACATGCAAGTGCAAAGCGGCCCTTTGTCTCTTTTGCTTCCTTAAATAAAGATGCCCACAGCATCCTATAGCAGGCTTTTAAGGTCACTGATAAACTTACCTCACTGAAGTTCTGGAAATGTTCAGTGCCATCCTTTGGTGAAATGAATGCACTCTGATCTGTCCTGCAACATGAAAATTGGGAGGGTAATTGTAGGTGCCACTTTGAAGTGTTTTTTAAGGTGGACTGCCCACCTCAAGAACAAGGACTGGGGCAAGATGGAGAGCCGATTCAGTTTACACATGTATCTTTGTGTGTGCCTGCATGTGTCACAAAGCGACACACTGCAGAAGGAGAACCCACTGTGGCACTGTTAAGAATGCCACCTAGTTTTCCTTTTTTCTAAGGCCCAAACTAGACATGAACCACACACTCATGGCAATTAAGCGAGTGACTTTTTAGCGTAAAAAGCATGCAGAGAGCTCCGTGTGGCATTCCCAATCCAGATCAGACCCCTGCTGCCTGCTTGTCAGTACTGAGTGCAAAGTTTCCACTGACACCATTAGGAGGATTTCCCCACATTTCAAATAGCAGTTGTGGGGCCCTTGATCTAGATCGGTACTGTAGCAAATGGATAAACCACCTTAATCTTCCTGTGACAGGGTCCCAACCCAGATATTTGGTTTTGTGTGCACTAGTTAGACTAAGAAAGGAAAAAGAAAGATTCACACAACTGGTACTTGTGTGAATGGCATAGAGACTGGTTTGAACTTTAGAATGTCTTGAAAAATTTGAAACTCGATCCAATTCGTCTTTGAAATAGTTATCAATTTTGACAAGGTGGTGGAATCGTAAGATAGTTATCCAAATAAGTGTGAGATTAATTCCCACTTGAGCAAAAGCAGTTGTTTGTAATGGTTAGTAAGAATACAAAGAACTGGGCAAAAATAACACATTTGTTTTTATTAGCAAACTGAGCAAAAAATAACACATTTGTTTTCATTAGCAAAGTGCCTATCAGTAGCACAGACTGTGCTTGCTTTTACCACAGAAGTAAGTGCTTTCAATTAGCTTCTATGAGAGAAAATAATGAAGCATAATTTCAAAGTTGCTGAATTCAGGTTTTCTAAACAAAGAACTTGGGTTACCTTAGCATAGAATTTCATCTGTCAGCTGTGTTTTTTCTTTTTCTAAAACCTTGTTTCTGACAGGAGTAGACCTGCAAAATTTATGATCCGGCAGCCATGTATGGGTTAGCCCACAGGAGGCTCAATAAATCGGTTTTTGCTGCCTGTCTGAGACTGGAAAAAAGTGTTAGGCACCCAGGGAAGCACCAACCATGGCTGGCTGGCTATGTCTGACTGAGTGGATAACAAGTTATGCCAGCTTGCAAACAGAGAAGTGCAGGTGTCCGCCCTGATTTAGAGTTAAACAGAAGTGAACAAGATTTGTTTACTTGGAAGAGAATACCTGGGTTGAAACTTGATGACGGTTTCCTGGTATCTGAATGCCACGTTCTCGGTGTAATCATTAGCCGGCGTTCCCGTTTTCCTCTGACAGTCGGAGAGCCATGGCAATGCATTTCCCATCTCCTGCAACAAACAAACAAGCAAACAAATCAACAAATGCAACCCACTCAAGTAAACAGTGGCCGGACTGGTGTCAGCTGCCTATTTTGGGAGGTGGGAGGGGGCAATCTAAGTGTGTAATCAAAGCTCATCTGGAGAAGGGGAGGAGAAATGAGGGGCCCAAGAAGGGACTGTACTAAACGTTGTCTCGATGCAATGGCAGCAACCTGATGCAAAGATTGTAATGAGGACCGGGGGGGGGGGGAGTCCCCAAGACACACCTGCATGCAGTAGCAGTGCTATTATTGTAACCCTCTGTCACTTTCTCATTTTAAAAAAGATTTTGTCTGAAGCCACCCAGCTTTTGTTTCAGGCTACCTATATTGTAATGAATTGTTGTTGCTTTTTTTAACACTCTTCATCTTGAAGGAGTCCTTCCCACGTTGACTCATCTGCTACAGATGAGTTATATGTGTGAGAATGTACATGAGAGGGTGCTGGCCGTACCTGTTGGACCTCACTGTTGCTCCATAGGACGTGAGCATACCTTAGATTAGAAACACCCCATCATTACCCTATACAGTTGTGCACTGAAAGGGAAGGAGGACCAAAGAGGACAAGTGAATTTCTGAAAAGCTTGCCCACCATTACAGAGTTTCCAGCTCAGGAACTATCAGCTTTCCAATGAACCTCTAAGTTCCTCAGCACAGTTTGAAAACCAATTTTGTTGTGCACCAAGGGTTTCTGGTGGTAGGGATAAAGTTTCTGTCCATAATGGGGTTGCTTAATGCCACAGAGAAGCAAGGGCAGGCAGGAGATTGCCCAGCTGCCATTGGCTGGCCTACAGATTGGCTGGTGACTGAAGAAGAACTTAAGGGGAAGAGAACAGCAAGGGACGCAAGCAGCCTAGGAAGAAGAGCTGGAAAGGGGAATCCAGAGTTTGTCAACATAACTCCAAAAGTTGAAGCCCGAAGGAGACTGAGACTTTTATGTTCATTGTGTTCAATTAGGTTAAATATCAGCACTTTTTGAGTCAGGGTCAAAATTTCCCACTCAATACTAATTCTCAATGAGGTGATAAAAACCCGTGTCTGGGCTGCAGCATTTCACTGCTTTCTTGCTCTCTTGCTGTCACACACACTTATTTATACAGAGAAAATCAGCTCTCAAGAAAACAGGCAGCTCTGGCCTCACCCTGTATGCTAGATTTCTATGTGCAGGGATTATTGTTGTTGTTTTTATGATTGCTGTTGTTGTTATCTATTGTTATTATTAGCCATGGTTACTTTCGTTGTTATCAACTATTCTAATTGTTTGTTTGTTTGCTTGCTAGCTTGCTTGCTTGTTTATTATTATCAGAGCATATGATCATGCGAGCCCCACTTCTATTCCATACCCTCCAACATTTCTCCAATGGGAAAAAAGGGCGTCCTAAGGAAAAGCAGGACATTCTGGGATAACAGCAGAAACTGGGTCGGCTTCTGTAAATCCAGGACTGTCCCTGGAAAATGGGGACACTTTGAGGGTCTGCCAGTCTGAAGTGATATATATACCTGTACCACTGTTGGTGAAAACGAAGCCTCTGACTTTCTGAGGCAACACACAAAGGAGACAGTCTCATGGCAAGGCCTCTTAGCAACACACTGTCAGAAAGCAACATTATTTTGTGGATCTTACAAACACACACCCATGAGGTTTGGAGAAACCATAGATCATAGCAGTTTTCTTTCCTTCACAAGGCAGGATTTGTTTGATCAGAGACCAGATCTTAACGCTCGATTGCTTCCCACTGCGTATTTTTCTTTTAATTCAGGAGAACATATTTTAGACAGGAAATTAGCTAGAGATAGCTGTTGTGCTTAGACGCTGGGAGCCAGTACAGCCCAATACCTTAGTCTAACTGTAAGGATTAAGAAAGGAGACCTCCCAAGGCTCTGTTTCTGGAGAGAAGTCGTCGTCCCCACCCTAGCTGTTCATATGACATGTGATCATTTCTCAGGGACTCCTGCATCTCAGGCCTACCACACTAAGCAACTGCTGCTATTTATTTGCATATTTAAATGGTCCTTCACATGATCAGCTTCCATGGTGTTCTTACACAGCAGCCAACAGACAAGTCCCTGCCCTGAGGTGCTTACACTACAAATTGCCAAATTCACTGACCCAGACAAAATAAATCGTGAAGCACATCAAAGTTGCAACGATCTTTGTTCCCGAGCTCACATTCACATCAAATCAATTGTACTCCAGCCTGCAACGGTTCCCACTTAAAAGGGTTTAACGCTGCATGCCAAATAGCATGCCCTTGAAATAAAAAGGTGAGCGCTTGGCTTTCACCCCTCCGTCCATAGCTGATCTTTTATTTGTCGGGCTGAAAGTGTTAATCAATATGACTAATCAATGGAATTGCTTGGGTAATGTGCAAGCTGCAGATCAACCATGATTCCCAGGGACATGCTAGCATAGCTGCTTCATGGGGTTTTGTGCACCCCTTAATTCCAGTATTAGAAAATTCTATAGTCGAAGTCCAAGGCTGAAGGAAATCAGAAGCACTGATTGACACAAAACACAGATTTCCTCAATCCAGATGTTATCTTATGCACACACACTGCATTCATCCAATGAATAATGGAGCGGTGTGACTGGGAGTAGACTTTATTATTTTATATAGTTATGGTCCCGATATAGCTGTTTGCGTCATATATCATAATAATCTCAATTTGGTAGAATGCAATACACTGAGTACAGATACAGAATTTGATCCAACTGCCTTGGCTATCAATTAGTTTTCGGGCCGAATTCAAAGTGCTGGTTTTGACTTATAAAACCTTAAATGGCTCAGGACCACAATACCTCAAGCACCGATGCTCTCCGTATGAACCTACTTGGAACCTGAGATCATAATCTGAAGCCCTTCTTCATGTGCCTCCTCCGCAAGAGGTCCAGAGGATGGCAAAACGAGAATGGGCCTTTTCTGTGGTGGCTCCTTGTTTGTAGAATGCTCTCCCCAGGGAGGCTCGCCTGGTACCTTTGTTGCATATCTTTAGGCACCAAGAAGAAACATTCCTCCTTAACCAGGCATTTAGCTGGCTGACATCTAACACCCTTTTAAATGTGCTGTGGAAGCAGAGATTATTGGGTAATTTTTCTTTTCGTTTTCATTATGCATTTTGTGCTTTTTATATTGTAATGTGTTGTAAACTGCCCCGAGATCTACAGGTATAGGGAATTATACAAATTTAATAAATAAAATTATAATAAATTTTACCCTGTCCCTTGGTTGTGTTTACACAACCTGCATTTCTACCCCACTGCCTGCTTTCGCCATTGGAGAGAACATGCCACTGACACAGGCAGGAAAGTTTCATGAATTTGTTCGGTCTTTCAGACTTTCTAAACCTCCTTATAGTGAGGTTACCTGTTCTATCCTTAATCCTCTGATTTACAGAGCTATCCCTTACACGTCTACTCAAAGTAAGTCTCACTGAGCTCAGTGGGGCTTGCCCCCAAGTAAGTGGGAATAGGACTGCAGCCTCACATGCTGAAAAACATGTCCTAAATGTTGAGTTTTTCAGGGTTTGGTTGTTCAGGGTTTGGAAGCCACCATCCACCTAGATTAAATCAAACTATGTATATTCTTTCAAACAGAGGTTCTTAGCATCTTCACCTTTGAAGACTTTCTTACTTTCTGTACTTTCTTAGCGCTCCATCCTAGCAATTAGGACAAAAATTAACAAATTCTGTTTTGCTCTCCTTTTTAAACCAAGGAGTTTAGTATCATTTTAGAAGTTCATCTCTGTGCCAATTAAGGATCTAAGAGTGAATCATTTCATTATCCATATTTATATCCATGCATATGATACATGTGCAATTGGAGGACGATACGCATTGCCTTCTAACACCTCAGTTTCATCCTACAAATTCCATGGTTGTTTTTCATCCAGCAGACTTCAAATTGAAATACTGTAGTCTTAAGTGAATCCATGCAGACACAGGGTTTTTTAAGAGCACATCTCGCACATGATAAAGGGCTTGCCCTTATACTTCCATGGAAGAGGAAGCTCTATTGGCCCAAGAGGGATCTGAGAACAAAAGGATACCTGCACACAAAGGAGATCCATCTGAAGTGAGAGTCTGTACAAAGGAAACTGATCAAGCTAATAGAAGATTTTGCTGGTTTTGATTAGCTACTAATTCATTGGCTTGTTTTTATCTGCTCTGGTTTTGTTAGGATATATTTTACCATGCTTGTTTTCTTTGGGTCTGTTTCATTTTTGCTAGCCACCCTGGGCACTTTTTGCTTGTGGAAAGGCGATAAATTTAATTAATAAATAAAAACATGTAGGATTCCTATTGCAGATCAACCATGATAGGTAGTGTGTACTCTGTGCTGGAGAAATCCTATCTCAGTTCCATGACAATATATTGTAGCATTTGCCATTAATGACTATACTAATCTGAATCATTAAAAAGAATATCAAGATGGAACATCAGCTCTGGTGAAGAGCTGGTTTTTAATCTAGCACCGTGACAAAATATCGTGAAGGTACAATGCATTTAAGAACATAAGAAAAGCCCTGCTGGATCAGATGAAAGGTTAATGTCTTCCAACATCCTATTCTCACAATGGCCAACCAAGTGAGAAGCCTATAAGAAACCCACAAAGCACAACAGCTCTCTCCACACTTGAGCTGCAGAGCAAACTGGATGCAGAACACACATGTGCCAATTGCCAAACCTCCCAGACCATGAAGGGCTAAAGAAAAACCCCAGATTCACAATTCTAGCTCCACCAGCTTGAGACATCTTAAGGCATTGCCAGCAACCCCACCAGCTCAGGGCTTCATCCAATCCCATCACTCCCTAGTCATATGTAGGAGCAATCCTAGCTTGACATAAAGGTCCCATAAATGGGTACAAACAATTCACAGACACCCCCCCCAAAAAAAAAAAGTTGGCACCCAATGCATCCACCAAAGGGCCACCATCCTGACTTGAATGCTTTGCACTGCTAGTAAAAGCCCAGGACAATTTATTGTCCTTGAACTGACCTTGCACTGCCCTTCCTTGGAGTTGGTCTTAATGACAGTGGAAATATTACGCAACTCAATCCAACTCATGTTACTTGAAAATTCATGAGTTCCATGAGAGTTACTCCCTGGTAGGTGCGCACAGGATTGCCCAATCACACAGATTGGGAGGAGAAGGGGCTCAATATCCCTGGGGAAGAGAGGAGCAAAATCTGGGTATCTGCAGGATTGGGCCACAGACAATTGGGTGGTCGGGAAAAGACATCTAACTAAGGATCAAGGGCGGCCAAGGGACAGTTCCAGGCAGCCTTTAGTAAGCGAAGTCAGAGCAGGTGAGGGACAGCAGAGTCTGAGACAGGGCAGCCATTTGCATTACCAAAAAAAAAGAGGACCAAGGAGACAGCTTATTTGCATCAAATTTGTGTGCATGCTAATTTGCGTGTGTGCATGCAAATTTACAAAATAATTAATATAATTTCAATGGTGGGGGGTGCCTGTGGCCTGTGTGCCTGCTCAGTCTGATATCCAAGTGTTAAATTTCGAAAAGCAACTTTTCCAAGCTAGACTTGGGTAAGACTTTGAACTTTGCCTTTCACCTGGCCTTCAGGTGGACAACTGCCCTCTATAAAGTAGGGCACATGTCCACCGTAGATGCACATTGCCCAATCTATGGCACAGACAAACCTGGTAAGAGGAAGGGGAAATATTATGGGAGACAGGAAAGGGCTGTGACCAATCACACAGCTGGGAAGCCTAGAGCTACATGGGCTGGGCTGGGCTATTTTGTCGCACATTCTGTAGAGGTGCAGCGACTCCAGTCTATCTCCCAGATGAGCTGAAATGTGGCTGGTGGCCCTATCGCTTACGTACACGACCCTGATCACCAGTGGAAGCCAGTTGCCCAAATGATTAAAAATGCCGCCACTTTGCATTTAAACGGCATTTCATCATACAGTTATAGCGCAAATAGGAGAGCTTATTATTACCTGACTTTCTTCACGGTTTTTCCCATTTTCTGGTTTTGAAATGGATGTGGGCTTTCTGGATTTTAAGTTCCCCATTCCAACCCTCAATGTGCCATCACAGGGTGTCTGGGTATCTTGGAACACTGCCTGGTTTTCCTCTAAGACTATAGCTTTGTCTGGGTGGTTTTCCTTGTTTTCATCTCTAGAAGAAAATAAAAGCAAATTTTAAAAGGCACCGTGATGGGTGAGCAAGAAATGTAATGCTCAAGACATCATGCTCACAATTTATTTTTAGATTACTTTTGTTTAGACTCCCCGCTTCCCCCCCCTTTTCTCCTATTTAATTAACATTCCAGGACAGAGCTACGTACAGAGCTATGTAACATTTTTAAAACTACAAAAAATATTGCTGAAAAGTGAGATGGTTGCATTTGCTTATTCAGGCCATACTTCAGGCCTCTAATACTTTAGAAGCTGCTTTATACCAGGTCGTTCCTATGCTGGGATAGCTCAGTTGGTAAAGCCCAAGACTCTTAATCTAGGGGTCGTGGATTTGAGCCCCACATCCGGCAAAATATTCCTGCATTGCAGAGGGTTGGACTAGATGACCCTCATGGTCCCTTCCAACTCTACAATTCTGTGTTTCTGTGTTAGGTCTGGCAGCTCGTGCATGTGGTCCAGTACTACCATTTGTCTAACATGATTGGCAGCAGCTTTCCAGGGTCTCTGGCGGATGGCCTCCCCCACCACTTGCTGTTGGTGCCTTTTAGCTGGAGATGCTAGGGACTGAATTCACAACCTTTGCATTTCAAGCATATACTTCAGCTGTGCTGCTTTTAACTCAGGGGTAAGCAACTTGGGCTTTTCCCTTCCTTTTTGTGGAGGGGTTCTGGTTTCCCCAGAAGCGGCTTAATCATGCTGACCACATGACACAGAAAAACTGTCTGTGGACAAACGTCGGCTCCCTCGGCCAGTAAAGTGAGATGAGCGCCGCAACCCCAGAGTCGTTCGCGACTGGACTTAACTGTCAGCGGTCCTTTACCTTTAATCTGTTAGGAGCCACATGTGAACTGTGGGTGGGGTCACCCTTCTCTCTCACTGGCTTTCTGGCAACCCCTTCTATCTCTCTCCATCTCCCCTCCTCACTTAGCAGGCTACTGAGGGAAATGTCTGAACTGACAGTGGTGGACTTTGGGCTCTCAAATTTCTGTGGCACCCTGTGTGACACTAAACTTTGCCCCACCCCACCCCACTTCTCGTGCTCCATTATATGGCATTGTTGTGGCTCCCAGTGTAACCGCACTGGCCATGCTACTCTAAAACCGCCTCTGGAACTGATCACAAAGAGAGGACTTTAGAAACGAAGCTGGGGGTCGCAAATAATTAGAGTAAGGGCAACACACGGTTCTAGGGCCTCAGGATGCTAACCACAGCACACTAAACATGTAGCGTGTCCCACCAAATACGTGCTAAATCTCTTGGTTTTGTCATCTGCCTGAGACTACAAAAGAAGAGGTTTTCTCAAGACCTAGCAGGCCCCAAGACTTGACCAGCTTTTGCTTAATGGGAGATAAACTGTACAGATATTTACAAAAGTTATATACCACTACTAGTGCTTTTTTCTGGGGGGATGCAGAGCTACGCACACCCCTAAACATTTTGTGAATCTCTGTACTTTTGTCCATTTGGTGTCTTTATTTTTCCTGATTTGAACTATAAAATGGTGATTATCTTGAGTCAAAATGAGAGTACCCCTAAACATTTTGGTTTTTTGGGGGGAGCACAGACCACTACTATTACAGAAGACTCACGTTGTCTTACATGGGGCCCCTAAGCAGTCTCCCATCCCAGCAATTGACCAGGATAAGACCGTCTCAGCATTAACAGTTTAACATCACGTGTCTTCAAGCCATTTTCAGGGAAATACTGGATAATTCCAAAAGAACTTCCTGCAATAATTTGTGAACCTGGCAAGCATAGCCTGCCCTCACAAATACCTTTCTCTCGCATCTAATTCTACTTTCATACAAAACATCTGAAAGTACCGATAATATTGTGCCTCTCTCTTTTCCACCTAGTATTATCTGATAACTCTCAAGGTAATGACCCTTCATTTGCAGAGGTTTTTACTAATGACACACGAAACTAAACTCAGAGATTTCACAAGTTCTAGGCAACGTTTTATTATCTCCTGAAATTCCTCAGGGTATTTTTGGCTCAAGCTAAAATCTGAAAATTTGCCTCACATTGTGCAGCATTTAGTGGATAATAATGGGCTGAGGTAAGGGGGTATTGAACCCAGTATTTATCATAAAGTTCATCACCATTGTTGCCCTGCATTTATAGAATTGTGTTTAGGCCTCTGTTTAAATCTCTGGTCAGCTGTGGAGTTGCTCTCTGGTAATAATTTATGCTTTGTTTGCAATTCCTAAGAAAGTGGTTCTTGAAAAATCCCTAAGATAAATTTAAAAAGAGATCTGCTTGCTACATTTTATTTCCTTTAATAAAACACAATAGCAAGATACCTGTGGAGGGAACTGGCTGTTTGGTCTTCATGTACAGACTCTGTATCCTCGCCACACCTTGAAAATGGATATAAAATAATTATTGGATTTCTTCTACTTGGGTCTTTTTCAAGTAGCGAATATGTTCATTCTTAGGTCATAATCAATCAGTCTTTATTGCAGTCACAAGACCAGACAGGTTAGGTCACAAACGCTGTTCTGATAAATACAGATGCTCATTTTCATATGCTCTAAATAAAGCCTGTATAAAACAATCACACCAGTTTTATCCTGTGCCTGCACTCCTTACCCAAAGGAGGACTGTAAGAAGGTCCAGCACCTACTCCTATGCCTCTCAGGAGTTTCTCTTGGGAGGGAGTTACTTCAGCTTTGTGCTGTACAAACCCACTGCTATTGTGAAATTTCCATCCACCCTAGCAAGCATAGCCAATGGTTAGGGATAATGGGAGCTGTCATTCAGAAACATCTGGAGACCCAAAAGTTCCTCACATCTGGTCTATGGAGTTTGGGATTGTCCCAGTCCTATAGGAACTTTTCATGTGGAAACCCAAAAGAAAATAATGGCAAAAGCGCAAGAACACAAAAATGCATAACTAATTTTCACTTCAGCATTCTCATGCCTGCCTAGAAGACATTTCCACTGAGTTAGAAGCAATGGCAACCGCCATCACCCCCAGTCCAAATATTTAAGGGCTAGATGCAATTAGTCCGTCATGATGGGAAGTTGCTCTGCACATTATCAGACGCTTTATTATTGTAATCTTGGCCTTCTGGAAGTCCCATTTATATTCAAATAGGAAAAGGCCACACTGGATGCCCCAGCAAATTTTTCTGATTCAAAAAACGGCATTAAGAATGTTTAATACCAGTAAGGAATACTTCCAGTGTGGTTTTCAATGAACTGAAAATAGATGGAGAGAACCTTCGGAACTACTTCAATTTAAAAACCTGACAGTTAGAAAGGTCTCCGAAACTAAACATCCCCAGAATCCTATGGGAGAAATACAAGATAAATATTTAACACGAGCAACAGTGCCAGCAAAATAAGGACATTCCTTTGTGCAGTCCTAGTAGAAGGAGGCAGTAAAGCATATTGAAGGTTTCCGTGGCTATCAGTTTAAATCAACCTGTCTCCGCTGGATTGCCAAGTCTGCACAAATGCCGCACTCACTCTCTGTCTTGCCTTTATATTTCACAATTATTTTGCATTTATATTTCCAGTTTGCTGTCAGTGGAGTAGGGCCTATTCCTGATTTGAGAAACAGTCTGCAATGTGGTTGACCCCTCCACTATTTACAGCATCTGTCTTCTTTGGCGCAGTGGTAGTATTTATACTCTGCAACCATTCTTTGTTGAGAAGAGCTTGATATACCCAACTCTCTGTCTCTCTCCAGAAGTTGCTAGTGTTAGCTGTTTATGAGGAGGTACTCACTCAACCTCATATCACCCCAAACTATTCTGCCTCCCCCCCCCCCCACTTTTCTGTTATTGGAACATTTATTTAGGATACATTAACACCATATGGAGTCATGGAATGCCCAACAAATAAATAACAGAAGAATTACATGTTTTGGGGGGACTATGTTTTTTTACAGGGGAAGCAACAGAGGGCAGAAGGGCACATGGTAGAAATTTGTATACGTAGCATGGAGAAAGTGTCTCATAAGAAAAGAACCCAGGAACATCCTAGTAAACTGATTAGCAGGAGATCTGGGACAGATAAAAAGAGGTATACTTTTACACAGAACATAATTAATTTATGCAATTTGCTGTCACATCAGACCTGGTGGCAGCTAGTAGCTTAGATGGCTTTAAAATGGGGATTAGACGAATTCATTGACAATAAATCTCTAAATGGTTGCCAGTCATTGAGGGGGTGCACATATAACCACAAGGTTCGGTGCCAGCACACCCACTAGGGAACAACAGCGGTAGTAGGCTATTTCCTTAATGCACAGCTTGCGGGCTTCCCCAGGGCACTAGTTGGCCACTGTGAGAAAGAGGATGTTGGACTAGATAGAGCCTTTGCGCTGGTCTGTCTGGGCTTTCCTTAAGTTCTTACATGATCCAGGACTTGCTTTTATTACTAGAAATTACGTGAGGCGTATTCCAAAATTCCAGGTGTTTTCCACCTGGAAAATGAAATGCAGCAAATTTGTGGCCCAAGACACACCACTGGTAGACAATTTTGTTATCTAACCATCAACACTAAGGACATGACGTTTGGTTCATATAGTAGAAAGCAAGCAAAACCACATCTCAGTGTGGGCTGTGAGACTTTTCATTTGTTTGAATTAGAATTGGAAACATATTTGAGGCCGCCTCCATTCAATTCCCCTCCCTGTGCTTTTCTGTGTCCTCACCGCCAACCTCATCCAATAGTCAGTCTGCATTTTGGTGGCACTGAGCATGCTCAGTCTTCATGGGACTATTTGGAAGGGCGAATTCTAAATATTTGGTTGTACTTTGGCAAAGTTCAAGGCTATCTGTGGTGGTGGTGGCGGCTGTTTTGGCTGCTTAAGTGACCTTCAAATCAGAAAACAGCTCAGCCATAGTCAGAAATATGTATTTAGAAGCCCAGATAGCTCAGTCAGTAGATCATGAGACTCTTAATCTCAGTGTCGTGGGTTCAAGCCCCATGTTGGGCTCAATTCTATGATTTAAGATTGCAGCATGCAAACCATGAGAACTACTATGTGTGAATCACATGTAAGCCAGCCTGATAGAAATTAGCCAGTTTGATCCAAAAATCTGAAAAAACCACAAAAATACAAACCAACCATCCAGAGTCAATTTTTTTAAAAAATGTTGCTGAGTGAAAAGTCCTCCCTTGGGCCTTGCCATTATGCAGACTAGTAATTAATTTTCTGCTTTCTTCTTCCAGTACCAGAGCTCAGATTGCATTATGAGGTAGATCAATAGAAATATTATCATTAGCTACACATGCATATATCCTTTTGGTCATAGCAGCTGTTGGGCTGGGCCTTGGTGTATAGCAATGCAAGCTTTCTGTCCCTTTGGAAATATAGCTTTTTCTCACGGAGACAAAAATTGCCTGGTTCTGACAGACCCACTGCTGGTTCCACTCCTTGAGGAACATAGATTTATACTTAAAGATAGATCAGTTTTTACTCAATATGTCTGCACATGCCCAGTTTACTGTTGTATATCTGTGTTGGCAGCCAAACAATGCTTAAGGCGGTGACTACAGCTTGTAGCTCCCTTGGCACCAATTGGCTTCTTAACGCCGAATCTGAGCAACATTTCAAACATGGATTCAAACACAGAGTGTCCCCTGCTCTGCGCTTGTCCCTTCCTCCTCTCGCTGAAGCCTTACACCAGGGAAGGAAATATCAGTTGCTCTGAGAGCAAAGCGGGTTATCAGGTATCGCCAACAAGAGGCAGCACTCTTGTTATTCTGCCCATGAGAAGATCACTAAAAACAACCTCCCTGATCAGCTCTCTACCACAGCTCTAACATTTTTATTTTATTTTATTTAAACAATTTATATACTGCTTAAGTACAACAGTTTTTAAGCAGTTTACAAAGACAGAATACAAAAAAAATAAAAATCAGTTCAAACTATAAAATCAAACTTCAACAAAATGCCTGCTAAAATTAAAAAGAAGTCTTCAGTAGGTGCCTGAGGCTCAGTAGGTGACTCACATGGGAACTCTCAGCACGCTGCTAATCATCTTCCTTCTAGGAATATTACATATTTATATACATTGCAGCTGGGAATGTAGCAAACGCACCACGGCATTGCCGTGATCTGAAGAATCCCCAAGGGCAGCATGTGCTGAGTTCTAAGTGACCTTAGGTGTAAAAAAAGGGGAACAGCTTTTGCATTAGTAGTGGGGAACCAGGTATTGGCTTTCCAACAGAATCTTTGTACATGCATTTCTGCTGCAGTAGCGAGAAGACCTAATACTATCAGGAGACTGGTATCTACATAGCAAGGGATACCAGCAACAGTGGCAGGCAGGCATTAAGCAGAGCCCAGAAGACCCGAAACAAGATCTTTTGCACAAAGGAAGCACACCTCACAACTTTAAGACTTCCTGAAAATGGCACAGTGAAGGGCACTAAGCACTATATTAGGCTGGGCAACTTCAGGGCTGTGCTCATGTACATGCCAAGGAAATATATTTTCAAAATCCTGTTGCCATGTTGGCCGCACTTCTGATGAATCGACATATGGGTTTATAAGAACATGAGATTGCTGCACAATGAGAGATAGAATGCAACACTGTGGTCTTCTTCACTCAGAACCTTTAGCCAGTGCAGGAACCAAAATATCAGCGGGGAAATAGCTTCAGATAAGCTTCTTCAAGGCCCCACATTCTGGAAAGTTTTGAAATCTACAATGTAACTACAGTGTAAGGATTAGAGCTCACTGGTCAACCAGCAACACTCACAATTTGCCATAGACATTCCAAGTAAGTGCCCCCTTTTCCACTCCCATAGAACCTAGCTCCCCTTTCCCCAGCAATTTTCCAGTAAGTATTGTTGCTGTTGTTACTTCTTCTGAGAATGTAAACTCACACACTTGGCACTGCCCTCACATTGCTTGTCCTCAGTGGCCTTGTTACTTAAGTCAAAAGTAATGGGCTACACAGGATTGTGATGTCATCCTTTTCAATACATGGAACCTGATTGGCTGGAGACACCCATGGGACCAATCTGAGGAGGAGGGCAAGGCAGCAGCCATGGGGGACAAATTGCACCAAACCAGCAAGAGCCAGAAGCAGCAACAGAACAAAACAAAAAAAGGAAAAGAAGGGTGAATGCTTGTACAATTGCAATGTGTTTTTAGGGAGGGATTTCTACCTCACTGAATTACATTTTTACATAGAATTTGAAACTGAGCAATATTGGGAGGATGATTATTTCTCAATAACACCTAAAATTAATATGGAATAAAATAGAAGACTGCCCAAATATTTTTACTGTGTAACTGCATGGTCTCTGGTTGTCACCAGCACACTATGGACAAGACATGGCAATCATTTGCATGACAAGACAACTGCAGGGCTTTCAACTGTCTGTGTTGTAACTATGTCGTTTCGGGGCTATTTGGGATTGTTTTTTGACCTGTTATGAGTCGCCAGCCTACAAAATGCCCCCACAACACTGCCAAAAACAAAGCAGAGGTATGAATGAGTAAAAACCCGCAAGGAAGAAGCTGAGTACCCATAGTGAGCAATTCAAAAAAATGAGCTATCACACTTGATACATCCTACAAGGAAAAAAGGAGAATGCTATTTTATATCCAGCCTTTGAAGGTTAAAAGCAAGCAGTTAATATATTCACAAAAATTCTAGGAATGATCCAGGCAGTTAAGTGTCCTGACTGCCATGGAACTTAAATGAGGGAGAGGCCCAAGAGTCTCCAAAACTGAAAGCCAGCACAGGGCTCCCATTCTGTAAGAGAATCAGCACTGCATGTTCATGGCGCATAAGGCTATGTGCCTACTAGTCATCATGGCTATATAACAGCCATGATTCTAAGGCAGTGTGCCTTTGAATACTAGTCACTTGGGTTCAGATGACTGTTGCGCTCATGTTCAGCTGCCCATGGCTTCTGGTAAGCCACTGGGCTTAGCTATTATGATTACCTCATGTCCTTGTGCATGACAAGAGCTAGCCGGGGAGTGAGGAAAACATGCCCCCATTTGTGTCATTTGCTGTTCCCTGCCCACGTAGCAATGGACTGTACTTTTTAAGTCATGAAGGGTCGCCAACCTTTTCAGACCAATGGACAAATATGGAATGTTGAGGAAAGCTCTGTGGGCGCCAGTCACAAAATGGCCGCCACATCTACAAGAGCAGAGACAGGGGCCACAAAAGGGTGCAGGCCTGTCCTCCCCTACCACCCCAATCGGCAGGAGGAAATGGGGCCTACCTACACCAACCACCAATGCGCTCGCCCACAGGAAACTCTTTACACATCTCCTCTTGAGAGGCACAAGATGGAATCCAACACAGCCCTATGGAGATTGTTCTGTCAGTGCGCAAGTATTTCTACATATCTGGAAGAACAATTCCCCCCCTCCTCTCCACACACACTGTTCTGGGGGTTCCCCTGATCTTCCAGAGCAGATTTGGGGAGGTGCAGAGAGTAGGGGGTGGCATGGGGGGGTTGAAGCCTCCCTGCACCAGCCAGCAGAGAAAGGTAGTCAAACCAATTCATCATGATACCCTCCCTTTATAAAGTGCATCCCCAGACTGACCGGAAGAGAGAAATAATGTGTGTCAGAGAGGTGGGGGGGGACAGGTGCCCCCCCAACTATCCATGAACCACCACATGTCACCCTCAGGTGGGGGGAAGGTTTCATACCCTGGAGGATAGCATTATAGAATAACGAATTACACGCTGGTTGATTTACAGAAAACCCAGAAAGCAGAACCACTATATTACAGCCAGGGGGAGGGGACGTCTGCCAAGGACATACAAAAAAATTAAGGACAAATTTAAAAAATAATCATTTATGGTCAGCACACATGTATGCAAACTAAGTGACTGTCATTTACCTACTTATTACATATTTTGCTTTTGTCTTTTTCAGGTTCTGCCACTCTGAGGCACCTACCATTTAAGGCCGAATAGCACAAGAAACCGGAGACCGAGTTTTAAGTATTCAGGCCAATGGCACTTGAGAGAGTTTGATCCTTTCCCCTCTGCCAGTTTTCTTGATCTGTGGCAGCCCCCTAAAAGCTGCCATTATTTTGCCCCGGGGAAAAGCGCACAACTATGCAAGTATGTCCCATAGCAGAGCCAACGGCAGCTCGGGGGGGGGGGGGGGACAGGCAGTGTAAATGGGAAGATTGGCATACAGGGGAAGCTTCACTGCTCTAGCAGATTTTCAATGAAAACTAAAACACCAGGAAACCAGGCCACTCCAAGATGGGGTGCTGCGTGAAGCTACAAACACCCCACTCCCACCCCATTGTCAGCTGTAGCAAGCACTGCTCTATACTGGGTAGAGTGGTGGTGGTCAGAAGAAACAGCCAGGGGCTGCCCCAGAGTGTCTGTTCCCTCTGTCTAACAGTTGGGCTGGCCCTGTTTGGAGGTGTCCTACATCTTCAGCTGCTACAGAATTGCTTTCTGAAGATGCCTGAATTTGTTTCTCCTTCTGAGCCTTGTGAACTTTGAAATGCTATTTGGTTTTTTAGAGGGGAAGCAATTAAAAGCAAATAGGAGGTGTGTCAGCAAATGGGAGGATACAAAGTAGTAACTGCTTGGCTTTAGTGCTTGGGTCGGAGATACAATGTCTCTGAAAATGGAGTTTCCAAAGGCTAGTAGCCCTTGATGGATCCTTCCTCTCTGAGGTTTTCTAATATTCTTAAGAGCCGTCTGAGACAGTGCAACCTTAGTTTTCCAAAGTTTCCAAAACTGGTACAGTGGTACCTCCGGTTGTGCACAGGATCCATTCTGCAGCTCCAGTCAGATCCAGAGGAATTCACAACCGGAAGTGCCTGTTCTGCTCATGAGCGCGGTGCATAGAGCACTTCTGCGCAAGCGCGCATGGCGGAACCCTGGAAAAATACTTCCGGGTTTGCTGCGTGCGTAACCCGAAGGATATGCAACCAGAAGTGTGTGTATCCAGAGGTACCACTGTACTCCTTTTGATCACTGGAAAATTGGTGGATGGGTTGGAAGGTTGTAGCATGGCATATCAGCAAGTCTAGAAGTAACATATGCCTTGAGAAACTCTCTCAGGCAGCTGGTACAGTATAAGGCTCTAAATCTCAGGATTATATGTTTCAGCCCCACAATAGGCAAAAGATTCCTGCATTGCAGGGGGTTGGACTAGATGATGCTTGTGGTCCCTTCCAACTCTACTATTTTGTGATTCTGCACCATGCAGGGGGCAATCTATAGGTCAACAGGATTTCCCACCTTTAAAAATAACAAAAATTAAAGCCCCTACCTACAGGAGAAGGGGGGAATCATACTAGGGTCAATTCTGCTGTGAGGAGAAGATTTAAACCCTCCACCCAACCCTCACAAACACACTTTTCCAGATTTATATCCAACACCACCAACACCTTATTTGCTGGGGGGAAGCATACATGTCACATATGAAAGCTCTCTCCCCCTGCAAGGTAAATAGAAGCGGGGGAGGTGATTAAAATGGGGGGGGAGCTAACTTCCACTTGGCCACCATTGTAATCACAATCTGATTTGCCATCCTGCCCCAACCCACAAAAAGACCCTGTTCACTAACCCCCCCATCTGATGTGTCCAGCAGCGCCCTCAAATACCTGGGAAACCCATTTCTCCCCAGCATCTGTTATTCAGAAGTGAACTGGTTCAGGTTCCATTTATCCATGGGCATAGCCAGGAGGGGCAGAGGGCAGCTGCCCCCCCCATTGACCATTTGTGTTGCAGATAACTCAGTTCTGTCCCCCTCCTAACATAAACCCCACCCCAAACAAAGCCTGGATATGTCTATGCATTTACCTAATGTCACTAACAGGTGTGCACAGGTAGACCTTGGATAGGGCAAGTGGGAGGAGCTTGGTGTGGGTGGAGTTGAGGGGCAATGGGGTAAGGGCCTGACCTGGCACAATGTGTAGGCCTTGTAGCACTCCCACTTTTCAGAAGCACCTGCTGGCAGCACTGCTTATTGCTAATGAAACAATACATATAATCTCTCCTGCAGTACTTTAGTCTCGAAAACACACCTTTATGCATGTGTTTAATGTATTTTGTTGCATTCCCACCATTTCCACAATGGAAAACTGTACTCCACACATAAACAAATCCATAAATTGTTTCCCTGCTCCTGACCTTGCTGAACCCTCATGTTTCCTAGCTCCAAAAATATAACAGCGGGGGGGGGGACGGGGGGACGTGATGCAAAAATAGACCACAATATTCCAGGCATGGCACATGCTCTAGGGATCCACAACTGCAGCTCGCAATAAACTCAGCAATATTCAGATATGAAAATGACACCTTGAAGGAAAACAGCATCAAGGGTTTTTTAATAAAATAAAATCTGGGGTCATTAATAAAATAAATGCATGCATTATTCCCCCCACATTGTGCATTAACTCCCAACAAGGCGAGGGGTGGGGAGGGCGGATTTTGCCAAATCTGCAGGAATTCAGCGGTTTCCCCTGAAAACATGCTTTATGGGGTGGTTCTCCCCCCCCCCCCACCTCCCCGCTCCTGCCGTCACTTGCTACAGAGCTCATGTGCTCTCCTAACCCTCACGTACTGGCTCGCCCCGATTTACAACCAGCTGGATCGTCACCCTCTTTTCTCTCGAGGCGTGCCCTAGGCATAAAACTCCTCTCTGCAGAACCGTGCGAATCCAAAGCAGGAACCCCCCGCCATCTGCACCAACGCTGACAACCGTACTAGAGGTTGCCAGGCGCGTCCAGCTGGTAAACAGTTAACTACTCCCTGCACGTAGAGAGAGGTTGCTCGCTTATTGTGTTGCAATTCGGCCGGCTCGTAATTTAATGATGACTACGGGAGGGGACATGTCCCCCCCCCCTTTCCTTTCCTACCTGCCTTCCGTGCAAAGGGTTTGAGCAACGTATCCATTGGCCAAGAAGCATACCGTTGCCATTCATCATGGGGGGGGGGGGTAGGCAGCTGGGGGGCAGCCACTGAAAGCAGGCACACTTACTCTGGCAGAGCCGAGCTGCTGAAGGAATGGTCCTGGATGCTGAAGCAGAAGCAAGAAAACATCGGAGGGGCTGATCAGAAAGGCGGGCAGGCTCCTTTTCCGCCTCCTCCTCGGATCCTTCTCAGCGGCTGCAACCCATGCAGAGGCATGGCACGGCGAAGGCGAGATTATCCTGCGGGCGAGCGCGCGCGCCGGCTAGCTCGGCGTACACAAGGCTGTATCCTGGCCTCTTCTGCACATGCTCACCATCCGAGGACCCCCTGGGATTTCTGCGTGTCAGCCTTGCTGGAAACCACAACGCCCATCAGGCACTGCTGCTGCTGCGCTGAATGAAGGTACAGAAACAAGGACTAGGCAAGGAACGCGCCCTTGCGCGCGTCTTGGGGAACTGGGGGGTGGGGGAGAGGAGGGAGCAGCCCGCGCGCGCACCTCGATCCCAGGCTTTTGGCGCGAGCCTCTCGCCACACTTGTCGGTCCCTGCGGTAGGTGCGAGGATCAGGATGGGCTTCCTTTCCTCCCTGCCGCCAGGATGAGTCATCTTCGGAGATTCCCTTTCGCAGGTTCTGCTCGGCAGCGCGACGCCTCCCGGGAGAGAGAGCGAGAAAAATATCCCGCGCCGCTTGGAGAATTAGGAGGAGGAGGAAGCGCGCTTACCATTGCAATTATGGCGATTCAAGAGGTGAAGTTGTTTCTCTCTGTGTGTTTACACATGTGGTGAGAGAGAATCATAACACTGTACAGTTGGAAGAGACCCCGAGGATCATCTAGTCCAACCCCCTGCAAGGCAGGAATCTCAACTAAAGAATCCAGGACAGATAGTCATCCAACCTCTTCTTAAAAACCACCAGCTCCCGAGAGAGTCTATTCCACTGTCAAACAGCTCTCTCAGAAAGTTCTTCCCGATGTTTAGTTGGAATCTCTTTTCTTGTAACTTGACGCCATTGGATTGAGTCCTATCCTCCAGAGCAGGAGAAAACAAGTTTTCTCCGTCTTCCATGTGACATTTGAAGATATTTGAAGATGGCAATCATCAGGGGTGTCTTACCCATAGAGGCTAGTGGCACGGGGTGCCAAGTTCTGGAGGGCGCCAGGGAAGAGGCAGAGGCTGGACGCGGCGCCTCCCGGCATCAGCTCGCCACCCTCGCCATGCCACGCTGAAGCAGCGCCGCGCCCAGAGCCTCTGTCTGCCATGGCCACCACGGCACAAAGTGGCCAGCTGAGCTGGGAGGTGCTGCGTCCAGCCTCTACCTTTTCCCCGCTGGAGGAGCCACCCTCCAGCTCCTGCCCTCCTCCTCTAGCCCCGCTGGCAGCGCTGTCCTCTCTAAAAAACCTCTGGGAAACCAGAGGGGGCACCGGAGGGAGCTTTGCACCACGGCGCTGGATATGCTTAAGATGGCCCTGGCGATCATATCTCCCCTTAAGTCTCCTCTTTTCCAAGCAAAATATACCCAGCTCCTTCTACCGTTCCTCTTAAGGCTTGGTTTCCAGACCCTCGATCATCTTGGTCGTCATCCTCTGCACACATTCAAGCTTGTCAATAGCCTTCTTAAAATGTGGCACCCAAAACTGGACACAGGACTCCAGGTGTGGTCTGACCAAAGCTGAATAGCAAACTAACTAAATGAATTTCAATAGAAGGTCATATTGAATCCTGACTCTGCTTTCTCCATACACTTGATCTTTCACAGGGCATGAAGAAGAAGAAGAAGAAGAAGAAGAAGAAGAAGAAGAAGAAGAAGAAGAAGAATTGGTGTTGGGGGAAACAGAGGTTGCTGCACGAAATATAGAACCCCATGTGCACCTGCAGAGAATAATCTGTCTATACCCTGCCCCAGATCTCCCTCCCCCAAGAATAAATAATCTGAAATGTAGGTAGGGCAAGCAGGGGCATACCTAGGGTTTGGCAGCTTGGGTGTCACCAAGGGTGCGGGCCCAGGAGGGCACAAAACTCTCACCTCTCTGCTCTGGCTCAGAGTGGCCTTTCCTCCCATCACCAGTCCAAAGGATTAGCTTTGCTTGCCCTCAGTGTTGTGGTCACCAAAATTTGATAGGTTTTGTGCCACAGTGATGTCATCACATTCCATTTACATTTCCTGATAGGTTGGGATCACTTACAGAAGACAAAATCCCAGGTAAACACAAATGGCACTAAAGCAATAATCGTAAGGAAAACCAGAGGCTATAAATGCCTGTGAACACTTGGGGAGTGTGTGAGAGAAATTTCACTGTTTGGCAACCCACCCACCCCCTGGATATCTTGCCCTTAAAAAAAAACCAAGGGGGGAAAAAACATTTTACCTCAACAATATTCAAGGATGAAAATCAATGCAGCTCTGTTTCCTACACGATGTCTGTGCTATGTGATAAAGCCACCAGATACACTTGTTTAAGGAATATTTGTCTGAAGCTAGTGGAGTATTCAGTCCTAGCAACAGAATAATGATATTTGTAATCTGGGGGAATAAAATGTTTGCTCAGCTGGTGCATAGGCAGCACAGTGAATACTAGAGAAATCCACATTCCTTGGTGTACAGGAAAACTGAGCATCTCTGCTTGGTTGCTTGTGGCATTTGATGTCAGTCCTACAAAGCATGATTCACAGCTATTGCAGGCAGTGGCGGAGGAACCCTCTCCAGCACCCGGGGCGGGACGCCGAGGAGCGAGACGAAATGCCGGTGACGCATGCAGGGCAACCGTACAGGCTGCCACACATGCGTACTCCATACGGGCCGCTGTTCACGAGCGGCATCCGTATGGGCTGCTGCTTGCAAGAGGCAGCCCATACAGACACCCATATGGACGGCGTGCAAGAGCAGCAGACCATATGGATGCCGCATGAGTGGCGCACATACTGACTATGCGCACCCTTGGTCGCTCTACAGCTGGGGGGAGGCAGGGGCCATCTTGTCACACACACCCCGAGTGGCACCCGTGGCAGCCCACCCCTTCCGTCCCCCACTTCGTACGCCCCTGATTGCAGGGCCTTTATTTTTATGTTATTTTTCACAGAGCCTAGATTACTTCTACTGAACTGCCCTCCACATTGTCCTAGTGACAGTTAGGGTTTACATTCTGTTCTGTAGCATAGAAGAATATTATTTCTGGGGAAAGAATTTTTTAAAAAAATCAAGGTGACTACAGTTGAAGGAATGATATGCAAGGAGAAGCCAAAGCTGAGATTGCTGACTAGTAAACTTAAAAATATTTGCTCACCACACACACACACACCCCTCTCTACAATCTTGGCTCCCAAACTATGGGAGTGCAAGAAAAAATGGGGAAAGCACCCCAAATGAACAAGATAAAAAGGAAAACAGACCCCAATGTTCACTGATGCAAATCTCTGAAAGTTCACTGTCTTTTGGAGTAAAACACTCCAATGGACAAAAACAATGGACAGCGTTAATGCCAATGGTTCTTAAACAAATCATAAATTGTTTTGGGGGGAAATCAAACGATGATAGTCTCTACAACCCCCCATTCGCAACTGAAAAGAATTTTGAAGTCAATAATGAATAGGCGGTGGTTATGGTTATTTGTTATAATTCTTTGGCAGCTGTTAGATTTGCTGTCTGGTGTTTTTTATCCAGGTTGCATTCACATTTAAGGGGGGGAGGGGCTGAACTGCAACTCCCATCATTCTTGGCAACTGGCCATGCTTGCCGGGACATGGGAGTTGTAGTTCACAGCAACATCTGAAGGCCCAAACGTTCCAAACACCTGCCCTAAGCAAACCTTTAGCCTGAATCAGAGAAGGAGGTTCTTATTCTGTCTCACAAGGAAGTTGTGGCTGTAACTTAATGTATGCATTTAACAATTTAATAATTAGTACAATGACGCTTCATTGCCTTTGATCTTATGAGGCTATTTACTCAATAATAATTACTTGTTTCTGTTTACTACATGGGCAGGGTTATGGTTTAATGTGCACAGGTTGTTTACAAGACTTTGCAGAGAGGGTTCTTCTGATGAGAAATTCCAGAGCTTAAAATCTATGCTTAATGAACAGATTCCACAGATTAAGTGATGAATGCTTTCAGCTCTGCTGAGAATATTACTTGTTTGGGTTTCACTGCCTTATAATTCTCCAGAATGGCCATGGGCCTCGCTTCCTGTTTGCAAATAAGGTTTGCGAACAAATCTGCAGTTCTTCTCACTTCACTTTTTTTTTGGAAGGGTTACTCATATTTATACATGGTGCTAACAGCACTGACTAAAACCTCAAAGGAGAAATATTAACAATGATGTAAGATGCTGTAAAGGTGCAGAGTAGGAGATAAGAGTTTTAGCATAGAAATGACTAACCAGGATTTAAGGGTTTAAAAAATATATATAACCCACAGAGAAAAGCACACGAAGCATTATGGTTTAGTTTTTTAAGCAGAAACTTTGACTCTGTTGCATTTTGGCATTTTGCATTCAAAATCTCTGTCTTGGTAAAAGGGAAAGGAACTGGGAGTGTCACAAGAGTGACGTGTTCAGTGTTTCCACCAAATGAGAAAGAAGAAAAGTGCCCCCAGCACAGGGTTTAAGTTCATGACTTGCATCTACAAAGTCTTGAGCCCAATCTCCAGCATCATCAATTAAAAGAATCCCAGGTTGCAGAAGAGGGAAGGGTCTTGCCTGAGTTTATGGAGAGCTGCTGGCTTTGGGACCCTGGCTGAGGGTGATGGGAGTTTCAGCCCCAAACATTTGGAGGGCACAACATGGTAAGGCTGGAGAAGACAATCCTGGACTACATAGACCAGGTGCGGGGAACCTCTGGCCCTCTGGGTGTTGCTGCACTATCATCATCCCTAGCCACTGGCCATGCTTGCTGGGACTGATGGGACTTGTAGTTCAGTAACATCTGGAGTGTTCCCCACATTGGTCTGTGCCAATGACCTGACATTATACTATATAAGGCAGCTTTGTAGTTTGTCTCCACAATCTTAAACAAACTTAACTGTGTTAAGTACCACTGAATACAATGGGATTTACATCTGAGTGAACAAGCCTAGGATTGTGCTATGAACCAGGTTCTGCACCTGTTCCCCGTAGCCAATTCATGGGGGCTATGGACAGGGTAGATGAAGGAAAGTGTCCTCTCTACTACCACACACCCATGTCAAGTGGTAAGTCCCTTAGTGAGTCTCCTGCTCCATGTCACAGTGAGACACTGAGGTAATATCCACCACCCAGGGGTATCTGGGGTGTCCCTGTTCACATACTGAGTTCAGTATGAATGCATACACTTTTAAAGATGTCAGCAGTGGTCTGTTGTTTTTTCTCTCAAGTGGGCTTCGCTTTATGGACATAAGAAGAGCCTGCTGGATCAGGCCAGCGGCCCATCTAGTCCAGCATCCTGTTCTCACAGTGGCCAACCAGATGCCTGTGGGAACCCCACAAGCAGGACCTGAACAAAACAGCATTCAGAAGCATTACTTCCTCTGAACTGTGGAGGCAGAACATAGCCATCATTTGAAATTTAAGATTTTTCACCCGGAAATGCATTATTTTACACTTGCATTTGCCATTTTGCTGCCCGTTCACTCAGTTGGGAAAGGTCCTTTAAAAGCTCTTCACAATCTCTCTCTTGTTTTCACAACCCTGAACAATTCAGTACCCTCAGCAAACTTGGCCACCTCACCAGTCAGTCCTGACTCTACATCTCTCCATTCAGCGTGCCTGTCTTTGTGTCCCATTTCTATGTGTGCTCAGTTTTGCTGCCCAAGTAGCTTTCTACCACACATTTCACAGAATGAGGACACGTTTTACCTCAAGACACTTGGTCATTTAGCAGTTCAGGGAAAAAGCTTTGATCATGCATCCCCTTTAATATATGTATTTTTTCCTTGCAAGTGTCAGGAGGAGGAAATTCTATTTCACCAAAAGCAGGTTCTCAGCAGAGTATGACCTAGAGGCATACATATGCAAGAATCTAGAACAACCAAGACAAAAGGCAGCTCGCTAAAAATAACCCAGCTCTTCATTTTTCTCTATGTGGAGTATTGTGCCAGCAGGCTTTCTTATTCACATCAGTATAAGGAGGCACACACAACCTTTGGCACATCATGTCCTGCTGAAAAAGCTGAGGATTCTATAGGTAGGGCAGCCTTTTGGGCACAGAACAGCCCCCGCTGTCCCAAACACTGCCAGATCAGTAAGTATTGATATCTCCATGCTTGGGTATGGCTGAATTGGCCTGTTTCTTCAGCACATCTTACATAAATGCATCCACTGTAATGCAATAACGCAAGACAGATACATAGCAATTTAAATGTGAAGACGAACATTACACCTAAACGAAGGGGTGGTGTGGCTGCCTTTTGTTGGACGCATGTTACCCCCATAATCTGTATTGATCTCTTATCCTGGGCCCAACAGCTTTCTCTCTCTGCTTGCTCTGGTTAACCATTAAATCAAGTTTTATGAAATCCAGAGGAAACCCAGAGAGAGATTTGCTCCACTTCCTAAACTGCTCTGAAAACAGCTCTTAAATGGGATTCCTCATACTTTTCCCTGGAGTTGCATTCTGGGGCAGTCCACCTCTTCACCTTCTTTCCCTTCCTCCCCTCAAGGATAATTTTCCAGTTGTCTTTCCAACTTCTCAGCAGCACTCTTCTGGTCCTTAGCATTGCTGACCCGACTGACCACATGATATATGCGCAAAACACGTCTGCTGCCTTCGCAGTTCGTTGTTTCTTTCGATTTTGCCCTCATTTGTTTCAAATATACATGCAGGTCCAGCTATGTGAACATAATCCCTTCTCGATTCTCTGAGAAGGAGGAGAAAGCTGTTTCTCCT